AGCGTGTATTTACGACAGCAAAAAAGGAACGATGAAAAACATTGTTGTTTTGTAAAATAAGGACTAGAGAAAAAGAGATAACGAGAGTGAAGCCTCTGACGTTCTTAAAGAAAAAAAAAAAATATATATCTAACACTAAGATACTCGAAAGAACGTGCTCGAAAATGTGGAAAAATGCTTTTCCTAACTCAAAGTTCCTTACTAACGCTTTTCAATTCTGAGAAGCTATGAGAATATACCATACACTCTAAACTCGTCGAGCTGCAATATAGAATAAGCTTTTTTTATTCGCTGTCGTTTGCATAAAATAAAAAGTGATAACTTCTTTCTCATAATTATTATACATAACTTCTTAAAGGCACAAAATGAATGTCAAAAAGTATACAAATTACTTTTCACACTGCAAGTACTTAATTTTATATAATTAAAAGAAATTAATACCGCAATATTTTCTTATTATTTACTTTATTTATTTATTTTTTTTTATTTTAAATTATATTTTTTCGTATTAAATTTCTGTTGGAATTTTACATTTTCATTTTTAAAAAAAGTAACATTTTTTGAAAGAGAGTAATGACTAATTTTATATTTGGTCATTTTAATAAAGTTTAATTCAAAAAAAAAAAACCATAGTGCAGATTAAAGTGAGCTTAAAAGCTTTTGTTTTAATACATATAATATTTAAAGTTTTCATGTAGGTAAAATTTAATTTTGAAATATTTCCATTTCGAGTAATATATATTAAATATTAATTTTGTTTGGTTAAAATAATCTCATTTGCTTTATTTAATATATTACGTTATTAAAAAAATTTATTAAATTCAAAATCAATATTTTAGTTATTAAATTTTAGTCATTTAAATATTTGTCAATATTTTAAATTATTTATTGGAGAGAAATTTTTCTTGAAAGAATTTTTATTTTTAATTTATCCCAAAAAAAAATAAGGAATCCTTTTATATAAAGTAGCTCACATCTTCAAGGATAAAATATTATCAAAAGAATTGACATTCTACTATCAAGTTATCATCTTGTTTGTTTTTTCAATGAAAATTCTTTTAATATCTATTGGTTTATGTAGAGCATCATAAATGTCGAGGTAAAATGCTATTTTGTACTTACTCTCTATATTTTTTTTTTGTTATTCAAACATCAAGTTTTACGTATAAATTTTTTTTAAAAATAAATATAACACCGAGTTAATTAATTTTGCGTGTAAAATTTGTGTCTAGAATAACAATGAATTCGATGTTTTCTGTATTTTTTTTTTTTATTCCATTAATTAATGTTCAATAATTAAAAATATTATTGGAGAATTTTCAGGATGGTTTTTTTTAATACAGTGAATTTTAAACGATAGTATAATTAATGTATTTTTTTAAATCTCTAAATTTAAATGAATCTTTCGGTTCTATACTTGGAGGTAGTTAGATAATTTCTTAATTTATAGAGCTTCTCGAGTGTGCCGAAAGCAGATCGCACTGATATTGATTATCCTCATTCTCCCTTTCTTCCTTTTCAGAAACAAGATCTATCACTTTACCAATATCTAAGTTCAATCGCTTTATTCATTAACTTTTAGATAGTCTTCTCAAAATTCAAAAAGATATTATTAGAATCAAGGAGAAATTTTACGAGTGTTCTTATATTTTTTTTTTTATATCGAAAACTATTTTAGAAATTTTTTGTTCTCAAAATTTCTCATGTAAAATTTTTTTTTTTTTATTTATTTATAATTTACGGACGCCTTTTTAAATTACAATTTGTACAATTATTATTATTTTATAAATTAATGTGTGATTAAATTTTCCTTACAAAATTTCTAAACATTTTTTTTTTTAATTGTTTAAAACTGTTTTTATTTCTATTTTTTATTCTAATTGACGGAAAAAAATCACTCTAAAAAAAACAGATTGACAATATCAATTTGGTGAATATAAAAAATTCGCGGAGAATTTGTTTGCTTTTTTTTTAATTTACTTGTTCGTGGCTTGTATATTTTTATATAAACAAAAATTGTTGTTTTTTTTTATGTATTTACAAATCGGTTGCAGATTTTCCACAAAAATATAAAACAATTGCGATATTTTACAAAGAATTTTTTTTTAAAACAATTATAAAAACTTCCTTTTCACGTTGGATTAAAAAAAAAAATTGAAACAAAGTTTACGATTCCGTTTACACAACTATTTTGTTGAAAATAGATACCGAGAGTGTAAACTCGTTTAATCGAGAGGGAAACAATAAAAGATTGCCGCAGTAAAGTAAAGAAATTGTTTGTTTCAAACAAACTTTGATTGAAATGGAAAAAATTTCTTCTTTATTAACAAAAAAAAAAGTTTCTTTCTTCTTTTACATCGGAAATTAAAGATAATTTTTTTAACCAAAATTTCTCTTTTTTTTTTTATTTATTTATAATTTACGGACGCCTTTTTAAATTACAATTTGTATAATTATTATTTTATAAATTAATGTGTGATTAATGAAACGAATTTTTATTTTTTAGGAATTCTCTTTTTATTGTATGGATCACGAGGTATTATCGGATTATATTAGTTCGAGAGTTGGTGTTTTGTGAAATAACAATGATTTGTAAAAGAACATTGTTTATAATGATAATAAAAAAAAAAAAAAGGATGAAAGAGAGGGAATGTTTTGTGCGGCAACGATCAACAGGGAACAATGTTTCCTAGGATGAAATCGTATATAGAAGCCCACACAACATAAATCGATACGGACCGCACACAGCAGCCTGTCTAACAAACCCTCGTTTCTAACAGTCTATGCAACGATATGGTGTTTTTTCCCCCCGTGTGTCCCCCTCCCCCCTTTTTCTCTTAAAATAGGCAGCAACAAGAGCCTAAAAGAAGGGCTAAGTACTTTTCTGAAGTTCTCTACAGAACTCAGTACTAATTGTCCAATTCATGTCTTCAAAAAACCCCAACAATTTATTAATTCACAAAAATGGTTCTTCATTTCTCAAAACTCTTTTAACTCTTCAATTTACAAATCATTAAAAGGGAAAAAATTCATTTCTTTTGAAATTCTGAATTATCAATTTTTATCTAGTATTTATTCAATACTAGATAAATAAAGAATGGAAATAAAAAAAAAATTGCAAGAGATAAAACAAAATGATTTTTTTATTTTCTCAAAGAAACCTGACAAATAAAAACAAAAGTATATATATGTGGTTAAAGTACAAGATAAGTAAAAGAGAGAAAGAGGAAAGATATATAAATTAGTGTCTCCTCTGTGAAGATTAATTGTACCCTCTCGTTCAATGAAAATTACAAAGATATCGTGCTCAGGATTAATTTATATACAAGAAAATTCCTTGAGTAATGTTGATCGTATAATTTCGTCTTTGCAATTTCACAATTTCTGAGATGCAACGCTTTTGTTGTACATTTGTGTTTTTCCCTCTTATACCCACCTCGCCATCACCCCCCCCCCTCCCTCCCCCCTTGTCCTGTATACATGAAAGCACCATTAGCCCCGGTGGTTTCGCTCTCTCGTCAATTTTCTAAGCTAATAATTACCAAATTGAGTTTTCCTCAATCAACAATATAACTGTTATTGCACAAAATTATTATTACGGCAAAATTTACAAAACATTAGAGGAAAAAATTTTTCAAATACTAGAACTGTTTATTCACTGAAAAAAAAAATTTTTATTTTTATTCAAATACTCGATTACTTGACTATTTTTAAATAAATATTTATTTGTATCAAATTTATTTCAAATACAGAAATTATTGTTTCGAATAGAAAATAATTTGGTACAAGTAAATATTTATTTGTATCAAATTTATTTCAAATACAGAAATTATTGTTTTAAATAGAAAATAATTTGGTACAAGTAAATATTTATTTGTATCAAATTTATTTTAAATACAGAAATTATTGTTTCAAATAGAAAATAATTTGGTACAAGTAAATATTTATTTGTATCAAATTTATTTCAAATACAGAAATTATTGTTTCAAATAGAAAATAATTTGGTACAAGTAAATATTTATTTGATAATAGTCAAGTAATCGAGTATTTGAAACAAATAATTTTTTTTAGAGAATTTTCCACAATTATTTTTCTCTAAAATATATTCGAAAATAAACACCAAAATCCTTTCTCAAATATATATAATATGTAAATAAGAATAATATTCCATGAAAATCAGAAATTGTGTTTTTGAAAAATGCACAATAAAAGAAATTCAGCTCACGTAAAAATGAAAAATTCCGTATGAAGTAACAATTGCAATGCTGAATACAAAGAGCTGTTCATTTATTTAGTTTCTCATTGACTCGGTGTTTCTTTTACACATCGTGTCTTTTTTTTTTTTGTTTTTAATTTTTAAATTTATAGAGCCAATATTAATCTACAATTTCGAAAGAAAGGGAGTGAGAGAGAGAGAGAAAGTTACATTTATGTACATATGGCAAAAATGTAGAAGAATCTTTAGAAAAAAAAAACCTCCCTTTAAAACGATCCATTAAATGTAGAAAACGAGAGAGAACTTTTTATCATCTCCACAAGTGCGGAGGAACACATTTTTATGACTCGATAAAGTACGCGCTAGAAATGAAGAAATAGGTACATAAAATATTTTTTAAATTGCACCGGCAAAATCATTTTTTGCAATTCGACAGAAACATTTTTTTTTTTCGCAACAAATTACATTTGAGTAAATCGAATAACAAAAAAAGAAAATAGTTTTTTTTTTTGAAAAAAGGGAGATGATATTATTTAAAATCCAGGGAGTATTTAGAAACTACTGGATATTGGGTGAAGAGAATGCAAATTGGGAATTTGAATAAATTTACATAGAATGAAAAATTCTGGGTACATTTTATACATTTATCTTAAGGGCCAAAAAGTGCTTGTAAATTTTGTATTCGTGAAAAAGAAAATATTTTTAAGTGGAAAATTATTTATATTTTCTTTATGAAATTGTAAAATAATATTTTCAGTTAATTTTTTTTTCATTTACTTTTCAGGATGATAGCTCTTGGATTGATATTGGGAATACTTGAGTGGGATCGTGGCGTTTATTGCATCCTTCTTCTCTGGGACTATATCCTTGGCTATTTGACAATATTCATATTAACGATGTCTGTTGAGTTTTCTATTTGTTTGTTGGCGACGAGAGGAAGCATTTTGGACACCAATGCAAGAGCTGCAATGCCCTATCTTCTTTATATACGACTGTGTAAGTTTATTTTTTCACTCTTTCTTTTTTTTTTTTTTTTTTAAATTCCAGAGGCAAATATTTTCACAGCTACATTTTTATTTAACAGAAGGCTGAATCCATCTCAGATCAGGCAAGCCGACTAGCTTGAAATCATGGATTTATCTGCCGATGAAATATGTTATTCTGTACAGAAAATAAAGAAACACGTATTTTTTTATTTTCCATGAAAATTATTTTCAACGAAGTTATTCACTTTTGAACTTTGAACGGTAAAACTCGAAAAGTACAGTGAAAAAAAATTGTTTTACTCGTAACTTTTTTTCTAATTAGTGTAATCAATTTTTCTTTCTTGGATCTTTTTAATGGTATTTGTCTCTTCAAAATCCCATTTAAAATTTGTAAAAATCTTTAAAATTAACGAAATGGCGAATGATTTTCTGAAAATAAATAAGGTTAATTTTCTCAAAAACCCCACTTTTTTTTTCTTTCAAATTTTTACCATAAATTCTTACAAATACGAGGAACAATTCCTAAGAGTTTCAAGCATGCTAAACCATTCTGTCATTCAGGGGAATTTTTTTTCGAAATTTTATTTTCTTCGAATTTTGAGATAATTGGTGCGGACTTTCAAGAACAAAACAATGTTGTGAAGCTCACTGAAGTAAGTCCTTTTATAACCAATAATAACTGTTGGATTAAATCTCAATAAATAAATAAATAAATAATGTTTGCATACATAATCACTGTAAAATAACTTGTGTTGAAGGTTCTATAAATCAAAAATGTGAAATTTAGTATTTTAAATTTCTTTAGAACCAAATTAAATATATTGTTAAGTTTGAAAAGAAAAATGTTTTTATAAATATTGTAATTCTTGCAGAAGTGCTTATTTTATCAAAGTTTTATTTAAATTCAAATTATCTTTGAAAATTTTTTTGCAAGTTACTTTAACTTTTCAATTTTTCCAATTGAACATATATTTAGAAATTAGTATTTATGGATTTATTATTTGTCTAAATTCTATAATTTAAAATTGAAGACAGTTAATATTATGTAAAGTAATTGCGTTCACTTAAGACAATAATAATTGTTGGTTATAAAAGGACTTACTTTAGTGAGCTTCACAACATTGTTTTGTTCTTGAAAGTCCGCACCAATTATCTCAAAATTCGAAGAAAATAAAATTTCGAAAAAAAATTCCCCTGAATGACAGAATGGTTTAGCATGCTTGAAACTCCTAGGAATTGTTCCTCGTATTTGTAAGAATTTATGGTAAAAATTTGAAAGAAAAAAAAAGTGGGGTTTTTGAGAAAATTAACCTTATTTATTTTCAGAAAATCATTCGCCATTTCGTTAATTTTAAAGATTTTTACAAATTTTAAATGGGATTTTGAAGAGACAAATACCATTAAAAAGATCCAAGAAAGAAAAATTGATTACACTAATTAGAAAAAAAGTTACGAGTAAAACAATTTTTTTTCACTGTACTTTTCGAGTTTTACCGTTCAAAGTTCAAAAGTGAATAACTTCGTTGAAAATAATTTTCATGGAAAATAAAAAAATACGTGTTTCTTTATTTTCTGTACAGAATAACATATTTCATCGGCAGATAAATCCATGATTTCAAGCTAGTCGGCTTGCCTGATCTGAGATGGATTCAGCCAGAATTTCTTTTAAAAACGTTCTTAATTGAAAAATTGTTTTAACAATTAGCAAAAGAAAAAAAAAATTGATAACAGAAAATTTTTGTAAACTATTATTTTTCTTTTATTTTCTTTAGTTTTCTTTTATCAGTTTTTTGCGTTTCATTTTATTTTCATTTTTCATTAAATTTTTTTCCAAGTTTAAGTATTAGAAAAAAATTTAAGATTTGAAAATTGCAAAAATGTTGTTAAAGTAGATTTTCGGATTTTGAAATGAAATAATAAATACTTTGAAAAAGAAACTTTTCTACTCGGATCTAAAGTTTTTATTAAACTTTTTTTCGTTCAAATTAAAGTTTTGACTTAATTTTCTTTGAATTAAATGTTAATTTTTCCTCAGATAAATTTTGTTGTTAAATGTATGTTCGAAATTCGAAAAAAAAAATAGAAAATACTTCGCTCATTTAAAAATAAAAAATTCTTAAAGTTATTTTTTTTAACTCAATGGAAAAAATAGCATTCGCATAAATTATAATGTATGCATATTCATAAATTTTTTTTTATATATCTATTTTTGTTTTTAAAAATCTTTTGAATTGCGAAAAATTCTCGAGACTTAATGAAGCATTCCTGTCGTATATATATATATATATAAGTAGGATACGTAAAATGGGTCGAAGGTCGATGGAGTTGGAAAAACACCAAAACAAAAAAACTCGAAAGAATTTAAAATTTATTAAACAGTTAAAAGAATGGAATATGAAACGATAATTTATGGGAGTAGGAAAAATTACAGTGCACGGTGACATTATAAATTTATTCTCTTTTTCTTTTTTAATGATAAAAATATAGAAAATAGATCAAATTAAATAGTTTTAATATTTTGTTTAAATTTAGAGACGCAAAAATTATTATAAAAAAAAAATAATGTGATTTTTTTTTGTAATACAAAAAAAAATGCTCTAAATTCTATTATAAATCAATATTTAACGATTTTATATACTTTTAGAAAACATATGAGAATGTGACATAAAACATCGTTGCATTTTCTTGACATTTACTCTCGCGACCCGCCTCACATTTCATGATACTTGGTACACAAGCATGAATCCTATTTTCCAGAGTACTCCATGTAAAATCCAATTTGGGAAAATTATCCAGTTCTCAGAGAAAAGTGAGCAGTAACTAAATCTCAGGATTAATAAACTTCATTCCGCTTACAATTTTTCTTTTAATTATTCAATATGTATCTTTTGATATTTTTTTCAATTTACTAATTATTTATTAAATAATAATTAATAATTAATATTAAAAATTATTCAATTATTTATGAAATATTAATTAATAATTAATATTAAAAATTATTTAATTATTTATTAAATATTAATTATTAATTATATTCATTAATTTATTATTTATATTTTTTAAATTATTATGAATAATAATTTATTTTATTTACAAAAAAAAAAGTTTTTATTTAGAAAAAAAATTCCACAATAATAGTTTAAACTTTTAAAAATGAAGTTTCAATTGAAGTGAATTTCCTATTTAAATGTCAATACAATTGTGAAGAAAAACGTGGAAACTGGTTTTCTGGCCAGACACCAATTTCGCAGGCGAGGAACGAATATTAATAAGAATTGAAGCCAACCCTTATAGGCCTTTACCCTAATAAACGATAGCTCTTGGGGGACCTTGTTGACTGAGGATTCGTGGATTTTTTTTACTATCGAGAGTAGAATAAAAATCAGAATGTTTTTTTTTTTTTTAAACTAAAAATTAAACTAAATTTCGATTATAAATAATAATTTAATTGCCTTGATTCCTTAATAAAAAATTTATAATTTTGATAATTTTAATATTTCATTTATTTTATTAAACGTTTTGTATTTATATATTTTTTTTATTACAGGACAATTTGAATCCTAATAAACTGGATAAGCTTTGGAAATAATGTCACACATTTTTTTTTTTTGTTTTTTTATTCTTTAGAAATGCAACGTGAGGTACTCGGCATAAAAGAAATTTATTAGAAATATTTTGTCGTAAAAAAAAGTGCAATTCTTATCGTACTGAAACATGTGACTGACAGAGAATTATTCTTGGGTTGAATTTTTATTTTTTTTAAATTTATATTCAGAGATTTTTTTTTATTTTATTTCTCTCTATAATAATAAAAAAATAATGGATTAAAAAGTGTCCATATTAATTCTTTGTATATTTATACAAAAGAAATAATTTGCCTATGTGATATAGATATGAAAATTTCAGAGGGGAAAAATTTATAGCTACGATTAAAATTGACCTTTTAAAATTAAATCTCTGCCCCCATTATTTCTTGAACTATTTTTCTTTTAATGGCTAAATAGAAATTTATAAATCTAAAAGAAAAAAATCTATTGATAGCTATAATTTTATTTATTATTTTATTTATTTAATTGACAAAATTGTTGATAATTTTTTTTTTTTAATATCAAGAATTAATTTTCAAAGACTGATATATGGGATATATGGGCATGTGACCCATTTTCATCTCTGAAACAAATTAAATTCGTTTGATCTTTGAACTTTGAATGGTTGAAAGAAAGAAAAAGAATCGACGCAAACAAAAAGTCTTGGACGAAATCCAAAAAAGCTTGGACTCATCTCTTCACTTGAAAACCAATATATATATATATATTTATAGTGTTCTGTCAATTTAATGTTTTCCGATCACGTACTGTTTATTCGTTGATGCGTGACAGTGTCGATTTTTGAAATATTTTTCTCTTTACCATTTTGATGAAAGGTGAAAATTTCTTTTTATTTGGGTAAACATTTTTTTTTTTTCCAAGGGGTGAAAATCACACTTGTTAGTAAAATATTTTATCTTGATTAGAAAATAAAAATTGATATATGGATTAAAAAATAATTGTTGGGGATTTAAAAAAATAATTGAAATTTGATTTTCTAAATTTTCGATAAAAGAAATTAATATCAAAAGATAATTAGAAAAAAAAATATTTGATCTTTTTTATTTTTTCCAATGATTCTTTTTTTTTACTTCTATTTTTGTGTTGCATCAATTTAAAGGGGGGAAAAAACTTGAAATATGTTTCGTAATAGTTTTGTAATCAGAAAACTTTTTCGCATTTTGTAAAAAAGTTTAGGAGTTTTAAGCTATAAATACGAATTGACGTGCTTTATGAAGGCAGTGATGGAAGTTTTTAAAGATTTTAGAAGGTAGAGAAAATTTGTCGATTGAGGCATATACATATCATGTCTTGCATACTGTAGAGGGAAATAATTTCATAACATTGGCGGAAAGCTTTTATCAAAACTGACATGAAGAGAAAAAAAATTCCTATTTCCAAAGAAAAGTAAAAAAAAAATTTTCTTGGAAGTTAATTAAAAAATTTACTCGAATTTAATTAAATAATTTAATTTTTATTTATTGCAGTTTTATTATTAGTGGAGACAGGATGGCTGTGCGCTGGTGTAACGTGGTTAGCATATTTCTATCAATCTTGTCCCGTAGATCAGACAAAAAAAGAAATTATGTTAGGTAAGTGTTTTTTTAAAAATTATTTTCAATTTCTTTAGCGTAAATTGGAAAAATAATTTTCTCTAAAAAATTATTGAAAATTTTTTTCCATTCTATTATAATATAAAAAAAAGAAATTAAAAAAAAAAATAGTGAGAATTAAGAAGATATTGGTACAAAATGAATGTTCATAATTCACTTTTAATTCATTCTTAAAAAACTTTTTACTCATTTGAAGTATATAAAAGTTTCTCGAAGTGAATTTAAATTTCAAAGAAAATTTATTCATGAGGGTTTTTTTTAGTTTTTAAAATTGGAAATTAGGTTTATTATAAAAAAAGGGGAGAATTTTTTTTTTTTTTTTTTTTAGAGGAATTTAAAAAAATAATTTTTAAAAAAAGAGAAATTATTTGGCCATTTCAGCGTTGATTATTTCGAACTGGTGTATTCAAGCGTCAGTTGTGGTGACTGTGTGGTGTACATATGATACTGCAGGCAGGTCCTGGGTGAAAATGAAGAAATATCAACGTAGTTTACGAGAAGCGGAATCTCGGGGAGATAGAATGCACTATAAACGTAGCGGCAGCAGAAATAGGAATTGGCGACAACGGTACTGTTTTTGAAATAAATTAATTTGTCAAGAAAAAAAAAAAATCGAAAATTTATTTTTCTCTTTTATTTTTATTTACAGAAAAGTCATTCGTGCCTATCAAGATAGTTGGGACAATAGATGTAGAATATTATTCTGCTGCATGGGAAATTCGGATAGAAATAGAGTATGTAATTTTATTTATATAAAATTTTGCATTTTCTTTTTAGAAAATAAAGAATTTAAAAAATTTTTTCTTTTCTATTAGTTAAATTTCTTTTTTTTGAATTAAAATTTTTTTTTGAATTAAAAATATATTTTGATTTGGATTTTTTTTTTTGTGATTCCAATTTCTTTAGAATTCCTTTGCGGATATTGCGAAGCTATTGAGCGATTTCTTCAGGGATTTAGACGTAGTTCCGTCGGACGTCGTGGCGGGTTTAGTGTTATTACGAAGATTTCAGAAAATCGAACGGGAGCTGATTGTGAAGCAGGGAAAGAACGATATCTATGAGTTCCTATCAGGAGTGCCAATCACTCCTCGTACCAAGTTCCTGCATTTGACCGAGGATGAAGATTTAAAATACTTTCTGCCAGCTGTTCATTATATGCATTTTGCGCTAGCTGCTTATGGCTGGCCACTTTTTCTCGTTTCCCAATCGAGTGGCCTTTGCCAATTGTGTACAAGGTAATTTTTTTTTTTTCTTTAACAAAAACAATTTAATAATTCTTAAAAATTTGTAATTCTCGAACAAAAATTTATAAAATTTTTATTTATCTTTACAATTTCCTTGTATAAAGAGTTTTCCCTAGAGTTGTTTAGATTCTCAGAGGGAAATTATTCTTGGGTAATAGAAATCTAGAGCAAGAGCGTTGATGCGATTTATTGGATAATAATTTTTTTTTTTTTTTTTTCTCAGATTAAGATGCTGCTGCTTCTCATGCAAAGGAGAGGAAGATGAAACTATAGTCGTTGAGGATAACTGCTGCCAATGCAATTACGCTGTACTAAGAAGATTGGTGGAAATCGGACAAGTCGAGGTCGTTTATGCCACTTTCCACGTGGACGTTGGCGAGACTCCATTTTTCGTTGCGCTTGATTACAGCAATAAAAAGGTGTCAATAATATTGATTTCTAATTTTTTTTTTAAAAAAGGCAATTTTTTATAACGAAAAAAATTTCTAGATTTTACAAGTTATGAATTTAAAGTACTAATGAGTCTTGATACGATTTTTCCAGGTGGTTGTTAGTATTCGCGGGACCCTTAGTTTAAAAGACGTGATGACAGATTTAAATGCAGAGGGTGAAGTATTACCATTATCGCCGCCTAGAGAAGACTGGTTAGCTCATAAAGGGATGGTTCAAGCCGCTGAGTATATACGAAAAAAACTCCACGAGGAGGGAATAATTGACAAAGCATTCGCAAAAGTGAGTTTTCATTTGTTGAATAATAATAATTTAAATTTTATTTACAAATTTCCCTTTTTTTACAAATAGTTTCGAAAAAATTTTTCTTTAAAGACCTTTAAAGACAAAAACCTTTCACATTTGTTTTCTCTCTCTTTTTTTACTGTTTTAAAATTATTTTTTTCTCTTTCCTTTTTTTTTCCAATAATAGGATCCAGAGAAGGGTACTCATCAGTTCGGACTCGTTTTAGTCGGACATTCATTGGGAGCGGGAACAGCGGCAATATTAGCAATTTTACTTCGACAAGAGTATCCAGATTTGGTGTGCTTTTCGTTTGCACCACCTGGTGGATTGTTGAGTATGCCTGCTCAACAATACTCACAGGAATTCATTACGTCCGTAGTTGTTGGAAAAGACGTTATACCAAGGATAGGATTGAGACAAATGGAGAGCCTGAGGGCGGACCTCATCAACGCTATCAAGAGAAGCGTGGATCCCAAGGTATATTTCCTATGACACTTTTGTTTCACTGATAAGAAAAATTATAATATTTACTAGCAATATTAAACGCGCGCAAGCGCGCCAAATTGAGTATTTAATTGTTTGTTATAAAGAAATTAAAGATTAATATTATCAAAAATAATTTAAATTTATTAGAATATTATTTCATATTAAATGATAATAATGAAAATTATTATTATATGTTATTAAATTATATATAAAATTGAATTATTTTCCAAATTTTCAATTTAAAATTCAATTATTTACCAAGTTTTCAATTTAAAATTAAATAAAATTCAAATATTACCCGAAATTTTAATTCAACATCAACTTAAATTAAATTATTATCCAAAATTTCAATTAAAATTCAATTATTTTCCAAAATTTCGAGTCAAAATTAATTATTATCAAAATTTTCAATCAACTAAGATTAAATTATTTTCAAAATTTTCAATTTAAAATTCAATTATTTACCAAGTTTTCAATTTAAAATGAAATAAAATTCAATTATTTTTTAAAATTTTTATTCAAAATTAATTATCGAAATTTTCAATTAAAAATGAACTTAAATTAAATTATTATCGAAAATTTCAATTAAAATTCAATTATTACCCGAAATTTTAATCCAAAATCAACTTAAATTAAATTATTATCCAAAATTTCAATTAAAATTTAATTATTTTCCAAAATTTCGAGTCAAAATTAATTATTATCAAAATTTTCAATCAGCAATCAACTAAAATTAATTATTTTCAAATTTTCAATCAACAATCAACTAAAATTAAATTATTTTCAAATTTTCAATTTAAAATTCAATTATTTACCAAGTTTTCAATTTAAAATAAAATAAAATTCAATTATTTTTTAAAATTTCGATTCAAAATTAATTATCGAAACAATGCCAAAAAAACATTGAAAAATTGAGACGCCTACTTTTTCCTCAATTTTTAAATAACCGAATTTTTAATTAACATAATTTAAAATTACAAAAGTGTTAATAAACCGAATTTAAATATTTCAGAATTTTTAAAAAACCGAATTTTTATAGTTCCAAATTTTCAGTTTACACAATAAAAAAATAATCGAAATACCATTGGTTATAATTTTTATGTTCTCGAATATTAAAATTACAGAAAATAAAAATAACAGAAATTTAACTTGACAGACTTTCTGTTCAACCGAATTGTGATTGGACAGAAATTTAAGAAAACAGAAATATCATTTGTCATAATTTTAATTTTGCCGAATTTTTAATTTACAGAATTGAAAAACAACCGAAACACCATTTGTCAGAATTTTTATGGTCACAAATCTCAGATTAACCGAAAATGAAAACAGCAGAAGTTTCACTTGACATACCAAATCCATTGTGTATTCATTGTTTAAACAATCATCAACAATGGATTTATTCTATCAAATGAAAGTTCTGCTGTTTTTATTTTCGGTTAATTTGAGATTCGAGAACATAAAAATTATGACAAATGACATTTATGTTTATTTTTAATTATGTAAACTAAAAATTCTGCAAAATTGAAATTATGTTAACTGATATTTCCGTTATCTAAAAATTCTGTCCAATCGCAATTAGGTTGAATAGAAAGTCTGTCAAGTTAAATTTCTGTTATTTTTATTTTCGGAAAAGTTAAAATTCGAGAACATAAAAATTATGTCAAATGACATTTCTGTTTATTTTAAATTATGTTAACTAAAAATTCTGCAAAATTGAAATTATGTTAACTGATATTTCCGTTATCTAAAAATTTTGTCCGATCGCAATTAGGTTGAACAGAAAGTCTGTCAAGTGAAACTTCTGCTCTTTTCATTTTCTGTAATTTTAATATTCGAGAACATAAAAATTATAACCAATGGTATTTCGATTATTTTTTTATTGTGTAAACTGAAAATTTGGAACTATAAAAATTCGGTTTTTTAAAAATTCTGAAATATTTAAATTCGGTTTATTAACACTTTTGTAATTTTAAATTATGTTAATTAAAAATTCGGTTATTTAAAAATTGAGGAAAAAGTAGGCGTCTCGAAAAATTTTAACCAACACAAAATAATGTCAAACAGTACATTAAAAAAAAACAAAAGACCTATAACAAATACTAACTTCAGGTGTGGACAGAATGAACGAAAGATATTCACGATTATTATATGTAATTTTTTCCTTTATTTATTTTATGAATATTTTTTTTTTTTTATTTAATTAATTTTTTTTTTGACCAAAGGCCTGAATTAATTAATTTTGAAAGTCAGTATCAAAAAGTAATTTTGAATTATTCAGTGGAAAACGATATCGTGTTCTGTGATGTGTTGCGGATGTGGTTCGATCCCAACATCAGCGGCTAATTTAGAAGCAGGCGGATGTATCAGCGAATATCAAAGAGATAAGGATATGGCTAGATCGCAAACAGTAGTCTCTGGTGACTCCAGCGTAGCATTAACGCTTCATCGACCTCTTTATCCACCAGGGAAAATCATTCATGTCGTACGAAGGCATCCCAACAAAAATGAGTAAGTAAAAAGAAAAATTATAAACATATATTTAACGCTTACATGACGTAATATAAACGTTAATAAGGGATTTTTTATTTCAATAAAAATAAATTACTGTATAATATATTTTTTTTTATTCATAGGCAAATAAATCAATCACGTTGGAGGTACGTTAAATTTTTATTTGTGGGCTCGATTAAAAGCATATTGGTTTATAATCCCAATTATTAATTATCGGTGTCTTTTTCTTAATTTTTAGTATTTTTTTTAAATTATTAATTTAAAAAAAATTTTTAAGTATAATTTAATATAAATTGTTACAATTATTATTATTTTTAGAAATAGATTTCAAATAAATTATGTATTTTTAATCGGAATATGTAAGCATGCTGAAACTGCATGCACTTATAAAATATGTATATATTTATAAATATAAATAGAAAGGAAACTATTTTTATATTTCAATTTCTCGTTTAATTATTTTATTCTACTTTTCAATTTAGTTCTTATAAGTTAAAATTAAATTTCCAATTTTAGTAATTTTAAATTGAATTAAATTTGAAAAAGAATGATTTTAAATTTTCAGAAAAGTGTTGAGGAAACACGAACCAGAATATATGGCGCTTTGGGCGGGACCTTGTGACTTTGACGAAGTGCTCATTAGTCCTGTGATGATTCAAGATCATATGCCTGACAATATGCTGAAGGCACTTCGTAAGGTAAGGCTACCTCAAAATGTGACAAACAAATTGATAATTTCGACTAGTCGAAATTCTTCATTGAAATTGGGACATTACGAGCCATTGGATAATTCAATTGACACACCTGAATTAAGGCGAGAAGGAAATTATGAATGCATCAATGTTGAAAATTTAATAGATATCGATAGTTATGAATCAACTGAAGATCAGTCAATTGATAGTAAAGATAATTCAAATAGAACATCATTAATTGTCGTTGACGTTGAAATACACGAGAGAAATGAGACTCAAATTAGTTCAAATAGTTCAAATAGTTCAAATAGTTCAAATAGTTCAAATAGTTCTTGATTTTATATTAAAAATTCTATTAATATTCTTATAATTGAAAATTTGAAATTAATAATTTTCTCAATTTATTAATTTAATAATTATAATTAAGGGAAAATTTAGTAACAATTTCAGCTCAACTTTTGTCAAGTTTCTAACTTTTTATTGTATTGATTATTTTGTATTAATAATTTATTTTCGAGTCTTTGTCGATAATAATTTATCGAGATATTAAACAAAAATAAGAAAATTATAAATTAGGAACTATTTATAAGATATTTTTACATGACAAAGTAGATATTTCCAAATTGTGATTTTTCATTCAAAAAAGTAGGAATTGTATGTTATAGTCTCTTGCCACTAAACTACCTCAAATTGTGTGTTTGGTATTTGTTTAGAAAAATGATGTTGCAAATTATTATTGACACATTTTACTTTCTTAGTAGAAAAATTACATTTTTCTTTATTTTTGCAGAAAAATCGTGTCAATAATTATTAATTTTGTTGTTTAATTGAGAGAAAAAAAAATAAAAATAAAACGTAATTGTGCATGATTTTTGTAATGAAAAATGAAGCATGACATGAATTCTAAAAAAAAATGAAAGAAACTAAAAGTAGAATTATAATGTGTATTTTGTTTTGTAATTATGCTTTTTTTTAATTTAAGTTCAATTTCTTTTTTAGAAATTCTAATTAGCTTGCCACTTTTGTATCGCGTTTTTCTATTTTTATTAATTTAATTTAGTGATTAATTTTTCCTTAAAAAACTGAGGAAATATTCCCAGGATGCTTTTGAAGTTATATATTTATTTTTTGTAAATTTTATTTTTAAATATTTTGTTTTTAAAGTTCTTTAATAAATTTTTTCTTTTAATTTGCAATTTTGCTTAATAATTATAAATCTTGCTATTTATTTATTTTAAAATACAATTTAATAACAGCTTCATTAATTATTTTAACTAACTGTAAAAGGAGTTTACCTTTATTTTGAGATTTTAATTTAATTTATTCTCATATAATTTCTGTTTCTTATTATAAATAATGAAAATTTTCGAATTTTTATAGAACAATCTTGGGAATATTTTTCAAACAAAAAAGAATAATTTTGTCTTGATTTTCTCATATGTGCCATATATATAATAATAATAGTAACAAGTAAACAAAATAATAATACAAATAATAATTTATAAATTTAATCATAAGCTTTATAAATTCATGATCAATTAATAATTAGTTTATGTGATTAATTCGTATAAAAGAAATTTGATGAAAAAAAAAGTCGCATGAGTAAGAAAGTTACGTCTGTTATAGAGTGAGATTATTATTGTAAACAATTTATGTCATTAATTTTTAGTTAAATATCACCACATAAACAAAATATTGTTCCTTTTTTTTTTGCTATTTAATTTTTTTTCATTTTATAATATAATATTTTTTACGTTAATTGTAAAAAAAATTTTTTGTTTATGTTTCGCTTTATTTATATTTATTACACTTTTTTTGTCATCTATTTATGAAAATTTTACAATGACTTCTTATTTATCTATGTAAAAATGTAATTGCTTGTAATATACATTTTGTTCTATATAAACAAAATGTAGTTCTCTTTTAATTATTCGCTGAATCCTCAAAAAACATGTGCTGAAAAAATTAATGATAATTATAAAATTGAAAATTATTTATAAATACTGTCTAAAATCCTGTCGATAATTATTTTTCATAATGTATTTTTTTTGCACTTTCTTTAAAGTAATTAATTTTTATAATATTATTTAATATTGATCCTCGATGTCTTCATTTATCATATATATTTTTAAATTAATAATTTATTTTCAACCAAATAGAGAATAATTTTTGATATTTGTAAATAATTAATTAATGAGGGTGTGTGGTGTGGATTAGGTTCGTGTGAATAATTCTTCAACAAATTATAGCTGCAAAATTTCTTCGAAATGAATTCATTAAAAATTTTTCCTATCATTAGTGCAGATTGGCTAATTTTGTTAATCTTCATTTAGAATGTTTGTGAGAAAAACATTTTATTGAACGAGAAGTTCAATTCTGTTGGTTCATTTTTTTCTTTACATCTTTTTTTTATTCTATTTTTAATTTTATTTAATTTTTTTCTTCAAATTTTTGATATTTACTTCTATTCTATTTTTTTTATATTCATCTTCATGTATCTTTGCATCTTCTTTTTATCTTTTTTTTTTATATGGCTTCTCTCGAGCTTATCGAAATCAAATGACAAAGTCGTCTCTATATCGTTGAAATTTTATAGTATCAGTACTGCCAAAGCAAGTACAACACGCTGAAAGACAAGAAGACTGCAGCGGCTAGAATTGCATTCACAGACGTCTCTCATCTACAAACGTCAACACCTCGAGATCTTAATGCCGACGTTCATGTCACCACACCCTCCTCTTTCTCCCGCGAAACAAGGTACTTTGATTAGGAATCATAGTCAGTCAGCAAAGTCACTCGGAAAAAATTTTTCATCTCGATTCTTTCTGAAAATAAAACGGGCAAGGAATTAAAAATTCAAAAAGGGTGTAAAAAAAATTTAATTAAAAATCATAACAGAAAGTATAAAAAAAAAAAAAAAAAAAAAATAATTAATTTCAACGAGGAAAATAGAATTCAGAGGAAATAGTTATCAAAGAAATAATATAAATAATTTTATTATATTTTTTCACAGTGACATTGTTGGTGAATTTTCTCTCTCTCTTTAAAAATTTACTTTTTTAAAAATTTTTATATCACCTCACAAAAAAAAATCACTAGGTATTTATATAAAAAAAAAAAAACGCAGCACTTCATGACATGTATCTTATTTTAAGAACGCACGCTAGAAGAAATAATTATCTTAGTATACTTCCAATTCAAGTGACACTTAAGGACTGTGCGAGAACTTGTGAACAGTTTCATTATATGAAACTTCATACAAATGGGAAGATACGTATAATTTTTTTTTTTCAATATACAATTCTTTTTTCTTCAAATTGATGTATTTGAAATTTTTCTCTAATTTTTTTTTTTGCCTTTCCCTTCTCTCCTCTATTTTAATTCTCAATTAATTTTCGACTGATAAAAAAAAAGAAAAAATTAAAACAATTTTTGTTATGATTTATGTGGTTGATATTGAAATAGTAGCGGAATAATAATTTTTATATTGTCAGCATGTAATATTTTCCCACGATGTCGTTATTTTAATTTTTAATTAGATCGTTTTCCAAATAGCCATTAGAAAGGTAAGTTTTGTAGAATTCTAGAAAGAGAATTTCGATTATAATTTTAAGAACGAAATTGTAAATTTAAAAAAATAAGTAAATAAGTAATATTCGATAAAGAAGAAAATTTGCACGATAGGAAAATTTGTATTTTAAATCTCTGCATGATAGAATTTTGTAATGTAATTTTGTAATTATCATCGTTCCCTAGTGTAAAATTTTCTTTTTTCAAATTTAAGAGACAAGTTTTAAAAACTTAAACTCAGAACTCTCCTCTTCCTCTCGAAGAAAATCAGGTATTACGAAAAATTTAGAAACAATCCTTATTTTTATGTATAGTGTGAAAAATCTCTAAGAATCCGAATTTATAAAAAATTTGGAAATAATTTTTCATTATCTGAATTTATAATCAAATTTTCGGATTCTTAGGAGAATAGAAATCCATGTTGGATGTTAATTTTTTTTTTTTTTTGAGAAATTGCTTGTAAATATGGAAGTTTGGTTTTTCTTTTTGGGCAAAAAAGAAAGTTTTTTTTTTTTTTTCCTTCAATTGCGTGGATCAGGTTGTAACGAGGACGAGTGCAGCGAAGCCTCAACGTCAATCCTCGTTGGTGAATGTTTTGAATGCCCGAGAAGCCTTAGATATTCAGGAAATTGAGATTGAACAAGAAATGAGAGCTTTACTTTCAACATCGAGTCCTGTCAAGTGTCCACTGACTGCTGGGACACCGCCTCACAAACTATGTCTGGAAACTAGCTTTACATCGCTTCAAAGTCCCAACGAATTCCCTCAAGCCGGTCGGGAGCTCAGTCTCGATTCCACGGGTCTTCCTTGGGAATTTATTAGCTTGGCCAGCGAACTTTTACACACTCCCAGGCCCAACGAGAGCAAACTGTAAGAATAGACAAATTTTGTCAAAAAAAAAACGAAAAAAGCAACTAAAAACCAAAAACACATTTCAAATCGTAAAAATAAAATTTAATTTATTTTCAAATTAAAATGATATTAATTAAAATTAAATTAAATTTCAAATTTATTTTGTTAAAATAAAAAAATATTTTTATTTTAGAAAAAAATGTGATTATGAAAGAAATTAAGAATATTTTCTCACAACTTGAAATGTAAAAATTAGTAGATTTTGTAAATATCATCAATGATGTTTATTTGAGGAATTTTTAAATTAATGTTTATAGATAAGTTTGCAACGAATAGCACTCAAGGTAAACAATGTCCATAAATTTTGATGTGATTATACTTTATAGAAAATTATTTTGTTCAGTTACACGAATTTTTATTTGGATCCGTAATATTTATTAACATTTTAATAACATTCCTCGTTCTTAGTGTAGCCCAATTATTAAATTTAATATTCCGTATTCAAAACAATTACAATTTCAAATCGAATAAATTCAATTATAGTTTAATTGATCAGATAAAATTGAATTAGAAAAATTGAAAAGGACTAATTTTTTTTATATTTATTATTAGAAATTAAATGAAAAAAAAAAATTTTTCTTTCTATTTTGTAATTCCAAGATCCTATTTTGTAGAATTTGTATTTTTCCTTTTGTACAAAAAAAAATAATTGTTTTTTTCTAAAAGACTAACTTCGACAGTCTCTCAACTTTTATCACAACAGGTACAAATTTTAGACTATATTTTTACCACTAAAACACAATTTCACCTCACGCTTCATTTTTCGTAGATAAGAGAATTACAAAAAAAAAAAAAAAAATTACACAATTATTAACTTTTAGTAACATTTAGTATGTTGAGATAAAAAAATAATTTTATCTCGAAGTTATTAAAAGTTATTAAAAAGAAAAAAATTAAAATTTTATTATTGTTTTTCTTTTTTTTTTAATGAATAGGTCAAATCGTCTGGGAGACTGGGATAATTTACCTCGAATGGCTCCTTTGGCGACGCCTGAAACTCTGTCCGAGGCATCAAGTTATCCTCCATCGCCAATTCCACCCCCGAGACCAATGAGACGAACTCCAAAAATTTCCGATAATTTATCAACAGCTGCTGACGATTTAAAAAATAATCTTCATTTTGCAATGCTCTCGGCGAAAAATTATTTTCTTCGTGAGGAAGTTATGGGCAGCAATAGCAGTAGCGGTAACAGTGAGGCAAGCTATGAGAGTCCAAAAAATTTAGAAACTGTACTTCCACCTCCTGTGCCAAGAAGAGGCGATTCTGTGATAGCGAGGAGGTAAAAAAAAATTGTTATTTAAAATTACTAATAAAATTAAAATTAATTATTTACCATTATTTATGAGTATATTTTTTTGCAAAAAATTCAGGGAACTTCGAGTATGTACAGCTGCCTGTTATTGCAGGGATGATCTTTCAGAAAATTCTTCAACCCACACGTCCTCGCAATCTTCAGGAAATTCTCATATATCCCATCGTGTGCAAATTGATTTTATGGAAGGAAATGAAACCAGCGGCACTAATGTTGATTATTTTGGAACAAAGGTAAAAAAAAAATTTCCACATCTAAAAAGAAAAAGAAAATTTATTAAAAAATAGAGATTTTTTTTTTTATAAAACTAGATAATACTAACATTTTTGTAAAGAGAAGAATTATAATTTTTCGGTCAAATTCCAGGAAGTAACAAAAATGGAAAGCAATAATGAAGTCTTCCTGAGTGTGAAAACCTCTTCTGATTGTAAAAGCTTAATGGCTCCAGCAACTGATTTAGGCGCTGAATGGAAGAGAAAACTTGATTCTGGAGCTATTGGCAGTGATGCATCACTACCTCTTTTACGTGGTTTATCACCAACTCCTTCGACGAATTCACCATTTTTCAATGCGAAGAGAAAAAAATACGTATATCCAATTACTCTAGTTGGACGAGGGGAAAGTAGCGTTTAAAAAAAAAAAAATTCAAAAAAAAAAACGGGACCATGGGTTATCTAAAAAAAAAATTTCGTTTTTCTTCCCCTTTAAAAAAATAAAAACGTCTATTAAAATAAAAATTCTAAAAAATTAACACGTTTTTTAACATAAAATTAAAAATCGAATACTAAAATTCATTCCATTGGATAAAATCAGAAAAAATGGAACTAAGGTATAAATTTTTCATTAATTACAAATCTAGTCAAGATTCATTATTATGAACAAAAAAAGTAATAGAAATAAAAAAGAAAATTTAAAAAAAATTCTATTATCTGCAAAAAAAGTCCAAATTCGGTAATTTAAAAAATAGTTTATCAAAATAAACTAAAAAAAAAAATTTCTAAAATATTGTTTATCGAAACATCGAAATAAGAAACATAAAATGTAAAAAGAAATTTGAATTTACTTTTTGTCATATAATTAATTTATTCGTAAATAAATTAAAATTAAAATTAAATTAATTAAAATTAAAACTAATTGTGATGATAGATTTCATTTGATAAAGACTGTAAAATACTTCCAAATGAAAATTTTCGTTTAAAAAAAAAAACTTTCTATTATTATTAATCTTGTAAATGGTGTCATTATATCAAATGTAAAATAAAGGTACATTTAAGTAGATCGAATTTAGTTTAAAAAAAAAAATGTAAGAAGTGTCCATGTAATTTTACAATAGTAGAAATTTTACAGTTCCATTGAAAAATCTTCTATAAAATAAATTACATTTTCCATTGTTCAAAGTTTTTGATAACTTATAAAAAATATTTTGTAATTCTATATGGTTTTTTTTTTTTTTTTTTTTGACAATCGAGAGAAAAGAAGGAAAATTATTCTATAATTATAAAAATTGTATAAAAAAAAATCTACCACGACAAAAATATTTCTGAGTAGATAATTTAATTTTTCAATTATAAAACAATCTAATAAACGTATTTGTATGATATTAAAGAAAAATAGTAATAAAAAATTTTTTTCAATTACTCAGAAATTTTTCTTCTTGGTAGTAAAATAGCTATTTAATTTTAAGTCTAGTCAAAATGATGTAAGGAAAATATATAAAATAATAAAAATTATATAAATGCTAAAGATTATATTTCTCAACACATATAATTGTAGATAAGAATATAAATTGCTTTATGTCAATAATTGCAAAAAAAAAATAAATTAATAATTTGTAAGCAATAAAATTATCAGAATTTAAATGATTTTTATTTATTTATTCTTTGTGATGGTGAAAATTATATTTTTTTTTCTATTTAGAAAAATTTTTTTAAATGAACTTATTTATCTCACATTCACATATACACTCACTGTTTTTTTAAGTGTCAATTTATAAATAAATAACAATTCTCAGTCAAAATTAACTGATTTATTTCTATATATATATTAAAAATTGCCACGTATTCACGGAATAGTTGTGAAAATTTTATATTTATAAAATTTTTAATTAAGTATATAAATTTTCTTTTAACTCTTTTTTTACAGTTGAAAAAGTGAAATATAAAGAATTTTCAAAAATTTTTATTGAATAGCAGATGCCCAAGGTGGTGTCATTGGTTGTGGATTTTGTAAATAAGACATTACAACAGCGGAAATAGATAACATAAAACTACTGAGAATTTGTTTTGTATCGTCGCTCACCCTTGAATTAGCAAAACTAATACAGGAACAATAAAGAGCAACCCACGCACACCATTTTAGTCTCATCATTAAACCGCACATACTAAAAATCATTCCCAATATATTCATATAATCTGGCGTTAAATCATCTCCTGGTTGGGCTTGAGTACTCGTCACTGCGGGTTTATAACGAATTTCCTTCTCAGGACGTCGTGGATCTGTCGAACTATTCATACTGAAAAGAAAAATTTTATTTTCCACATTTTAGAACTACAAATTTTAAGGAAAAAAAAAATTTATCAATTAATGAATTTAAAAAAAAAATATTACAGAATTAAAAAATCAAGGGAGAAAAAATACATGAGCCAAAAGTTTTGAACGTTCAAATGAACGAAATTTTTTTTTTAGTACAAAAAAGTACAAATTTTATTATAAAATATTGTATAAAATATCTAAAAATGAGTTATTAATTTAATAATTGTTTTATTTTACATGAACATCATAATTTTTAATAATTTATACATTGAAAAAAAATATTTCGTTCATTTGAACGTTCAGAACTATTGCCTCATATAAATACAAAGCCTCCTCTCGGGAGGAGATGATACAGGTAATATTGCAATTGTAAAAAAAAAATCAAATTGTTAAAATAAATTTTTATTGTTGAAACAAAAGAGTAAAAATGAAAATTTTGTAGGTTAGGAACGAAAAACTATAAGCAAAATGAATTAAAAAAACATGCATATATAATAATTAATTACATAACTTACTTGAATTAAAAAGGTGTAAATTGTAAATATTTTAAAACACTTTTTTTTAATTATAAAATCTTAAAAAATATAGAATATTATTTTACTGACGTATCATCCACGGACAGGGATGGGAAGTTACAAGTAAGAAGTTTTTTTTTTGACGTAAGTTAGGTAATAAATTACGTTTAACTGTCACCGAATTTGACAGCTGTAAACGTCAAACGTGCATTTTTATTACTATAAAACGTATATTTATAATAATTCTAATAATTATTATGAATGAAACAAGTGAGAAAATTAATAGTACACCTCTAACACGTAGAGTTAATAAATTATTAGACTTACGTCCTGAAAATGATAAGGTTAGTTCAAAACATAACCTCTCATTATTAATAAAATTTTGATTTCGTATTTAAAAAAAAGAGAATTTTCTTTCTTTACTTTTTATTTATTTCTTTTTTTTTTACTTATAGGGAACGCTTGAAGCTCTAAAAGAACTTTCGACATTTTTTACTGAAAATACATTAAATGGAAGACGTAATCTTCGAAGTAAAATCGAACGAAGAAGTCTCACAATTAATGAAGACTTTTTATCAGCATTTAAAGAAGTTAAAAACACATTGGACGATATGTATCATAATGTTTCAGCAATGAATAATTCTGTTCAAAGTATGAGCAATCGTTTACAAACAACAAAATCTCGTACATTACAACTTATTGATCAGACATCAAAACTACAAAACGAAAGGTATTTTGATTTTTCCCCCTTCATTTGAGAAAAATATTTAAATTACTTTTTTTCCAGTAAAAAACTGTCAATACAACAAGAGGTTGCGAATGCATTTATAAAATCATTTGAATTGAATTCGTCAGAAATGTCAATATTGCATGGACCATCTAGAGAATCGCCGATAACGGAAGAATTTTTTACAGTTGTCAATCGAGTACAGGTAAATGTTTAAATATTCTATTAAATTATTAATTAAATTTATTGATTATTAATTTTATAAATAATTAATTTCTATATATTAATTAATTTTATTTATTGATTTATATTTTTGTTAATTGTTCTTGTATAATTTTGTATGTATATATTTTTATTTATTTATTCAATACTAATTCAAATAATTATAATAATAATAATTCAAATACCTTTTGTATTTTTGTTTTTTTAAAGTTTGTAATAGTCTTCGACTCATATTAATTTAATTTCTTTGTATTTTTGTTTGTTGTTTTTTAATTTTTTTATAATTTTGTATTACTAGACTCCCTGAAGAGAAAATCAGTGTGATTTCGAAACATTGGAGAAAATTTAAATAAAAATCCATTTTGTTATCGTTTTTGTTGCTTAACTTTTTAAATAATTAATTTATTAATTATTAAATAAATAATAAATAAAATAATAATAAATAAATAATAATAGAACTTGAAATTTTATAAGTAAATTTAATTTTTGATTTACAGGAAATACACAGTAGTTGTCGAATATTAATGCAATCGGGATATCAAACATTGGCACTTGATATAATGCAAAGAATGACACTTTTACAAGAGGCAGCACTCGAAAGATTATATAGATGGACACAAAATCAATGTAGACATATTGAAAATGAACATTTAGCTCCATTATTAATAAAAGCAATGGGCAAATTACAAGAAAGACCCGTTCTTTTTAAGTAATAATTCCTTTTTTCTATTAAATAAAATTTTTTAATTTTTTATCCTTTAAATTAAAATTAATAACAAATATTATTTTATAGATATATTTTAGATGAATATTGCACGGCTAAAAGATCTGTATTGGCGGGATCTTTTATTGATGCATTAACATTGGGAAAAAATATAACTGGCGCTCCAAATCCAATAGAAATGCATGCACACGATCCAAAACGTTATGTGGGCGATATTCTCGCGTGGTTCCATCAGGCGATACCAATTGAAAAAGAAAATTTACTAAATCTTGTAAAAGCTTGCGACAAGACAGGTGAAAAAATTTAAAAAATTCATTTTTAAAAGAATAAAATAAAATTAATTATTAATTATTTTATTAGTATTAATAATTAATAAATGTGTTACAGTTGTATTGGATCAGGTAAATCAATCATTGGGCAATATTACAGAAGGTTTATGTCATCCTTTAAAATCAAGAATTGAACATATTGTATCGGTCGATGCACCGGCAACTGTTTTATATTCAGTGATGACGCTAATTAGATTTTATAAAACAATATTAAAGCCAGTTATTTTTGACAGTGTTCTTGATACAACTTTAGGTGAATTAATGGAATTAAGTGAAAAGAGTTTTGTTAGTCGACTCCAAAGAGAAACACGCGTTGCTTTAGGTGAACGTGCCGAACCACCGGGCACTGATTTAATTCCTGCTCCTTCTGTTTCAAGATTATTGGCACTTTTAAATGAAGTTCTTTCAGTTGCCAGTATTGCCGAAGACAGAGAAAAGGATATGTTACAAGTTAATATTAGATATTTATTAGCTCTAATTATTTTAATAAATTTTAATTAATTATTAACTATTAATAATAATCTATTTAAATTTTTTTTACAGATTGTATCGTGTATTATTGATCCTCTTTTGCAAGAAGTGAATGAAACTGCTTCAAGATTACCGACAGTTGACATGGCTGTTTATCTTCTTAATTGTATGCATCAAATTCAATCTACTCTTGCTTTATACGAATACATGGATCAAAGATTGGAAAGACTGCAGGTGATTTTAAATTTTCAAAAAAATGCTTATTTTTTTATTTATTCTTTTATATTTTATATATTTTTTCTTTACTATTACAATAGGCTCAGTCCGATGCACAAATTGATACTTTAACATCTGAACAAGCCAGTTCATTGGTGGCAAATTTAAATCTTGGACCAATATACACAATTTTACAAGGCTATCAACAAGGGCCTTTGTCATCGATTCCAGGAATGGATCCATTGAGTGTCAAAGAATTTACGGTATTATTTATTTAAATTGATAAAAATTTATTTATTTAGAAAACAATATTAATTAAATAACATTAATTTTATTTAATTATAGAATAAATTGGAAGCATTTATTGTGATGCCAGACGTTCTATTATTGCCACAAATTAGTTTATTGCAAAGTACAACGCATCGAACTGTAGCTCAAAAACGTTCATTTGAAGTTATTAGTGCAATTTATAAACAATTATACGAAGCCTGTCATGATCCTAAAAATCTTTATCAAAATTCTGATAGTCTATTCTCGAGAACACCGGAAGAATTACTTAAAACATTGATCTCTAATTGAGATATTTATATTTTATTTAAATTTAATATATTACTGAAAAAATGAGAATATAGTAAATAAAAAAAGAAAATCATTGTACATAATTTTATTTTTAAGAATACATGAAATATTTATAAAATGAATTTATAAATAATTATAATGAATAAAATTCAAGTTAATACTACAAATTAAAAAAAAAAATTTATATTTTGCGTTTTCTCAAAACATGGAATTTTATATTCCGAAAAGAAAAAAGAACTCATTAAAATTAAATTTGTGATCAGTTTTTGTTTTTCGCTTAAAAATTAATAACTTGAATTGGAAATAAACTGATAGAAATAGTAAGTTAAGAAAATAAAAAAATATTTGACTTTTTTTTTTTATAAGCTTATATAGATCTATAAAATTTGAATAAAAGTATGAATTTTTTCTGTATCCTACTTTACATGATAATATAAAACGATTAATTACATTATTTAAAGTTATTTTATTAAATAATTTTTCTTTTCACTTAATTTTCTAGTTAATACTAACTTTGGAAGGAAATATAATTTTATAAAATCATTTTAGATGAAAACAATACGAAATCAAAACGAGTAACAATAATCTGTTGTTCTTTTTTTTTGTCTTCTCTTAAAAATGGAAAAACTAAATTTTAATTAAAATAAAAACTTTAAAAATAAAACAGAAAATAATATCAGTACTTAAATGCGTTAGTTTCAGTCATTGTATCTCTATTAAAAGTTTTATTAAATAAATAATACTTTTTTAAAAAATAAATTGTAATTAAAAATTAATAATAGATTCAAACTTACGCATTTATCACATATATCTCCTATAAAGTCAACAAAAAAAAATTGAAATTAAAATTTAAATTTGTTTTTGCTCATTTTGTATTCTCAACAATCTTTGTAATTGAGGTGGTAAATTTTTAGAAACATTTTTTTCAATTTGTTTTTGATTAGAATAATTGTCAGTGTTTAAAACATTTTTCCAATCAATTGATTCCATTCTTCCTCTTCCACCGCATTCGCTGGCAAATGTTCCAAAATAAGGCATATCAATAGTGATTTTTTTTTGTGATTCCTCCAATGATGATGTTGAAATTGAATCATCAGTAATTGATCTCGAAGTTGATGGTTCTTCTTCTTCTTTTTCATTGCAATTTAAACTTTTTAAATTGTTCATCTTACGAAGAGACATTAATCGTGAACAATTTGAACTTTTTGTACTCTCATCAGTACTTTTATCATCCGTGGTAGTTGTGATTTTTTTTAATTTCGGTAAATTGTCTTCATCAATTTTTAAATTCACATACGATGCCAATAAATTCTTTAATCGAAGTGGATAATGTTTATTTTCTGATTCGACAATTGGAATTTCATCATTAATTTCATTATTATCATCATTATCATCATCATGATTCAAACGATTATAATGAAGTGAAAATGGATCGTAACCTTTTTGTTTCAAACATTCTTTATAGTGTGAAAAAACATAATTATGATGTTCTAATGAATATTGTCCTGGTTCAGCGAATTTTTCCTTACACAACCAATCATTAATATGAAAATCTTGATCAGTTCTCGTGTCGGTTAATACGAGAAAAAGTAAATTTTCTTCAAGATTAATATCATGTACAGTTGCAATTAATGGAAATGATGATTTTGATATAAATTGCCATAAAATATCGTGACTCCAATTTGATGATTTATATGGTTTCACATTATATAAACAACATGGTATTGCTTGTGCGGGAAAATTGGCAAATGATTTATGTAAAAAGCAAATTTCATCGGGAAAAAATTTTTTATCCATTCCATAATCGTATAAAAAAATTGTTATTTGTGAATCTTTACAAACATCTTTAATTAATCCACGATTCCATTTATTTTTAAAAAAACAAACAACATTCAATCCTTTTTGCATTAAACTAAATGGAACTTTATATTTAAAATTGTAATTCACATAGAATGTCATAATTTCATTATTGAATGTATTGAAAATTTGAAAATTTTTACGCAAATGAATCCAAAAGTAAGATGGTGAAATAACATGGGATATTGTAATTTCTTCATAATTATCATTATTTAATTTAAATTCAGTGACACTTAATTGTTTTACAGTATCATCGATTCCCATTACTTCTTTAAGTAATGATGATTTAAAATCATCATAATCGTGTGAATAATCGGGTATATTTGATTTTTTATCATTCTTTAAATGTGGAAGATTATTTTTTGCGTTAAATAATTTGTAGTCTTTTTCATTTAATGGTTTGACGCAATGAAAAATTTTTGGCAAATGATAAACAAAATCTAAAAGACTGGAAAATTCTTTCTCTGAATATAATAATGGTGAATTATATTCTTGAAGATATAATTTTGTTAATTCGGAACACCAAATTCCATTTGGAAATTTTTGTATTAGTTTCGATAGTCTAATTGTTGTAAAAATTGTTAAATCACGATCGGATTTAATTGAATTCTCCGGTTTGGAATTTTCATCATCAATTTTAATATTTGTAGACATATTTTCTTGTTGACATTCCTTTAAAGGAATATCGTTTTTATCACTTTTTATTTCGCACTTTTCTGTAATTTCAGAAATTAGAGTTTTTAATTCCTCGTTTAATTTATAAACATCATTGGCTCCTTTAACTAGCAAGGGAATTTTATTTTCAGTCTTATTTGATTTTTCAATGAAATTAGCAGATTTTTCCTCTTGAATAATATTTGGTTGAATTTTTGAATTTTGAACTGGAACAATGTTGGGCTTAATGTGTGAATTTTGAACAGGTTTTTGCTGTCGAATAATGTTTGAATTTTGTGAATTATAATTTCCATGTAAAGTCCAATTATTATTATTATTATTATTATACGCATAATTGGTTAAAAATTGTTGTGGAAAAATTGGCATCACATGTTTTGGATATAATTTATCACCACAAACAATAACTAAGTGTGATATTAAATTTAATTGACGTTCCAATTCCTGTTTTGTAATTTGAAGTGGATAAATATGTTGATTTAAAAATAATATAACATTAAACATTGGTACGCCATGTGGATATAAATAAACACATTGTACAAGTTGTGTTAATAAATTCTTATTAATTGTAACTTGTGATTTATTAGCGCAATATCCAAGAAAAGGCCTTTGAAATTTTCTTCTATTTGGATTTTTTGATCTTTGATTTTTTACAAATTCAGCGATATGTTTTGTTTTATCGGTTATCACGGGAAATAAGAGTGTTTGATTATTTACTCTTTCAATGCGTACATAATTTTGTAATTCTTGCAAAAAACTATATAATGTTGGACAATTAAATTCTTTAAAAGGAATTGGCTCACATTCAACTTCTTCATAATCTTCTGCTAGTCTTCGTATTGTTACACCGTCTTGATATGTTGTCAAAAGTGATCTAATTACAATTGCCACATCCTCTCGTTTCTTATTACTTGATAAGTGCATCTTTATATAGTTATTTTATTTTTATAACTGAAAAGAAAAATAAATTCTTTAAACTTGTTAACACTTGAAACATATATAAAAACGTTTTAAGAACGTTTTTTTTGGTTATTTTTCAAGTTTTAAGGTTATGTTATCGATAATTATTAAAAATGCTAACTTTACTAAAATTCACATTATCAAAATAAAATCGTAAATACATTTTATTAATACATCGCAACAATTGAAAGTTAAGAATTAAATTTTCTGAATTTTAATTAGAAAAATATTTACTTGTTTATAACCTCAAAACACACGAGACTCATAACAAAGAACAATATTATGCGTATTACTAACAATTTTTCGTAAATTAAAACGTATGGAAACAAAATTTACTTACTTCTAAATAAAATCAGCTTATTACAATTATTTTCAAATATATTTATATATTAAAACCATTTTATTTTTATATTTTTCACTTGCGATCACAAAATTCTAAATGTCGACAGGTCGACGGGAAACGGAAACCACGTGAGCGAAGAGCGAACAAGATGGACAATCATAAAATCAAATTAATAGAAAGTTAGTGGCGCCATTTATATAAATAAAAAGTATTTTTTTTCTAATTTTAAAAGACATTTAATTTTATTTTTAAACAAATTAAAAAAATTAAACATTTTTTTTTAATTTCTTTAAAATTTTAAATTCAAATTTTATCCATTTTACCGTATTTCTGCAAAGTTTTAATCTTTATTTCCTCGAATATCCATTAATTCAATTGTTTATTTAATATAAATGATTAATTTTAGCAATATAAATAATATAAAACGTTTAACATTAATTGTTTACTATGATAAAATTAAATTAATAGAAAATTAGTGGCGCCATCTGTTGGTGACTCTAGACGTACCTGCAAAATGACTTTTTTTGGTCCTTTTTGACGATTTTCCATTGGAGAGATAGGAAAGTTAAGCTAATTGAAAATTTTCATTTAGGAGCGCTGCTGCACCGAAATTTTATCTACCCATCCCTGGTTTGAACTTTTGGATTGTAACGCTCTCATTGGTCAGTTTTATATTTACGCGGGGAATAGCATCCAATGAGGTGCAGGCTCATTCCCCGCGTAAATATAAAACTGACCAATGAGAGCGTTACAATCCAAAAGTTCAAACCAGGGATGGGTAGATAAAATTTCGGTGCAGCAGCGCTCCTAAATGAAAATTTTCAATTAGCTTAACTTTCCTATCTCTCCAATGGAAAATCGTCAAAAAGGACCAAAAAAAGTCATTTTGCAGGTACGTCTAGAGTCACCAACAGATGGCGCCACTAATTTTATATTAATTTAATTTTATCATAGTAAACAATTAATGTTAAACGTTTTATATTATTTATATTGTTAAAATTAATCATTTATATGAAATAAACAATTGAATTGTTTGGATATTCGACGAAATAAAGATTAAAATTTGCAGAAATAAGATTTTCAAAGGGGGAAAATACGTAATTACGTTTTGCGCGTGCGTGATTAAAATAAGAGAGTTCGAGGGGGCTAGCAGACGTTTAATTATTAAATTTTAATTAAAAATTATATTTATGTATTCTATAAATGTTTATTTTGCATAATCAAGTAATGTGAGAAAACTGGATAAGTGAAGTGAGAAAAAAGTTTTAGCAGTGATTTATTTTTTATTAAAATTTATGCATTAATTAAATTATATTTTTTAGGTTAGAATTACAAAAATGGGTAATACATTGAATGCAGCATCATTAGATGCGGCAGATTTGATATTTCCAGTTAATGAACAAATTTCAGCAAATAAAAAAATACATTCATTTAATTTAAATGTTCATGAGAGAAGAAATTATAATGATAATATTCCACCTGAATGTCCAATGCATAAGGAACAAAAAAATTATGTCAGCGAATGTCCTATGAATCAAGGCAAAGATTCTGATATAAATCCTCTCAACATGGTGATTAATTTAATTGAAATGATTAAAATTTTTATAAATTAAATTTTTTTAAATTTTTTAATTAATTTTCTTTAATTTGTTGATAATTTTTTTAGATGCCTGCAGCAAATCAACAACCAGCAGCAGATCAACCATTTCCATTACCAATTGAAAGACAAGTTTCAACTATACCAAAAGTTTCGAATGATAATGAATTTTGGGTTTATCCTTCACAGCAAATGTTTTGGAATGCAATGTTGAGAAAAGGTTGGCGCTGGAAAAGTGATGATTTATCGCCAAAAGATATGGATGATATTATTAAAATTCACAATGCTAATAATGAACAAGCGTGGTTGGAAGTTTTAAAATGGGAAGCTTTACATGCTCACGAATGTATGACTCCAAAATTAAAAAGTTTTGGTGGAAAAGCTAAGGATTATTCACCAAGAGCAAGAATTCGACATTGGATGGGGTATGTAATTCCAATGAGAAATTTAATTTAATTTTAAAAGCTCCTTTACTGGAATGGTATAAAAGTTTTTATTACCTTGTGTTTATTTAGCCCGCTAACGGGAGGAATAGTGGAGATAGATTATTTAGCCCGCTAGCGGGAAAAATGCAAAATTTTGGCTATTTAGCCCGCTTATTTTAAAAAATCACCAAAATGAGAACTATTTAGTTTGCAGTAAGTATATTTTAAATATTTTTTATTTTTATAATTTATTTATTCTAGAATAATAAAATATATTAATGTGATTTAATACAAAGTTTATTTGCTCCAAAATGAATTGTTTTGGTAGGGTTGTTTATTTAAAATATATTATATTATTTAATTTAATTAATTATCTAATTAAAGTTGTAGTAAAAAAAACAATTTTTTGTTTAAACCAAATTTATTGTAAGAAAACTGTTTAACTACAGATATATTTATTTTCTAACAAATAATTAGAAAATTGTTTATGGAATTATTTTCTATTGAAACTTTAAATTTGCAAATAAAAATTAATTTTTGAAATACAATTAAAATTCTTTTATTTTATAAATACGTATTGGGGCATTCCACGGGAAATTTTCATTCAAAATTTTTTTTGTCCTAATCATTTTTTTTCGAAATCTATATGAAAAATAAGAAAATACGCATTTTTTTATTTGATGAAAATGAAGGAAGTTATGATTTTTTGAAATTTAACGTCAACAAAGGAAGCGTGTTTTTGAAACATTTTTATAAAACTGAAGTTGATTCAACGAAAAAAATAAAAGTTAAGGATTCTAATTCCCATCAAAGAAATTTATTTATTTTATATATTATTAGAAAATAAATATATCTGTAGTTAAACAGTTTTCTTACAATAAATTTGGTTTAAACAAAAAATTGTGTTTTTACTACAACTTTAATTAAATAATTAATTAAATTAAATAATATAATATATTTTAAATAAACAACCCTACCAAAACAATTCATTTTGGAGCAAATAAACTTTGTATTAAATCACATTAATATATTTAAATAAACGATTGCCTTATTTTTAATTGCACTTAATATACCTACATTTTATACAATAAAATATATTTTATTATTCTAGAATAAATAAATTATAAAAATAAAATATATTTAAAATATACTTACTGCAAACTAAATAGTTCTCATTTTGGTGATTTTTTAAAATAAGCGGGCTAAATAGCCAAAATCTTGCATTTTTCCCGCTAGCGGGCTAAATAATCTATCGTCACTATTTCTCCCGCTAGCGGCCTAAATAATCTATCTCCACTATTCCTCCCGTTAGCGGGATAAATAGACACAGCGTTTTATTTAAATTTCAATTGTAATTTAAAAAAAAATTATTTCATTTATTAGATACGAATTACCATTTGATCGTCATGACTGGATCATTGATAGATGTGGAAAAGAAGTACGATATGTTATTGATTATTATGACGGTGGATCAATTGATGAAAAATATACATTTGCAATTTTGGATGTACGACCGGCAATGGACTCGTTTGAAAATATTTGGGATCGTATGAAAGTTACTTGGTGGCGATGGCGTTACAGTAACGAAACTGAACAAACAGAAACAAAATCATTTCACTGAAACGGTTAAATATGTATAATAAATAATAGTATTTTCGTTGAATTAATCCTTGGAAGAATTCTACCGCTTCTTAAGCTCATACCCCGTTAATTTTTCTTTTATAATTTACAAAATTTAATTTATTTATTTTTAAATTCAAATGGAGATTTATTGAAAGATTTCCTTAAAATAATTTAAAAGCGCAAAATAGCTTAATAGTTTATTTTTAATTTGAATATTTTTTAAATACTCGAAATTTGAAAGTATTTTAAATATTGGACACAATTTTGGAGTTTTGGTGAAAATAAACAAGATTTGTTTTTTTAAAATAATTATTAATGATGTCAAAAGTATAAGAAGAATGACAAATATTCGGTGTTTATACACACAGTGTATATCGTATAATTTACTTTTTTTTTTCGAAATAATTATCGTTTAATCTATTATTTATTCGAAAATAAAATGTGTTACATTTTCAGTAATCACATTTGAATATTTTAAATTAGTTAAATTATAATTTAATAAAGAATTAAGCGTTCTTAAAGAAAATTTTCGTTGCTATTACAATTTTGTTCCTATTACAAATATATATAATATATATATTATATATAAATATAGAAAATATTTTTTTTTATTTCTGTATACACATAAAAATAGTTTAAAATTCACTTAAATGGATAATTAAATTACTTTTTAAAAATTTAATGTAAAAAATATAAAGTAAAAGTGTAACCAGACTTTATTAAATTATGAATTCGGTGAGAAAGATAAAATTAAATTTTAATTTCTTATTGAAAAATATATTTTTCTATTTTTTTTTTTTTTTCTTTCTACCGGAAAGATAAATGCAATAAAATTTGAAAGAAATGTTTAAAAATACTTATTCAATTATTTAATAGAGTTGCATTTACCTTATAAACAATTTTATAAACATTTTCTTTTTTTGTTTAAAATTTGTTTATTTTTTAAAATATTTTTTTACTAAACAAATAGATACTTTATACCCTATTCTCACTTATACTAAATGAATTGGAATTAGCGCATATCTATTAAAAAGAAACTTTCAAAATATACACAAATTTAAATATGAATAAATAATTTTAAATTTACAGACCAACGTTTTTTTTCGAAGTTCAAATATAAATTTCCTTTTTACAAGAACTTTACAATTGCGTCAGTAGATTGAATTCTATACACTGTATTTTATAATTAATTTTACATTTTTCAAATTTAAAACGGCTAAGGCATTTTTTTTTCTACGAAAAAGGCAAGAATCTTTTGTCAAAAATATATATATAAAAAAAAAAATATAAAATATTCTAAATAAAAAAGAAAATTTCTGTTAAATGAATATATAATTGAAAGTTTTTTAAACTGAATTATGGGGCAAATAACGAAGGCAATTACTCGAACCACAAAGGCAAGGTGTTTCGCTAATATTATGGACGGAGATATCAACTCCTTCCGCATAATTAAATGTTATCTCTTCACCTGATTCAATATTCCTACGTGCAAATAAACATATACGAGGTGAAGCTTTTTCCACACGTACAGGAACAAGACGACAATTCGATTCACAGCTGTGATTGCAGTAGCGACCAATATTTCCAATTAAACTTGGATCAATACACGTTTTTATTATTTTCTCACCGATATGTTCATTAACAATTAAAACATAGTTGACGCCTTTTTCATTTCTTTCAAATCTCTTTTTAGCTTCTTCAATATCAATAACTTCACCCGCATATTCACAGACAAATTGTCCTTTTTTAATGAATTCAGATGTTGAAAGACCAAAACCACGTCCCTCTGTCTTGATAATATTGAGACAATTTAATGGACCTTTTTGAACTAATCTATTGCCACAATTTTCATTACAATGACAATGGGAATTACATTCAATTATTGGTCCTATTTTTTCTTCAATACAGCCATTTTTATAATTTTTATTTCCAAATGCACAGGAACAATTTAAACACAATGTTTCACATGAACATCCATTAATGAATTCCGATTCAAATTCAATAAAATCTATTCCTGGTCCTGGTATATTATTTTCTGTGTATATAAGATCCATTGTTGGATGATAATATTCGTCTACGCAGTTTTTTACATCCATTATCGTTTGATCAGTCAGTGGAAGACACAATATTAGAGAATCGCTTCAAAATTTAAAGCAGCACAAAAAAGAAAATTTTGCTTTTGCTTTATATTATAACAAAAAAAAAAAAAAGGAATCCTATTGAAATGAGGTAAATCTTCAAAGTTTACTTTATTAAACTGACCTTGACAAGTCCCTTAACCGATGACTTTAATGATTCTAAAGTTTGAGTTGATGGAAGAGGAATTATTTTGTAACCAACGTAAATTACAAAACCCACTAATGTTGCTTTCACAGTGAAACGAATTATTTTACTCGATAGCGATCGAGGTGGAACTCTGCAAAAAAACATTTTTATTTAAAAAACAAAATTTTTAATTTATAATAATAATTTTTTAAATTTAAATTTCTTACATCATTATTGGTTGAATATGATTCATATTAACTTTTCCCCAATTTTGTATTATTCCTGGTACATGTCCCATTCCAACAACTCCAACAGCTCTTGTTGGAATAATTGTTTGTTTATTTGTTAAATGTGGTTGACAAGACAATTGAAGTGAATATGTTAAAAAGAGATCTCGCTCTTTTACAAAAACTTCAGCCAATAATGGAAATTGATCAGTTAATTCTGCAATAACTGCATCTAAATTTTCACGATTTTTACATTTTTCCACATCTTCTTTTGTTATTGAATCTCTTGATGATAATATTTTCCATCCACATTTAATTTTTTCCCAAAATGATAAAGAATGAAAAGCACGTTGCATTGTTATACTCAATGGTCGATCACCCAAGTGAAAAATACAATTTGGAATCTTTTTTGCCTTTTTGAAAATAAATCTTGGTTTAATGTGGGAAATATTTAGGAATTACAAAATTTAAAAAAAAATTTACCTCATTAAAAGCTGTGCGGAATTCGCTTCCTGGCGCCATTCCTAATTCTTTGGTCACATGCTTTGACATTGTTAAAAGAATTATAAACATTAATCCACTAGTAACTCCATGTTTCTTTATTGCAGCTCGAATATCTTCTAATTATTTAAAAAGAAATATTAGATATTAAATATTATTCTATTAGAAAAAAACAAAAATTTCTTTCAATATTCGATTTTTTAAACTTACCAATACCAATATCTTGTGCTTTTTTAAGCAGAGTATCCTCATCTAATTGAAGAGCTTGCATTCTCTGTTTACAAAGTTCGACCATCACTATATGAGGTTGTACAGCATTAATAATCTATAAAAAAAAATTATTTTTTTTTTAAATATTTTTAAATATGAAATATTTAAAATATGCATTTATTTAAGGCTGTTTCTATTTCGCCCGTTCAAGATAAAATCGAGTATCTGGAAGACGGGCGAGTATATTATTTCGTCCGCGAAATGTTTAAACAAAAACGGGCGAAATAATCAAAATACAATATTTAGCCCGCTAGGTATAAACAGCTGTTGTATATTTGTCTAATTAATTAACAAATAATTTAAATTTCTGTAAAATAATTATTATATTGACTTACTACTTTATTTTAAAAAGGTTGTCAAAAATTATGGTATCGAAAGTAGTTCATATGACATTCTTTATTTTGATTGTCTTCAATTTTATTTACTCGTTGAATTTAGAGATGCAAATATACAAAAATTTCAGAAATAGTCGATTTTTGAATTCTTATTTAAATTACAAAATTAAAATCCACAATTTTTATTACCAAAGTTTAATAAACAAAATTAAAAAAAAATTTTTAAAATGATTTTTTCAATTTTTAAGAAATAATTTTTTTGCAATTTTTTCGTCAACAATTTTTAAAAGAAAAATTTATAAAAAATATTAAAAAATATTATTAATTATTTGAAAAAATATTAATATTTTTAAATCGATGACGATCAATTTTAATTGTTTTCGACTTCAACATCGTAATTTTAATTAGTTAAATTTAATAATTATAATTTATAATTTTAATATTAGATTAATTTTTTTATAATTTTAATTATATTTATTTACCATTACTATAAAATATTAAATTTTTTTAATTATTTAATAAGAGTAATTAATACCTCTATAAATATATTAATTTTTTTTCCAAATACAATTTCTTAGATAAAATAATTATTATTCTTTAAAGTCACGTCTCAAAAACGTGTAAAATAAATATTTGAAAAATCTTCAAGTTAATAATTACAAACAAATTTTATGTTGCAAATATTCTCAAAACTTTAATTAATAAAATTTTTTGAAAAAAAACAGAAAATTATTAAAATTTTAAGAATTTAAAGAATTTTTAAGAACTTTTTTTTTATTTAAATTTCTTCTATTTTATTAAACCAAATACTCCAAAAGATATAAATAAATAATATTAGACCTATACTCAGAGGTCTTTTTTCTATCCATCTTATTTGTTATATTTAAAAAAAGTAAAATTATTTTTTCTCATTATCTAAAAAACAGCTGTCTATACTTAACGGACGAAATAACAGAAATGAATTAGTTCGCCCGCGACGGGCGAAACAGCCACTCCGTTTATTTAAATATTTTAATGAAATAAATATTATATACCTTAGAAACATCATTTTGACTTTCAACACTAAAATGTGCAGTTCCAATTAAATATAATTTCCCTCCTTCTGGTGTTTTGAGTATTGTAACTGTATCTGGTAAATTGTCATCTATGGATGGATCATATTTTGTTTCATAATTTGTCCCTGTATCACTTAAATTATCCTCAATATCTGACTCTATTCCCGAACCGATGCTTACTAAATTGAAAAATAGAAATTTTATATTAAATAATTATAATCTCAGTGTTGTCACGTTTTTAGGCTTATGTTTGAAAAATTAAAACAAATTTTTCACTTCTATTTCTCTAAATTTGGATTAATAAAAATTTATATACAAAATTTTATATAGCAAAAAAATTACTATAAATAAGCCTTGAAAAAATTCTACAAAACATTTCTTTAAACTCATTAAATTTATTTCTTAATTAATACCTTGAAATTTGGTATATTTTCTTTTTTTTCTATGATGAGCGGGCATTTTAAATAACTATTAAAACTTGTGTCTATTAAATGTCGATCACTAGTGTAGTTATAAAGAGTGAGGTCACTTAACTACATATTCTTTTATTTAATTAGTTGAGACTCAATGTTTCTTTGAAGCCTTAGAAATATATAGTCGACTTGTAAGAATTTTTTTTCATTCATATTTGTTAAATTACTTTCAAGAATTACGTTAATAAGAACTAAAAAGGAGTCATTAAAATTAAAAAAAAAAAGCTAATCTAATTATTTATAAATAAATTTTGGAATATTTCTTATTGCCAATTAAATTATAAACCATAGAATAATATATTTTGTAAAAGAAAAAAACTTACAATTTTTATATGTTTCAGATTGAATTCTCTCGTTTTTTGAAGAATCTAAATTTATTGATTTTTCAGGAATACTAAAAGTAAACATCCTTTGAGGATCATTGTACCAATTAACGAATGCACGTGATAAATTTGTTTTTTGTGAGTTGTCATCTTTATTTTCCATTTTTCGTTTCTATCCTATTAAAAAAAAGAACATTTAATTAGAACAACAATTTTTTTCCAAATATAGATTATTTCAAATTGTTAAAGAATTTCCTTATTTATAATTTAAAATGCGGAGATAAATATGAAATTACAAAATAGCCATACGGAGCTGATGTAAGTAACCAAAGAATTATTCCATATTTTCAATAATCGTAAAAATTAAAATTTTGCCTACAATTTAATAATAATAATAATAATAATAATGAATTGATATAATTAAACAATATTTGTATATATACTTACAAATAAATTAATTGCCAGGAACGAAGGTATTGTAGAAAAAATATTAAAGGTTGTGTTTTTTGAGGTAGATCAAATGAAAAATTAAATTTCATATATAGTTAAAATTTAGAAATAATTGTCTATTTGCTATACAAATATTTTGTGCCTCATACTAAATTTGTTATACAATGAATTTTATTATAAGAATGTTAAAATCTGGTAAGTATATAGGTTGGATCATGTCAGATCATGATGTGTCTCCTTTGATCTCTCTCTCTCTCTCTCTCTTTTTTTTTCTCTCTTTCCCAACTCTGAGTTTATGGCATATTTACAAACACAAATTGTCCCCATAGGTATAGTTAAAACTGAGTGGGAGAAATCCAATATAGCCGTAAAGTGGAGGACAATTTAGTAAAACGAAAATAAATTTCATTTTATAATTTTCTTGAAATTAAAATATTTATGCTTTTGAAATTAGAATAATAAACGACATATTTAAATTTATCCTTGATACGATAAACTAAGAAGTGAATTTGCCATATCCCAAATATCAGTCTCTTTTAATTCAACGAGAATGGCAACTTTTTTTAATAATTCTTTTAAATTTCCTTTTTCCATATTAATAAAAAATACAGATGAAAATACAATTGATGCTGCTAAAAATAATGCATTTGATTCAAGTAGAAAATTATTTTTATCATCAAAAAATGCCGTGGGAAAACCATCATGAGTTATTGTTTTTAAATTTTTATACAATTCTTCATGCTAAAATAAAATTTGTTTTTTTTTCTTTTAATTTTTCAAATAATCATTCTTTAATTTTATTTTAAAGACATATATTACGAAAAAATTGTAAAATATATAAATACTTACACAAATATAAGATAAATCCAAAAAAACTGACGCTGATTTCACTATTTCATGAGTATTACGAAGTCCACTTGCAGCCAATAAAACATCAACACAATTTTTTGTAGTATATATTGGCATTTTAAATTCAACTGATTTAAAAACATGAAATTCAGAATCCAAAATCATTTTGTTTGGATAAATTTTATCGGGATCGATTTCCTTTAATATATATTTTATCTAGACAAAAAAAAAGAGTTTAACAAAAAATAAAAAAAAATTATGATTAATATAGTTTTTTTAAATATAGAAAATGATTTTTAATACTTACATGAGACATTTTAAGATACTCTTCATTTGAGTCAATTTTACTTGCAAGTTGAATACATGAAAGAAGACGTAATTTCATTTCTGATTTATTTATTGATTCATAATCAATTAAATATTTTGTATTTTTATTATTCTCACGAGTATCAGAAATTTTTTTTACTTTAAAATTCACATAGTTTTCAAAAAGATGAACTGCTAAATATTTAACGTTTGCGTCAAATTTAAATTTTTCAATTACATTAAATATTACTCTTACATCGCTATCATGTACACCTAAATAGAAATAAATTAAATTAAATTAATAATTTTAAAAAATTTATAATTATAATCTTAAATCAATGTTGATTAAATAAAACAAATTATTTTTCTATAAACAAAATTATTCACCTATATTTGGAATGAAAAATTGTGATTTTTTCAAAATAACTTTCTCCTTTTCTCTAGATTTTTCTTGAAGAAATAATAACCAATCGTCTAAAAAAGGATCTAAAAACATATCGCATATTTATTGCAAGGCATTTGATATGTTTACAATAAAAAAAAAAAGTAAACAACTCTAATATTCATAAATTAACCTTCTTTTCTTTGCACAATAAATTTAACCCCCAAAAAAAAACAATAATAAAAGCTATATATTAATATGCTGATAAAAATTACTAATATAAAATAATAATTTAATAATTACCAATATAAGCACTATCGAAATCCATTTTTAAATTCTTAACCCTCTTTAATCGTTTTATGTCAGTTTCTTAAAGGTACGCTCACACTTCCAACACTATTGCAAAGAGGTTTCCCAACCCTGAACAGTCAGAGTAAAGCTGTTTCTACAACACCCCTTTTTCTTGACATGAAGGTCGAAAACCATGCGCGCACATCTTTTTTAATTTTGTCCACGGTGCTCATCATATTCTTTCTGACTTTTTCATGGGTTAAAAATCCTCCAAACCTACACATGCATACAATAATTATTGTTGTCATTACTCTGGTGTGTTTGGTCATTTAAAAATGGCGGATGCATGGTCTTCCGACACTACCTCAGGTTCAGAATATTGTAATGAATATTTTTCTGACATTTCATCTGAAAAATCATTGGAATACGTTATAGTTGGTCAAAAACCAAGTTTAACTCATCGTAGAAGTAAAAAGAACTTCCTTCAAAAATTATTTACTAGAGAGGTAACGAGAAGAAGGTTAGCTTCACTTTAACAATGACATCGATATACCCACTGTGCATATAATAGAGATTAAATTCTTTCACATATATATCTGTCCTACTTATGTTTACCAATTAAAATAAATTGCATTATTTCTTTAAATTAGTCAATTTTTAATATTTCATTATACAACTATGAAAATTTTAACTTCATTTTCTTTTTATCTTATACAATTTTTCATCTATTTTTATTTGCAAAAAAAAAAACCAAAGAATTAAGAAAATTTTATTATTTATAATTAAATAATATTTTTGTAGATAAGGGGCTCTTTTGCAATTCACAATAATGCTCCAGAGGAAAAATTGTTTTCCTACATTCCTTCATGGAGACGTTTACCTTTAGTATATGTGATTCCAAAATCTGCTCTTGAAGCAGGGTAAGATTTTATTTTTGCTTTTTGAGAAAAAAAAAATTCTAATTTTTATTGTTTTCTATATTTAATTAAAATTTTTTCCAGACATGTTGTTATGGGATTGACACAATGTGGTCAATTTTTATTAACGTATACCTACAATGTAGAACTTAGCGGTACAAACACAATTTATAAATATCTATTGCATTGGTGGGCATTTATGCCTAATCGAGTTGCACGTAAAGTTGCTGAAGTTACACTTTTTGGCAATTTTACTATTTATAGAGAACTTAGTATAGTTATAGCTCAATGGCCTATGGAAAGAAACAAGCTAGTGGTACATGGACTTTGGTAAGAATTCACAGTATTTTTTAAAAAAAATTAATTACCAAAAATTTCAATTTAAAATCTTTTTAATTATTTTTTAAATTTTTCATCTAAAATTTTTTGAAATTTAATAATTTTTATTATAATTCTTTTCAAATTCAATTATTTTTAATAATTCAACTGTTATTCTTTAAAAATTCAATTATTTTTTAATTATTTATACTGTAACACTTCAAAAATTCAATTATTTAAAGAATTTTCAAATAAAAACTCAAATTGAATTATCAGAAATTAAAAAAAAAAATACTACAGTTTAAATTTATAGAAAATTTATTTCAAATTTAAAATCTTCTGCAATTCAATTATTTAAAAAAAAAATTCGAAATAAATTATCTTGATAATATTCCTATAGAATTATTTTTATTAAGGAATTAAAATTAATTTAATTGTTATTATATAATAATAAAATGCTCGGTCTGTCCTTCTGTCCTAACTTTAAGTTGGCCTTTTCTAATTTCACGTGTTTTTTTGAATAGTAATCTTATGACGTGTCAAATTTTGCCAATTCTTTTTCTCATTTTTGCCAAAGTTGTATAATTGTGTTTACAAATTTCGGAATAAGTTTCTTTAAAATTCCAAATTCGAAAATTCAATTCACGAAGCTGAAGTACACAACGTTTACCAACGAAATTTTTTTTTTAAGTTGTATATTGATTCAAAAATTGTTTACAAATACAAAAAATTTATGATGAGAAAAAAGATGCGCCAGGAAATTTCGTACAAGATAGTAATTTGAAAAAAATTTATTTTTAAAAATTAATTTTTAAGGTACCAGAGGCCAACGAATACCTATTAAATATTAATTATAAAAACACAGGCCCCGAATCAACTTAAAGACACAAAAAGTCGTTTTAGTCGATTTAAATTCCAAAAAAAGTGGATTTGTTTTTTATTTTAACAAAAATATTTTACAGATTTTTAAATAAAAAATTTTTTTTTTTTAATAATAATCCTTTTCAAAGGGTTAAAGTTGAAATTTTTAGAAATAATTAAATTTCAAAAGATATTGTTAATTTTCAAACAATTATTAAATTTTACAGAACTAAAAATAATTTATCAAACAATTTTTGGAAAACATTTTTTAAATTTAATTGAATTTTCAAAGATTTAAAATTGAGATTTTTGAAATTAATTGAAACTTTAAGTGTTTTGTAATTAAAATTTTAGATGATTTCACTAAAAAATTTATTAGAAAATGCGGACAAAATACAATAATTTGAAAATCATTTTTAATTGAAAAATGGTTTCAGATAGTTGAATTTTCAAAGAATATTATTAAAATAGTTAAAAATAATTGAATTTCCTTAGAGTTATAATTGAAATTATTAAATTTCAAAAAAAAATTTTCGATGGAAAATTTTAGAAATAATTAAATTTTAGATGCTTTTAAATTCAAATTATTGAAAATTCAATTAATTTTGAATTCAAATTTTTGAGAATAATGAAATTTTATTTGATTTTAAATTTGGAAAATAATTGAATTTCAGTTCATTTTAAATTGAAAATTTTGGGAAATAATTGAATTTGAATTGAAATTTTTGATAATAATTTAATTTAAGTTCATTTTTAATTGAAAATTTGGATAATTAATTTTGAATAGAAATTTTAGAAAATAATTTAATTTTATTTCATTTTAAATTGAAAACATGGTAAATAATTAAATTTTAAATTGAAAATTTTGGATAATTATTGGATTTTTAATTGATTTTGAATTAAAATTTCGGGTAATAATGTTTATTTTGAATTGAAATTTTTAAAAAATAATTCAATTTTATTGTGATATTTTTTTTTAAATTATAAACAATTGTTAAATTTCATAAAAATTTTAATTGAAAAATAATTTTGTTACAATTGAATTTGTGATGTATTTAATTAAAATTATTAAAAATAATTAATTTAGTGAAGAATCATTTTAGTTCAAAATTTGTTAAATAATTGAATTGAAGAAGATCTATATTTTATACTAAAAAAATGTATTTTATTTACATTTTTTTTCAAATGTAAAAAAAAATGTCGCATTTTATTAAAATAAGTCGATAAAAGTCGTATTTTTGAAAAAAGTCGTATAATCCGAGGCCTGTAAACATATAATTTTCATTATTATCATTTAATATATAATAATATTCTAATAAATTAAATTATTATTAATAATATTAATCTTTAATTTCTTTATAACAAATAATGAAATACTCAATTTGGCGCGCGTTTAATTTTGCTAGTATCTAATAACATTAGTATTTCTTTTTTTGCTCCTTAAAGTCGATCCAAGACCTGTAAATTTTATTTTGTTTCAGTTCTCATTGGCTTAATCTTCAGAGAGTGGACAGAGCATACTTAACAATAACCACAGTTCCGTCCTTGGATAATTGCAAAGAATGTTTAAAAGTCGCAGCATCTTATGAAGAGGAAGGCGAAGGTTTGTATTTTTAAAAATTAAACAAATTTGTTTATTTTTAAATTTATTTCTCTTTTTTTTTATAGATTTGGCTGCAAATTGGGACAGTTGTGTTCGTTGCAATTGTCTTCAACATGGCTTAACAGTACACACCACCTATGAAATTCTCTCTCCATTTCCAAGATTTCGAGCTGTAGTTTGTTTAAATTATTCAAATCATGTGGTAGTAAACACAGGGAATTTCCTTCATATTCTTCGTGTTGACATGGACAGTTCTAAAGTAAAACAAAAAAATATCGACAAACAAGAATCAAGAATTTCAGATATAGTACAATTGGATGTGAGTGACGTTGAAGAGTCCGATGATTTAAGAGCCGAACGCTATGATAGTTCTTATGAAAAAGGAAACACACCTGAAAGTACAGTGGACCAATCTCCAAAATGTGAATCAATTGTTGAATATGATTTTTGCGTTGACGTTAATAAATTGGATGATTCACGTGACTTATCGACGAATACCTCAAACGATTTAATTTGTGATACTAAATATATTAATAATATAAGTGTTAGATTAAGTGAATGCATTGATAATGCAAATGAATGTGAATGCGATAAAGATTCAATATCAAGAATTGAACAAGCATCCTCCGTTCGGGATAAAATATTACAAGATTTTTGCGAGGATATGTCACAGGAATTAAATATTGGAAGTGATTTAATAACACTTGTTAAACATCCATCATGTTCACCTCGTTCAACACCACAAAGATTACCATCAAATTTCAAACAATCATGGATATCACAAATATTTAATCCACCTTCTGATATTTTACGAACACGAAATTCAGAGTCTAGTCATAAAAATTTACGCTGTCAAAGGCCAAAATCACCACAACCTGGTGTCTCTCATGATGCATCAATTGTTTGTATTACATCGATAAATTCGCCTCTTCATACTTTATCAATAAATCCCTCGCCTTCATGTTCGCCGAGATTAATGTCTCCTCCAGTTACTAAGTCTTTCCGTCATTTGAGCCCGAGGAAAAAAACAAATTTACAACCATCTTCAACACCACCAAGAACAAGAGCGTCACATAAATTAATTTTAGAAGCTGAAAAAGCATATGAATTCACGGATGAAGCTCAGGAAACGTGTGAAAAACTTAGTTCTTTTAGGAAACGTAGATTGGCGGACAAAAAATATGAATTTTGTGATGAAGCTGAAGATGCGGAGAATATTGTTCCTTTTAAGCATATCAGAGGACAAACAAAAAATACTGATTGTTCAATTGGATCACCGCACAGTGAAACAGATGAATTGAATACAACTCAAGATATTACTATTTTCACAGATGTTCAAATGATGGACTCAGGTATTGATTAATTTCATTAAATACTTTACGTTTTACTTTACGATTTTGCAATTAATTTTCTTTTTTTCAGTTGAAAAGAACGTATTAAGGCCACTTAATCAAAATCAATTATCGAATGGAACTCGCGACAGATCGAATAAAAATTTGTCATCCTCGTCAATGGTACCTAAAGGTGTTATTAATCCTGTTATAAAATGTACAACACGTTTTAAAAGAAGTTACATTGAACTCGATGATGAAATGATATCTGTAATTACAGATGTTGAAGGTTTGAATTTCTTTTTTTTGTCGAATTTAAAAAAATACCGCCGAGAAATTAATTAATTGTTTTTGTTAATTAGATGATGAAACTGGAGGATATGTTAGCTATCAATGTGTTTTGCCCATGAATGTTCACGGATCAGGTTATGCTCAAATGCAAATGATTAGCAACAGCAAAGCTGAGAAAAATGTAACTATTAAATAATATATCTACAATTTATTCTTCTATTAATATTTTGAAAAAAATTTACAGCTAATACCATGTGTCTCAATAAATCAATTAAGTTTCGATATTGAAACATTTTCACATCATATTGCGGATTGGATTTGTAAAATATTTAAAAAAAAATATTGGTACTGCAGCGATTATGATATAGAAATAATCAATGTTTGTGCATTGACCGGAGATATTCTTTCTTTATTAATAATGAAGATTCAAGCCAGTGAAAATAGTAATCAAGGACAGAGGTAATGAGATTTATTTTAACAATAACAAAAAAAATTGAAATTAAAAATTATTTTTTTTTCAGTTCACAAGAAAGAAAACAGTATGAAGCTTGTTGTAAATTTACGTGGAATATAGACACAGGTTTATATAAAGTAACACATGTGTTACCAATGGTTGAAGTAATGCCAGATTGGGTAAAACCAAATTCGGTAAAATCGCCAACTGGTCGAAATCCCATTTGGAATCCTACTCGACGATTTGCTCCAAAATTACGAGAAAATAATCAACAACCATATGCTCGTACAGTACGATTTTTACACAACGAAATGACATTAGCAGGTAAATAATATATTTATTAGAATTTAATTTTTATTGCGTTTAATTAAATTTAACAAATTTTTTGATAATTCTTCAATTTCAGGTGAATCAATAAGTAGATTACAAGATTTGGATAATCTTGTTGAATTTTACATAACACCAATACCAGTTTTCACCAGTAGTATTCTTTAGATAAAAGATACTCATTAAAGAAGCCTAATTTATTGTAAACGAAAGCTAATCCCTTTTTTTTTAACAATGCTTAAAAATTAAGCAAATGATCAACGATGTAAGATGAATTATAAATGTTAGGTGAGGAGTAAGAAAAAAAAAAAAAAAACATAGAATTTATTCTTAGGCACAAGGAACGTAAGTGTAAAGAAAGTTCTTAATGTCTTTAATTAGATACATAAGTATTAGTTATGAAAATTGTAAATATTCGCGTTGTATACTTTTTAACATTTAATTTTTACAAAAATAGAAAAACTTAAGTTGTTCTATCAACAAATACAAACTCTGCAGATTGATTTCTGCAAAAAAAAAAGAAGAATGAATTCATTCAGATCAAAATTTTATTTATCTAAAGACATTCAGAAAAAAAGGATTAGATAATTTTTAACGTGATTTATTTTAATAAATAAAATTGTCAAAAAAAATGTTTGTCTCGAAAAATAAGTAAATTAGTACTACTAATATTTAATTTCGACTGATTTAGTACATCACAAAGATTATATTTTAAATTTTTTTTTTATAAAACCGCAATGTGAACTATTCCGATAGGTCTTTTTTTATTTTTTTACTAATTAAATTCCCACAAAATAGGCATACTACTTTGTAATGTATGCTGCTATTCTATATCTATAAATAAATTTGCAGTTTAAAGTAATAATTGTATTAGTAATTTTCTATTAATCATTCCTAATTAACAATTCGGATCCAGGAATAACACTAAATGAAAATTCAGATTAAAGTTAGATTTATTTTTTTCCTCTCCATACAGATTAGATTTCTATTTTTCAAAAATTCAAAATTAACATAAAACATTTGTCTCTGAAATAATCCCTAATATTTTTTTTCTTTTATTCAGAATATTTCAAAATAATTAATTAAAGTGAGTGATAAAATTCTATATTATGTGACAAATTAAATATAATAAAAATGCAAGTGTTCTAAGACAAAATTGAAAATTTTTGGTATTAAAATACTAATAATAAAAACAATTAAATGATTTAAATAAATATTGAATAACAAGTGTAGATACAAGTGTAGTGTAGATTTTCTTTTTCTTTTAATAAAAGAAAAAAAAAATTTGTACGTCCGACATAAATTCTTCTCAAACAGAAAGTTTAACGTTTAATTCTTCTGATACAACGTTATCAATTTTAATTCCTTCAAGAATATCTTCCCATGCATTTACACATTCTTGATAATGGCATATATGTTGATCAGACATTGCAATCAACATATTTTTCAGATCTTTACGTTTTTCAATATTCCATCGTTCCAAATCACTGTGTAAATTTTCATTTGCACATTCCAAACGATCTTGTAATACTTCAACATCTTTTATCAATCGCGAAATTAATTGATCTAATTTTTCCAATTTTTCATCACGAGTTTCACTTTTCCAAATTGATCCACCCCATCCTTGATTAACGTGTTGCGTTGGTGATGCATTAAGCAACTGAAAATCAATTTTATAATTACAAACCTTTTTCGTAATAAAAATAAATGAAAAAAAAAAATAGAATTTACTTGTTCTTTTTCAAGTCGTTTTTTCGATAATTCATCAACTGTCATTTCATATTCAATTTGCATTGAATTACGACGACTTAAAGCATCTTTTACAGCTTCAATATAAGCAACATATTCTTTTTCTTCACAAGGAATTGAATCTAATAATTTCTTATGTGCTGTAGCATTTGCTTCAATTGATTTGGCCATTGCTAATAAAATAGATTCAAGTTCTGGTTCTGTTGTAGCCCATAAGGTAAATATCGGATGTAACTGATGTAATTCCATTAGATAGTCTATTAAAAAAAAAAAAAAAATAATTTAATTACAAAAAAATCTCGAGATTTCATATAGATATTATACCTAGTCTTTCTTTGTAAATGCGATGACTTATTTTATCCATTGTGGCTAATTTTTCGCTCAATGAAAGACAATAATCACGAAAATGTTCGAATTCTAAATTATGCATTTTTGTCATATGAACATTTATATTTGGCAGTGAATCCGCTACTTTAACGAGAACACTGCTACGATTTTTTCGATGAACGGAAAATTCCTATTGTAACAAAAAAAAAGCATTAAAACTAAGTTTATAAAAAATTATATAATATTTATTTCAACTTACGGCAGATTTACTTGTGAGGAAAATAATAAGACTTTTATTATAACTAAGTATAGGATGATTAACGATTCGATTAAGAAAAATATGTAAAAGCTTCATACGAGCAATAATAAATTCTTTAGAATAACGATCCAATTGTGCCAGTAATGAATGTTTCCCAGGCATTGGCTATAAATTAAATTTTTTTTTTTCATTAGATTTAGTAAAAATAAAACAGAAAATTATAAATATATTATTACCGGTATAATGTGAGTTGGATACGCTTCCACTAATTTTTGCCTTAACCAAATGAAATCATTGTAACGTCTGCGAACGGTATATTCACTTTCTTCAAATTCAGATCGTGTGGACTTGAAATAATTTTAATAATTATAATTTATAATATTTACAAATATATTTTAACAAGGGCAATAATTAAACAGATTAATTCTTAGAACTAGCAAAATTACACGCGCGCAAGCGCGCGCCCAACTTTAAATGCAATGGTTGTTTTAAAATAATAATAATATTAATAATAATAATAATTCTGCATCAGTGGAGTAATAAATTACAAAAAATTAGTTTTGCTAAATATTTTTTTGTATATTTTCTATAAATATTTCGTTGCAAATGAAAATTTTAAATTTATGTTTTTTTTTTTCAAAAAATTTAATTAATTGATAATTAATAAATATTAAAAAATTATGTAATCAAAAAGAAAATTAAATTAACTGAAAATTATTAATTATATTTTAATTTAAAAAGTATTAAGCAATTAAAAAATATTTAAAAATTTTGAAAAAATAAAACCTAAAAAAAACTTTGTAATGTTTTAAACTTTAAACTTAAATTAAAAATTAAAATGAAATTGAAAATTTTTTAAAAAAGCAAACTATTTTTATATTGTTTACAGATAAAAAACTATAACAATTTAATAATTAATAATAAAAACAAATTAATAATAATAAATTTATGAATAATAATATATAAAAAATAATAATGAATAATGAAAAAATAATGAAAGAAATAATAATTATAAGTTAAAATGTTCTAATTATCTGTAATAATCATTATATAAAAAAATGTATATATAATATAATAAATTTATAAATAATAATAAAAATTATATTATAATTGAAACTTTTTTTTTCTATAATTACCAAGTAGGAAATATACTGGTGCTGCACACAATGAACAATATTTTTTTTAACTTTAAAGTGTCACTTAGTATATGACTTAATTAATGACGATGAATAAAAATATCCATCGCGTTAACCATAAAATATTACGAAATCAAGAATTGTCAAAATTTAAAAAAAAAACAAAAGGAACAAAATACGACAAACTTTAAGTGTGGACAGACGGAATGAATGAATGAATACGGAAATTATTATAGTTATTATAGTTAATTAATATTAAAACAAAATTGAACTAGAAAAATAATTGTCTCTTTAATTAATTTAATTTATTTAATCTTACCTTTGTGATGATACGAAATGTTATATATGTTTCCAAAGTTTCTACATGTTTTTGTGGATTATCAACTTTCACTTGCAAATCACGAGTGTCTGTCTGAAAATCACTGACTTCCTGTTCTGGAAGTGTTGAAAAACTATCTGCTGATGGTGAAATAACCTAAAATTTATAGTTTAAATATTCAATTTTAATTCTCATACTTTCTTAATAAGTAAAAAAAAATTGTCAAATAAAATAAATTTTCATTTATTTACCAATGATCCCTCCACAGATGTGCTGTAATTTGAAAAATTATCTATATCATTATTTCCTTGTTTTATATTACTACCAGTTTCTGTAGAACTTATTTCCAAAATTGCAGAATCATTTTTCTCTTTATTTTCCAATTCTTCAATATCACTCGTCAATGAATTCATATTTTCTTAATAAAAATTAAAGTAATCGCATATCAAAACAAACATTTGACACTTTTGACAGATGAAAAATCTTCTGCTTTTATTGACCCAAGAAAATGAAATAACACTAGATCCCACGTCAGCGTGTAGAAGAATCTCTGTTGTTTCAACATTTTAAAAAGATTTAGAACAGGGATGGGTAGTTGTATTAATTGCAAAGAAAAACCGTATTAATGAAGCCTAATATACAAATTTTTCAAAAAGAATTAATATTGTACTTTTAATTCAATTACCAAAAATTTATCTAAATTATATAATTATTTATCATTCTGTTCTGTAATAATTTTTAAAGAAATAAAATAAATTTAAGTTTAGATTTAATTTTTGTAGTGTTGTCAGTACTGTACTCAAGCCGCGTAAACGTCATCCATGGCTGGACATCTTCGTCGTAATAAAAATATGTTTGTTACACAGAAGGTAATATAAAATGTCATAATTATTCATTAAAAATTGTTTATTTTAATTTAATTTTATTATTGTGTGCATTATTAAAGGTTATATATTAATAATTTCAAAGAGAGTGTTGCATTCTTTATCGTGTAACAATTAGAACACGTTCTTAAATTTTTTTCATTTTTTCGAGGTTATGTCGAATCAATTTTTGTTAAAATCAGTCAAAGTGAAAATAATTATAGTTTCAATAATAAAATAAGTGTTTTATTAATGTGTATTCAAATCTAAATTTTTAGTGTGCTTTTGAAAATCTATATTCATATTTTGCAGATAAATTAACTTTTTTTTTTTTCCTAATTGCCTATGGAAAAAAAATATTGAGAAAAAAAAAATTGTAAATAATCTACAAATAGAAATTTGTATTATTTATCAAACAATTAAATGTTTTGAGAAACATTAATTTGAAATTTTAAAAAAAAAATGCCAACATTAAATGAGGACGAAGCCATGGAATATGAAATTGTCGATGCTGAAGCAATAAAAATGAAAGCAAACATACAACCAACTAATGCAGGTGCAACAATGATGACATTTGGTAATGGAATGGTAAAAGTACCAAATTTTATAATGACAAATATTAAAAATATGACAAATACAACAAAAGTGCCAAATACATTTCAAAATTTGGCAACAACATCAAATGCACCAAAAATGATACCATTTATTAGTAAGCAAAATTTAAGTGCCGCAAGAATTTTACAAAATCCAAAACAATCAACATCAATTCCAACAACAGTGAAAGGTGTTACAATTAAACAGGAAATTAATCCATCACCTGTACAAGAATCACCACAATGGTTAAATTCACCTTTAAAAAAATATGTGGCAAAAAAACGTGTACCAATGACCGAATCAACATCATCATCATCATCATCATTATCACCATCAAAATCATTGAATGTCGAAGATCATGCTTACGTGAGTAAATATCAAAGTCCAATTATTACAATGAAGAGACTTAATGTACAACAGAATAAAATTAAATCATCAAAAGTTGCTGAACGTACATGTCGATTGTGTCTTCAAATGAAAGAATTATTGACGCCTTTAATTTGCGGCAATCGCGCAAAACCACAGTTCAATATTTTTTTAAAGGAATGCTGCTCGATTCAGGTAAGTTTGTTTTTTTTAATTTTCTCTTATTCGCTATACTTTTTTTTTCAAAATGTAAATTTACAGGTAACCTCGGAGGATCCAATGCCAAAATCTGTGTGCGATGATTGTATAAAAAAATTACAATCGGCATGGGATTTCAGGAATCTTTGTCAAAAATCTGATAATGAATTACGGAAATTTTATAAATTGCCACAAAAAATTTATTCCCAACCACGAGAAGATGATTTTACCGAAAAAATTGTAAGTAATTTTATTTTCAATTTAATTATAAAAATACAGGCCTCGAATCAACTTAAAGACACAAAAAAGTCGTTTTAGTCGATTTATATTCCAAAAAAAAGTGGATTTGTTTTTTATTATAACAAAAATATTTTACAGATTTTTAAATAAAAAATTTTTTTTTAATAATAATCCTTTTCAAAGGGTTAAAGTTGAAATTTTTAGAAATAATTAAATTTCAAAAGATATTGTTAATTTTTCAAACAATTATTAAATTTTACAGAACTAAAAATAATTTATCAAACAATTTTTGGAAAACATTTTTTAAATTTAATTGAATTTTCAAAGATTTAAAATTGAGATTTTTGAAATTAATTGAACTTCAAGTGATTTTAATTAAAATTTGGTATGATTTCACAAAAAAATTTATTAGAAATTACAGACAAAATACAATAATTTGATAATCATTTTTAATTGAAAAATGGCTTCAGATAGTTGAATTTTCAAAGAATATTATTAAAATAGTTAAAAATAATTGAATTTCCTTAGAGTTATAATTGAAATTATTAAATTTCAAAAAAAAAATTTTCAATGGAAAATTTTAGAAATAATTAAATTTTAGATGCTTTTAAATTCAAATTATTGAAAATTCAATTAATTTTGAATTCAAATATTTGAGAATAATGAAATTTTATTTGATTTTAAATTTGGAAAATAATTGAATTTCAGTTCATTTTGAATTGAAAATTTTTGGGAAATAATTGAATTTGAATTGAAATTTTGGATAATAATTTAATTTAAGTTCATTTTTAATTTAAAATTTGGATAATTAATTTTGAATAGAAATTTTAGAAAATAATTTAATTTTATTTCATTTTAAATTGAAAACATGGTAAATAATTAAATTTTAAATTGAAAATTTTGGATAATTATTGGATTTTTAATTGATTTTGAATTAAAATTTCGGGTAATAATGTTTATTTTGAATTGAAATTTTTAAAAAATAATTCAATTTTATTGTGATATTTTTTTTTTAATTATAAACAATTGTTAAATTTCATAAAAATTTTAATTGAAAAATAATTTTGATATAATTGAATTTGTGATGTATTTAATTTAAATTATTAAAAATAATTAATTTAGTGAAGAATCATTTTAGTTCAAAATTTGTTAAATAATTGAATTGAAGAAGATCTGAAGAAGATCTACATTTTATACTAAAAAAAATGTATTTTATTTACATTTTTTTTCAAATGTAAAAAAAAATGTCGCATTTTATTAAAATAAGTCGATAAAAGTCGTATTTTTGAAAAAAGTCGTATAATTCGAGGCCTGTAAACATATAATTTTCATTATTATCATTTAATATGTAATAATATTCTAATAAATTAAATTATTATTGATAATATTAATCTATAATTTCTTTATAACAAACAATTAAATACTCAATTTAGCGCGCATTTAATTTTGCTAGTTAAAATTAAAATTAAATAAAAATTTTCAGGATAAAGCAATTCAAGTTGAAAGTCACGATCGTTTGAAAAGAAAGGAACTTCGTGAATTGGCAAAAAAGCCAATAAAACAAGAAGTTGAAGAAGCTGTGGAGGAAGTGAATGAGCTTTATGAGCAAGAGGAGGAACAAATATTACAAGAACATCCCGAAGAATTGTTAATCGAAGCACTTCAAAAAGAGCAGAATCGTGCAATAAAAGTTGATTACACTGAGGAAGCTGAGGAGGGTGATTTAAATAATGAAGAGAAAGAAGAAAACGATGATAATGATGAAAATGCAGTTTCATATTTTTTCGAATCATTCGCCCAAGAAATAGAAAATGAAATAAATAATTCAGACACTGAACAACAACAACAAGAACAACAAGAAGAACAAATGATTGAATTAAAGGAAGATATATCCGATGCACCGGAAACAACTGAAGTAATTGAAAATATCGAAAATATTCAAGAGGAAACAAAAAAACGTTCAACGAAACGTAAGAAAAAATCACAAAATGATGAGAAAGAAAAATATCTTTGTCATATGTGTCCACGTGTTTTTACATCAAAAGCATTTCTCGAGAGACATTCCAATTTTCATCTTGCTGAAAAAAATCATACATGCGAAACATGTAGTAAAGTATTTAAAACTGAGGAGAAATTAAAGACACACATGAGGATACACGATAAAACAAAACGTTTTGAATGTGAAGTTTGTGGTTTAAAATATGTTTATGAATATTTGTTGAATTCACATTTACGTTTACATGGCAAAGGAAAACCATTAAGTACAGAGAAACATTTTTTGTGTGAAGTTTGTAGTAAAACATTTGCCTCACAATCAGGTTTGAAACATCATCAAAAACTTCATATGGACTTGAAACCATATAAATGTCGTTTTTGTGAGAAAACATTTACAATGCCAATTTATCGTAAGAAACATGAATTGAGACATTCAGAAACAAGACGATATAGTTGTCATTTATGTCCAGCGACTTATCATTCAACAAATGGTCTTACAAATCATTTATTATTGCATACAGGCGAAGCACATTATCATTGCAAAACATGTGGTAAATCATTTAGACGTCGTAAATATTTGAATGAACATATGTTCACGCACACCGGTGAGAAACCATATATTTGTAAAATGTGTGGCATTGGCTATGGGAATTCGGGTAGTTTGTTTGCTCATCAAAAACGTTGTCGAGCACAATTTGCCGAGGATGTGACGAGAAATGTTGTCGAGGAAGTTGTTGAAGCTGAAACAATGATTGAAGAATATTTCGAAGGCGAGGAGGAAGAAGAGGAACAAGAAGAAGGAGGAGAACAAGAAGAGGAGGATGAGGAGGCGGAGCAGATTATATGAAAATAAGTTGTTCAGTTATTTTAGTGACGTAAGTGTAACTTTAAATTTACACTTATTTTTTTTTTCCAATTTAGTAATAGTTTTAATTGCTAAATATTCTAATTAAGGCTCATTTACATATTTCTGCAGAATTGTCTGATATTTAATAAAAAATAAATGCTTTAATAAATCACAATGATTTTAATTCTAAATAAAAAAATGATATAAGAAAACAAATTAAAATCTAAAAATATTTATTATAAAATAATTATACAATGACTATTATGAACACAACCATTTTTTTTTTACAAATTGGTTAGTGACATGGATTTACAATATTTACATTTATTTTACAAATATTATCTTTGGTGTGAAAATTTGAGACTAAAACCAAAATTTCAAATAATTTTCCATTTTTAAAATAGTCTCATCCGCTTTGTCTATTGATAAAAATATGACTTATCAATTTTTATAAATCTATTTTTTATAAATTAAAATGGCAGATTTTTTTTACGTTGAAAAAAATTTAGTTTCTTAGAAACATATCGAGGAACATAAATATAAATTTTTAAGCAATCTTTAAATAAATAATTTGATTTAAAATTCTTAAATCCTATATATATATAATTAATATAAAATCTTTTTCTCTAATATATAGTGAAATTAGCATTGACTTTTTTTCTGTACGGACAATTCAGCTGAGGCAATTACCATCCATTCATTGATATCAGAACGGAACCATGTAAGCCCAAGAGAATAACGACCATTGAGATTTGCATGCTGACAGTGACTGAACCACCAACCACCATGATAATTAGCGGCACAATCACTTGGACTAATGTCCATGTCTCTATCCTTTGCACTAAATGCCATTCCATTTTGATATGACATTGCATCAGTTGCATTACCAGAATAATCTGAAATATGTAATTTATAACCAGATTCCTCGGTGTCAACATTAAATAATTCATAATTTGCCTGCCAATATTGTCCATCAATATCAATTAAATCAATTTTCAATCTTGTACAATTGTCCCTTGTTAAACGATGAAGTGCTTCATTTCCTGCCCAAAATTCATTCACCGGTGAACCAAAACCAGTTGCATAATCATTCCAGCTGCGATCAAAGTCAATTGTCCCTTCTGTTCTTCGTCCAACAACAATCCAACCTTTACTACATGACGCTAAAAGCGGTGCACCTGGACCAGGTGCTAATAAAGTCAGTCCGTCCCTTTCTTTACAATTCCCTGGTAGGGCGTCGATCATTGATCTGGAACAACAAAATTTATTTATTTTCTGATTCTATTTTTTATTTCTTATTTATTGGCAATTATTATATAATAATAAAATGCTTGGTCTGTCCTTCTGTCCTAACTTGAAGTTGGTCTTTTATGATTTCACGTGTTTTTTGAATAGTAATCTTATGACGTGTCAAATTTGTGTCAAATTAAACTTGAAAATTTTAGAAATAATTAAATTTCAAAAGATATTGTTAATTTTCAAACAATAATAAAATTTTACAGAACTAAAAATAATTTATCAAAAAATTTTTTGGAAAACATTTTTTAAATTTAATTGAATTTTCAAAAGATTTAAAATTGAGATTTTAGAAATTAATTGAACTTCAAGTGATTTTAATTAAAATTTTATATGATTTCACTAAAAAATTTATTAGAAATTACAGACAAAATACAATAATTTGATAATCATTTTTAATTGAAAAATGGTTTCAGATAGTTGAATTTTCAAAGAATATTATAAAAATATTTAAAAATAATTGAATTCCCTTAGAGTTATAATTGAAATTATTAAATTTCAAAAAATTTTCGATGGAAAATTTTAGAAATAATTAAATTTTAAATGCTTTTAAATTCAAATTATTGAAAATTCAATTATTAATTTTGAATTCAAATTTTTTAGAATAATTAAATTTTTTTTAATTTCGATTTGAAATTTCGGAAAATAATTAAATTTCAATTAAAATTTTGGATAATAATTCATTTTTAGTTGATTTTTTATTGAAAATTTTAATAATTAATTTTGAATTGAAATTTTAGAAAATAATTAAATTTTATTTGATTTTAGCTTTAGAAAATAATTGAATTTTAGCTGATTTTGAATTGAAAATTTTGATAATAATTGAATTTTCTTTGATTTTGAATTGAAATTTTGGGAAATAATTGAATTTTAATTGAAATTTTGAATAATAATTTAATTTAAGTTCATTTTTTATTGAAAATTTGGATAATTAATTTTGAATAGAAATTTTAGAAAATAATTGAAGAATTTTATTTCATTTTAAATTGAAAACTACGAAAATAATTGAATTTTAAAAGATTTTGAATTAAAAATTTGGAAAGTAATTGAATTTTCTTTGATTTTGAATTAAAATTTTGGGAAATAATTGAATTTTAGTTGATTTTGGAATTGAAATTTTGGAAAATAATTGAATTTTTGTTAATTTTCAATAGATAAATATGGAAAATATTTGAATTTTAGTTGATTTTAAATTAAAATTTCGGATAATAATTGAATTTTATGTGAATTTAAATTGAAAATTTGGAAAATAATTGAATTTTAAAAGATTTTGAATTAAAAATTTGGAAAATAATTGAATTGTCTTGGATTTTGAATTGAAATTTTGGAAAATAATTAAATTTCAATTACAATTTTAAATAATTCAATTTTAGTTGATTTTTGATAATTAATTTTGAAATGAAATTTTAGAAAATAATTTTATTTTATTTGAATTTAAATTGAAAATTTGGAAAATAAGTGAATTTTAGTTGATTTTTGAATTGAAATTTTGGAAAATAATTAAATTTCAATTACAATTTTAAATAATAATTCAATTTTAGTTGATTTTTGATAATTAATTTTGAAATGAAATTTTAGAAAATAATTTTATTTTATTTGAATTTAAATTGAAAATTTGGAAAATAAGTGAATTTTAGTTGATTTTGAATGGAAATTTTGGGTAATAATTGAATTTCATTTGATTTTAAATTGAAAATTTGGAAAATAATTGAATTTTAAAAGACTTTGAATTTAAAATTTAATAATTTGATATTTAATAATCTGAGGCCTATAAACATATAATTTTTATTTTTATCATTTAATATGGAATAATATTCTAATAAATTTAAATAATTATTGATAATATTAATTTTTAATTTCTCTATAACAAATTATGAAATACTCAATTTGGCGCGCGTTTAATATTGCTAGTTATTATATAAATATTTAATTTTTTTTCTATAATTAATTCCTTTTTCTATTTCTAGGTTTCATATATTTATTTGGAAGAAAGTTTGGATCGAAAAGAAGAAAAAAAAAAGCAAAATAGAAATTCTCACCTGTATTGATCTTCAACGTGTTCCAATTCTTTGGTGATATTACTGGCCTTATCAATTGTTCTATTCAAATCAATTTTTCCCAATGACATTGTTAAATTAACAATTGCCTCATGTTGTTGATCGCTTTTCTCCTGTAATTTTGATGCACTCACACTCAGTGCTTGAACGGCTTTTTTCAAATTACCCAATTCCTCACGTGTCAATGATAATTCCGCGGCTTTACGCGCAGCATTCACATCTAAACGGGCAATTTCACGTTTTGCGTCCGATTGATTTGTCTCAATTTTATCCTCAATACTTTCGACAGATTCAAATAATTGTACCATTGATTCACTCAATTTATGCGATTCAATAACATCTTGACTAACATTAAAAATACGTCGCGATAAATTTTCCTCAAGACTCTCAAGTTTTTCAATACGATTAAATAAATCAATTTGATCCTCAAATATGACACGTTTCTCAATAATAGACTTTTTTCTCGCAACCACAGCAATTTTATGCTCTAAATTACCAAGACGTTCCTCAACATGTCTCAAAGTTGCCGGTAATCTTGACATTGAATGACGTGTATGATGACTGCCACCCATACGTTTTGATTCAATTTGAATTTCATTTCGCGAAAGTTGATGATGATTCAATTTATGCTCGGAATTGTGATCGTATTTTGTTGATTTCATTTCCATTTGAACTGTACTTAACTGAAAAATAAAAGCAAAATTATTAAAAATTTGTTTTCAATAAAAAAATTTCAAAAAAAAATTAGGAAACCTTTTTCGGGTGATCCCATTATTTCGGAACATTGAGCAAAAATTTGCAATCAATATCCAAAGCAACTCGGGTTACCACCTCTTAATATCAATTTATCGCAAAATGCACAAGAATGTGATGCGAAATTTTATAGAAGGTGGAAAAAAAAAATTCCATTTGTCACGTAAAAAAAAAATTATGTAAGAAAGAAAATATATAATATTCCTAATGGGATGATTTTTTTTTTTGCAAAATAAAAAGGGATGCGGGTCGAAAATTGCCCTTGGCAAAATTCATATAAATGTGTATGTGTATATATTAACTCCATTTGAGGGCTTGCACCTGCTGGACAGAAGGTAACAAGCGGGCAACCGTGTTAATATCTGTTTGTCGTTTTGGCGGCTAGCAGCTGCCGCAAGTATCCCCCACTTTTGCCCCATTCCTTCTTGACCCTCTCGTTCTCCTCACTTCAATCGTTTTCAGTCAGCCCTCACTTTCTTTTTTTTTCCCCTGGCTTGTATATATATATATTCATTTCTTGTTTGTGTATAGCTCAAGAGAGACGACTCGACTCTTGCGGTATTACCTCACGAGCCAAGATCCATTCAATGCGCCTCTTCACCCCCAACTCCCTCTGACCCAATGCACCTGTCGTTTTTCCTATACTATCATTCGCTTAATTTACCAATTTTTATCTGGTCAAGATATCTTTAAAAATAAAATTCTCCAACAAAATAAAAAATACTATCAATATAATAGTAAAAATTATTTAGATTTTGCGTTCTGGGTTTTATTTGAAAAAAAAAAAATAATTTAATTCAAATAGTAAAAATTATTTAATTTTTGCGTTCTGGGATTTATTTGAAAAAAAATAATTTAATTCAAATAATAGTAAAAATTATTTAATTTTTGCTTTCTGGGATTTATTTGAAAAAAAAAATAATTTAATTCAAATAGTAAAAATTATTTAGATTTTGCGTTCTGGGATTTATTTGAAAAAAAAAAATTCAAATAATTCTTTTATATAAAATATAAGAATCTCTTTTCTTTTCAAATCAATATTTCTCTTATTCTCTGATCGACAAATTTCTTTTGTATATAGATGGTTCTTTCAATCAATAGAGGGGTGAAAAAAAGGCCCATAATTTTTATTCTTCAGTGATTTTTCTGATTTTCGAATTATTTTCTCTATTCTTCTTCTTCTTTTTCTTTCCGCCCCTCAAAGAGAATTCATATATCCCTTAAATCAAAAAATTTATATCTTTTCTTATACAAAAGAAAAGAATTACTTTTGTCAAAAAGAATTATTTTTTTCATTCCAAAAAATAAAAGTAATTTTTTTAAAAAAAATATTTCCAGGAAAATAGAAAGTAAAAAAAATAAAAATTTCTACCAAATGAAATTAATTCAAAGGTGTTAATAATTATTTGTTGGGTGAAATGAAAAAAATTTAAAAATTTAATAACATTGTCATTTTCAGTTTCATTTTCTGTTTGAAGACAAAACATCGGAAGATTTGGAATGCTTTGCATTGGATGCGATCCGAGAGAGATTATACGAGATATATATATATACCTTCGGCAGAAAAATGTGTGCGTCGCTCTTGCACCTGCCTGCATCTTGATTGCAGTTGTGCGCGCTCAGACCTTCCCTCATTATTTAAGCTTCAGCACATTTTTAGTATATATAAAACAAAACTATTTTCTTATCTTAATGTTATATTGCAAAAGCTGATTTTTTCCCCCTCATTCGAATCTCCGGAAAAATTAGCATTTTTTTTTTTTGTTTTCTATTTCTCTCTAATTAATTTATTCTTACTATACAATTTATTATTGGAAAATTTTTGAATGAAATTAATTTTTTCCTTTTTTTTTCACAGAAAAACCAAGGATTTTTTTTGTAAAATTACTATTTTTGGAGAATGGGGAAAAAAGAGGAAAAAAATTGATAGGAGCAAATAGGAGAAAAAAATAATAAAATACACACCTGGCTACTGACATCGGCACACGTCCTGGACAATTGACTAACTCGTTCCTTAACAGCTGCAATATCCATACGAACGGTACCAAATGATGCCTCAAGACTAGTCATTCGAACGCCCATATCTCTGATACCACGACCAACTTCAGCAACATCGCTTCTCAATAATGCAATTTCACTTCTCATTCTTGATCTTTCGACAAATTCTTCACTAGCATTCCTAGCTCTTAGGACCTCGGCCAATTCACTTTGTAATTCCGTCACGGCACTGCCCAACCATCGGACCCTCAATCTTTCATTCTTCGCCTCGTTGCTACTTCCGCCCCGTAGGATATTCATTTCCTTTCTGTAATAAAAAAAAAAATAATAAAATAGGGTTACTAAAGGAACAAATATATACATGAAAAAAAAAAATGAATTACTCCCTCAGCACGCGACTATATATGATGAGCGAAGGCCGCCTTGCGGCTGTCCGCAATCGGCACCATATACACGCCCTACTTTAAAAACTCTTCTCTCTATATATAAGGCCCCGAGGGGCGTAATAAACTTCTCTCCCCTTCATTTCCGCAGCATTTCAAAACAACCAGGATATGTATTTTTGTTATAATACGCAAATATACGCCACGTTAAAATTAGTGACTGCGAAAAAAAAATTTTTTTTTTTTTTACTCTAGAAAGAGTAATTTTATTTGAAATTGAATAATTTTTATTTCAAAATTTTATTTTTGAATTTTTTTTTTCAGAGAATATTGGGAATATAATGTCTCAATTTTGGAATATTATACAATATAGGAATATTTCTGCGGAATATTTAGGTTTTAAATTTATTCGAATATTGCAAAGAATATCATTTTTTTTTTCGTGAAATATTACAAGAATATTCTTAGAATTTTATAAAAATTGTATTTTTGAAAAACGAAATATTACAGTAATGTAAAAAAAAAATATATTTTATGAAATATTAAAATTTATTTGCTTCAAATAATTGGTTGACTATTAATAAATAAATATTTATTTGTATCAAATAATTATTATTTGAGATTAGTATTTATTTCATTTAGGTAAATTTAAATTTATTCGAATATTGCAAAGAATATAATTTTTTTTTTTTCGTGAAATATTACAAGAATGTTCTTGGAATGTTACCAAAATTGTATTTTTGAAAAACGAAATATTACAGTAATGTAAAAAAAATAATAATTTCAAAATAATATATTTTATGAAATATTAAACTTTATTTGCTTCAAATAATCAGTTGACTATTAAAAAATAAATATTTATTTGTATCAAATAATTATTATTTAAAATTAATATTTATTTCAAATATTTAGGTAAATTTAAATTTATTCGAATATTGCAAAGAATATTATTTTTTTTTTTCGTAAAATATTACAAGAATATTCTTGGAATGTTACCAAAATTGTATTTTTGAAAAACGAAATATTACAGTAATGTAAAAAAAAAAATAATAATTTCAAAATAATATATTTTATGAAATATTAAAATTTATTTACTTCAAATAATCGGTTGACTATTAAAAAATAAATATTTATTTGTATCAAATAATTATTATTTGAAATTAATATTTATTTCAAATACAGAAATTATTGGTTCAAATACAATTTTTCTAATTCAATTATTTGGTTTCAAAAATTGTTTAATAAATATTTATTTAATAATAAAGTAGAAAATTATTTAAATTAAATAAATTTTTTTTTCGCTATACAAGAATATTGAGAGTTTTCTTTGGAATATACCTTTTTTCTGGAGTATCAATATTACCTGAGAATATTTAATAAATCATATTCCATAAAAAAGTTCGAATAAATAAAATAAATATTCCTCGAATATTCCATATAATGAAATACTGGATATTAGAACCATTCGAAATAATATGGAAAAATGTATTTTTGAGTAATATTTGTTTTTTTAAATTAAAATTATTGTTAATAAATTTTCCCTAGGAAACTACAGTAATTAACAGAAGAAAGAACGAAAATATAAGAAATGATAAAGTTGTTTAAAGGAGGACAATTATCCAGTGTGCGCCAGTGAAAGCTGAAATGAATTATTCTCAAGCAAAGGAAAGTGAACTTCAAATTAATGAATTTCAAGTTTTTTTTCGAAATAAAAAAAAAAAACTTGAGTCATTAAATTATGTCATTAATAATATTTATATTCATTTTTATAATTTTCAAAACAAATGGAATTTTTAAAATGAATTTAAATTCAGAAAAAGTATAGTAATTTAAACCAGTGAAATAGATATATGTAAACTCTTTACATTGAGGGATAATATTTCAAAGACGCAAGAATGTTAAACGGTTTCTATTTACGTTTTTTGTTCACTAGAATATTTTTTAATTTAAAAATAAATATAAAAAATTATAACTAATTATAACTACTATTGTAACTAAAAATTGTAATTACTAATTACTACTAATTTTTCGAACTTAATTTTTTTTGGAACTTAGTAGAAATTAGTAAATTTAGTAGCAACGAATATTAATTGTTATAAGTAAAAATTGATTAGTATTTACTAACTGTAATTAGAAACATAAATAACTTTAATTATAAATGAAAATATTCTGAATTAGTGACTGATTTTTTTTTTTTGCTATGAATTTGTTAAATTTTTAATTAAATCACTAATTAAATTAGCGAAGAAAATTTTTTGATAATTTATTATTTTAATTTTAACTAATTCATAACATTTTTAATTTGTTAAAAATTACTGACTTCAATTAGTAAATTAATTTGATTAAAATGAAATAATTCTAATTAATTCGTTTCGCTCCGAAAAAAATGTTTTAAAATTTAATTAGAAAATTAAAAAAAAATTGTCTCAAAATTAAAAAAATGTAAATACCTCAAAAATTTGACTTCATTCTTCAAAACAATGAGTTCTGTATTCTTCTCCATGGCCTTCTTGAGACTATCCTCAAGTGCATTGTACTCCTCTTGTCGATGTTCAAGAAGTGCGCTAACTTGCTCCTGAAGTAATTTAACAGTACTTGCAAGATCAATTGAAGATGATGATTCTTGAGAGTAAACAAATCCAGTGACACTTAATGTCATCAAACACAATAATATCTCCATAATGAGAAAAAAAATTGTTTATAATTGTAGAAAAAAAAAAAAAAAAATCACTAAAAAAAATATTGGCACGTGTCACTTAATGATTCATTTAGAGATTTTTTTTTTTTTTTGAATTTGCTAAATTTCATCAACGATGTTGTCACGCAAAGCTTAAAAACTTGACTGGAAGTTAGTCTTATGGGCTTTATATTATATATATAGTGGCGGTTGCGGGACAAAGGGCCGGCTGGACCGGGGTAACCGTTGTGGAGCAGGTGTTCGCCGACACGAGGCCAGCAGGTATATACATACGTTAAGCCCCCACGCGCCTCTCTTACCTTACCCCATCCCCAACGCATATCTTGGCGATTCGTCTCTCTCTTTCTCTTTCTTTTGCTCTTATTATTATATTCTCGCCGGCTGATCCCCTTCAAAAAATGTGCGCCTTATGTTTTGTATATTTACGGGTCGTGTGCCTGGTCGCGAGGATCAAAAATAATTTTTACAATGATTTCCCTCATCTCAAATATTATTGATGCGTTAAATCTGATATTTTACACGCTTCTTGATTTTCAATCAATTTAATTTATTTTATTGTGATTTTTTTTTTCAATGTAGATAATTTTCTCATTTTATAATTATAATTTCAGGATTTCGAAAAAATTAATGGAATTTTATTTATGGATCATGGAAGTGTCACGAAATTTTATTGAATCATGGAATTTTATTTTGGATTATTCAATCATGGAATTTAATTTTGGAGCATGGAATCATGGAATTTTTTTTTCATTATTCAATCATGGAATTTCATTTTGGAGCATGGAATCATGGAATTTTATTTTGGATTATTCAATCATGGAATTTCATTTTGGAGCATGGAATCATGGAATTTTATTTTGAATTATTCAATCATGGAATTTAATTTTGGAGCATGGAATTTTTAAATAAATCATTTTATCAATTATCATCTGGATATCAGGGAATTTAATTTTGGAGCATGGAATTATGGAATTTTATTTTGGATTATTCAATCATGGAATTTCATTTTGGAGCATGGAATTTCTAAATAAATCATTTTATCAATTATCGCATCTGGAAATCAGGGAATTTCGCGAAGAGGAATTTGTAAAAACTCTGAATTTTCAAATAACGGAATATTTCAGTTAAAACACTCCTATAGAATATTCCACGGAAAAAATTGGGAATATTTCCAAAATGTACTTTTGAATTTTTTTTTTTTTTTTTTTGTCGAATATTTTGGGAATATTTCTATTAACAAATATAAATTATTTATTATTTGTTATCAGTTATATTTTTTTTGTTGTGCGATTAATTGACCATATTGCAAAAATATCAGTGTTTAAGATAAGAAAACTTGTTTAAGTATTTTTATTTTAGTCTCTGATGGCAAAATTTATTTTTATTGACGAATTTACACTTAATTTATTCTTAATACTATTTGCAATTATATTAATTATTTAATTAATAATAATAATTAATTAATTATTTATAATTATATTAATGCATATAAATATTTTCAAAAATGAAAAAAAGTTTCTTAAAACATAGATAAAATGTTAAAAAAAAAATTATAAATCGCGAAGTAAAATATGCTGTAATAAGATGGCGCTTTAGTTACAACAATAATTTCCATTAAATTTTTTAATATAAAGCAAACGATATTTGATTAATCTTCTTCAGTATCGTGAAAGTGTACTAAAGGGTAACAAGTCATCGTAATCAAAAAATTTCGATAGTCGTTAATCAATATGGAATTTCTTGTTTTTGATCTTAAAACTAAAACACTTACTTATAAAACAACGCCAAATGTTCCAAAACCAGTTAAAGATGATATTCTCATAAAAGTTGCATATTCCGGAATTTGTGGCACTGATCTTCATATTTTAGAAGTATGTTGTAAATTATTTTTATTCACATCTATTTAAAACAAAATATTTTAAATTAAATTCCAAATTATAATTTTTTAATTGAAAATCTATTTTTTGATTGTAAAAAAAGAATTTTTCTTGTGAAAGTGGAAAATTATAGATCTTTATCTATTGAAAAAAAAAATTCAATAGGTCAAAGGGTTGAGCTTGATAATTTGTTATCTTAAAAATTAAAATGTTTATAAAATAATTTACGTCAATTTATTTACAAAAATAATTTTTTTTTATTTAATTCAAATTTAATAATAAAACGATTATATATTTATTGTAAGAAAAATTATTTTATTGAAAACCATTTTGAAAAATAAAAAAAAATAATTTTGATTTTCATTTTCTAGGGTGATTTTCCATGTAAAAAAAATGGACCGTTTACTTTGGGTCATGAATTTGTTGGCACTGTTCAAACTATTGGTCCAGATGTAAAAACATTTAAAATTGGCGATAGAGTGGCCGTCGATCCCAATAATGGTTGTAATTTATGTAAATGTTGTCATACTGGCGTTTATCAACATTGTAGAGATGGAGGAATTCATAATACCATTGGAATCTTCAAAGATGGAGGATGGGCATCTCATGCTCTTGTTCCAGAAACTCAAGTTTGTACAATTTTCTTATTAATTAAATTTTAATTTTTTTAATTTAAATTCTACATTTTTTTAAATTAATTTTTTATTTTTTTTTAATAAAATTTTTTTTTAAAATTTAAATTCTACATTTTTTTAAATTAATTTTTTATTTTTTTTTAAATTGTATTTGTAAAATAATTTTTTAGGTCTATCTATTGCCAAATGATGTGGAATTGGTCCATGCAGCACTTAGTGAACCTCTATCGTGTCTTGCACATGGATGGGATATTGTAAATCCAGTAAAAGTTGGATCAAATGTTCTTTTATCTGGTGCAGGAATTATTGGACTTTTATGGGCTTCGATACTTCATTTGCATGGCTTAAGAAAATCAGTCACTATGTGTGAACCACAAGAAAAACGAAGGGAAATTTTCAAAAAAATGAGTAAATAAAAAGAAATTGATAATTTTTTTTTTTATTATAAATTTTTTAATTTGGTACAATTTTTTTTTTTTAAATTATTATTAATTTTAAAAAATAGATTGAAAAAAACATTTTCAATTTTTAGATCTCGATTATAATGTAAAAAGTCCAACAGAATTATTGGAATCAGATAGTTTTGATGTGGCTATCGATTGCAGTGGTTCGGGTCCAGCAATGGAATCGGCATTTAGACATTTGGCACCAGGAGGACGTTTATGTGTTTTTGGTGTTGCAAGTCCAAAAACAAAAATTTCTATTGAACCCTTCGAGGTATATTAATTGAATATAATTAATTTGCAACGAAAAAATTTCAAATAATAATAATAATAATAATAATAATAATAATAATAATAATAATAATAATACTAATAATAAAATAATAATTTATTTTATTATTATTATAATTATTTTTTTATTTATTTAATTTTAGATTTATATGAAAGAATTAAAAATAATGGGCGTCAATATTAATCCCTTTTCATTCACACATGGAATATATCTTGTGCAAGCAATGGGCGAAAAATATTTATCATACGAGAAACTTGGAATTAAAACATTTAAATTGAGTGAATATCGTGAAGCATTAAATGCATTAAAACAAGGTGACATAAGTAAAGTTGTTTTTAAATTTTAATAAAATATATAAATTTTCATGTGTTTTTTTATATTATAATAATTATAAATAATTTATATAATGTATAATAACAATGAAATTATTATGTAAATAAATATTAAACAATTTTAATATCATCGTTCTCACTAACTGTCAGTTTGAATTCAAAAATTTTAAACCGCGCGCTAAACGTCAGCGCTCTCAGCGTCATTTTTGGGAACCAATTGCAAAATCTGGTTTGTTGTTTTTTTTTCCATTGTTATTATATTTTCTCTTTAAAAAAAGAAGTCAAGTGATTTATATTTTTAATATGCCTACGAAAAAAGTAGATTTTCAAAGACTTCCCACAAATATTTCACCATATCATTATGATATTTCGTTAGCATTGGATTTGAAAAATTTTACATCAACCGGAGAGGAAAATGTTTACATTGATGTAAGTATATATTAAAAAAATTTTAATATTAAGCGATTAATTTTGTTTTCTTATTTGTAATTTAAAAGAAAATAATTAATTTTTCTAAATTTATTGAAATTACCAAAATATTAATAGCTTAATTGAATTTTACAGAATAAACTAACCTCAATTTTAAGTATTTTCTATAAATAACAAATCTATTTTAAATCTTTGAACTTAATTTATTTTTACAAATAAAATTGTTCACTAATTATTTACTATTTTTCATATTTTATTTATAAAAATAATAAAATTTCAGTTTTCCAAAACGGATAAATAATATAAAATTGTTTAATTATTATTTCTAAAATTTCTTTTTTGAAAAATAGATACAAGAATCGACAAATCAAATTATTTTAAATTCTGTCGATATTGAGATTAATTATGCTGCTTTTCAAAATAAAAATGGTGACACTATATTATCGAAAGAAATTATTATCAATCAAGAAGAAGAAACGGCAACGATATTTTTTCATGATAATCTCATAGTGGGAAAAAATGGTCATTTAAATTTGAAATTTCAAGGGAAAATCAATGACAAACTAAAGGGTTTATATCGCAGTAAATATGTTGGGTATGATTTTTGTTAATTAAATTAATTATAAATTAATTTTCTTTTTTAGAAAAATGAATTTTTTTTTTTTTTTGATTCACAGAGTGGATGAAAATATAATTTATACAGCAATTACCCAATTTGCACCAACAGATGCAAGACGTTGTTTTCCCTGTTGGGATGAACCTATTCTCAAAGCAACTTTCGAATTATCTTTAGAAATTCCAAATGATTTATCCGCCGTTTCCAATATGGTAAATAATTTTTCATTTTATTAAAATTTCAATTGGGGTAAGTCCACGTCAGAAATATCAGAATCTGCAAGTGGTTCTTCGATTTTAATGATACTTGGTAAAATTATAGCTTTATATAAGAGCAATGTGTAAGTAAAAGGAATTTTTAAAATATCTAAAATTGTAGGAGTTATATCACTTTTAATTTTGATACTGCATTTTTTTCTTTCCTTTATATTTCGGTCAATTTTCAACCGATTTTGATGAATCAAAAACGATTTTTTTCAGAAAATTTTAAAATAAAAATAAAATTTTGTTATTTAAATAGAAAAAAGTAAAAAACAAAATTTCTTTTAGATTTTTTTTCAATTTCGACCTCTTTTTTTTAATTTTTAATTTTTTAATAATATTCTTTTTTATTTTATCTTTAATTTAAAAAAAAATTCATCCTGGAGACTTTTTTAGATCTCGTGATATCGTTCTTTAAATATCCACATCTCAAGAAAACTAGGATCCAGATTTGTGTTTCTATTTTCATTTGTTTTATAATATTATTGTTACAAACTAGAAACTTTCGCGTAATAATGTTTTTATTTTTAAACTACTTGACTAAAACAAGTGAAAATTCAAGCAAATCAATATTTTATTAATAGATTTGAAGCAAAGTTTTTATTTTTTGTAATATTTATAATTTAAAATAAATTGTAATGAAACCTTAACAATGCAATCTGAAATTGTAGCTGAAGTTTTTAGCGCTTTCTTTTAGAGGATTCTAAAACAAATAGTTATTCATAACCATAAAAAATTTCAACAAACAAATGAAAGTAATGATAGAAGCAAGTCCTGCGGTTTTCAAATTGATGAAAACTTATAATACTTAAAGGACAATATCACGAGATCTAAAAAAGTCTCCAGGATGAATTTTTTTTTAAATTAAAGATAAAATAAAAAGGGAATATTATTAAAAAATTAAAAATTAAAAAAAAGAGGTCGAAATTGAAAAAAAATCTAAAAGAAATTTTGTTTTTTACTTTTTTCTATTTAAATAACAAAATTTTATTTTTATTTTAAAATTTTCTGAAAAAAATCGTTTTTGATTCATCAAAATCGGTTGAAAATTGACCGAAATATAAAGGAAAGAAAAAAATGCAGTATCAAAATTAAAAGTGATATAACGCCTACAATTTTAGATATTTTAAAAATTCACATTGCTCTTATATAAAGCTATAATTTTACCAAGTATCATTAAAATCGAAGAACCACTTGCAGATTCTGATATTTCTGACGTGGACTTACCCATTGGTAAAATAATTATTTTTTTAATTTCTCTATTTTCAGCCGCTAAAGAAAAAAATAGTTAACAATATCACAGAGACTTGGTTATTTGAGAAAACTCCAAAAATGTCAACTTATTTATTAGCATTTGTTGTCGGTGATTTTGATTATATAAAAGCAAAATCATCCGATGGTATTCTAACACAAATTTACACACCCAAGGGAAAATCACAATTGGGAAATTATGCATTAGATGTTGCAACAAAAGTAATACCCTATTATAAAGAATATTTTAAAATTGCCTATCCATTGCCAAAAATTGATTTAATATCAGTAATGGATTTTGCATTTGGTGGAATGGAAAATTGGGGTTTAATAATAGCAAGAGAAATGTGTTTATTAGTTGATATGGATAATACATCGACAACACGTAAACAAAGAATTGCATTACTTGTTAGTCATGAAATTGCCCATCAATGGTTTGGTAATTTAGTAACAATGAAATGGTGGGATGATTTATGGCTTAATGAAGGTTATGCATCGTTTGTTGAATTTCTTTGTGTTAATCATCTTTATCCTGAATATGATATTTGGACACAATTTGTCACCGATACCTATATACCTGCACTTGAATTAGATGCATTAAAAAATACCCATTCAATACAAATACCAATAAATCATCCATCGGAAATTGATGAAATATTCGATGCAATATCATATAATAAAGCAGCGTCAATAATAAGAATGTTACATTCATTTATTGGCGATGAAAATTTTAAAAAAGGTATGAATATTTATTTAAAGAGATATTCATATAAAAATGCCGAGACAAATGATCTTTGGGAGGCATTAGAAGAGGCAAGTAATTTACCAGTAAAACAAATAATGCCCACATGGACAAAACAAAAAGGATTTCCAATATTAGAAGTTAATCATCATTGGCAGGATTCGGATTTGATATTAAAAATTTCTCAACGACGTTTTTTTATTGATGGCACTAAAAGTGGGGAAAATAATCTTTGGATTATTCCAATTCAAATAAGTTCGGCAACATCGCCAAATAAAGAAATTCTAAATTTTATAATGGATGAGAAAATAAAGGAATTTACAATTAAAAATATTAATAGAAATACATGGATAAAAATTAATTCAGGAACAATTGGTTATTATAGAACTAAATATAGTGAAGAATTATTAGAATTATTGATAGGTGGAATAAAAAATAGTGAATTACCACCTCTCGATAGATTGGGAATTTTAAATGATACATTGGCATTTGCACGCGCTGGTGAAACATCAACTGTTGAAGTTTTAAAATTATTGCAATCATTTCAAATGGAATTTAATTCAACAGTTTGGTCAAGTATTATCACTTGTTTAGATGAAATTGGTTTAATATTGAATAATTCTGATTTTGAGAGTTTATTTAAAATATTTGGTCGTTCTATTTTACGAACAATTTATACAAAACTTGGTTGGGATACAAAATCAAATGAAAGTCATTTAGAGACAATTCTTCGACCATGTATACTTGAGAAAATGATTTTTCTCGATAATGAAGAAACAATTAATGAAGCGAAACGAAAATTTGAATTACATCTATCGGGAAAATGTATTTTATCACCAGATTTAAAAAATCCGGTTTATAAAGCTGTACTTCGTGTTGGCGATAATGAAACACTTGAAACAATGTTGAAATTATATCGTGAAACTGATTTACAAGAGGAGAAAACAAGAATTTTAAAAGCTATTGGCACAGTTAGGGATGAGCATTTAATTATTAAAGTTTTGAATTTTCTCATTAGCGATCAAGTTCGTTTAGCCGATACAGTACTTGCTATTCCATCAATTACAATCACTTATAAAGGACGACTATTGGTTTGGGAATTTTTCAAAAAAAATTGGAATCTATTTGCTGAACGTTACAATGGTAGTTATTTATTTCCTGGGCTAGTAAAATTTGTCACTCAACATTTTACAACTGAGGATATGGCACAAGAAGTTGAGGAATTTTTTGAAAATAAATCAAAAGCAAGTATTGAACGTGCAATTTTACAAGGAGTCGAATGTATACGATTAAATTCCACATGGTTGAATCGCGATAAAGAATTGATAAAAAATTTTCTAAACTCTCAACACGAATTGAATTGAAAAGAATAAATATACAAAAAAAAGTTTGTTATAAGTTAAAAAAGTTAATTGTGTATTTTTATCGTAAAAAAATAAATAGCAAAATAATTTTGTCAATTTTTATTTTTTTCAAAAACATTTTGGACAATTTTTTTTTTTTACTGACAAATCTTTCAAAAATTCTCTAACATTATAAAAAACGTTTTACAAAAAAACTTACATTAACGAATGTTCTAATATCGTACTTACATTTCCATTTTACTAGAAAAAAAAAAATGTAAAAATAAAAACGATATGTTCATGGAGTGAACGAGATTCATCCCTGTCGTGAGTAATACAGTCTAAGTGCTTTTTTTTTTTTAAATACGTACAATTTATCGCAAGGTACGTAATATCATTTGTTCATAATATACAAATCATTTTACTATCACTAAAAAATAGACGGCTTTGAATCACTTTTCTTTTTTTTTTTGTTAAAATACTGTAGTTTAATATTAAAATTACTAAAATATAAATATAAAAATTGCTAAAAAATTCTAGAAAAAGGCTCGTTACAAAAAATATTGTAAATTTTCTTTCTTTTTTTTTGTTCTAATTAGATTCATTATTCAACTTCAAAGCCACATTTTGACGGTTAATATCGCATAAATATTCTTTTAAAAAAAAGAATCAATAAATACCTTCAGAGAAAAACAAGTGAAATTTACAAAAAAATTAAATAATTTCTCACTTTATAATGAGAAAAAACAATTATTGAAAAAGATCTATTAGCGTGACTTTCTATCTACTCTCTCAATCTCTCTTTCTTCTTATCTAGAAACTTATGCAAATTCTTAAATTTAGTATCATAGTTTTGGAATGTTCGATTTTTAGTATTTTTTTTTCCAACATTTTCGTTGTAAAATGATAAAAAAAAAAAGAATACTTTTCTTTTTTTTCTTTTGTATAAACAACTACAAAAATAACGTCACGATAAAATTTTCAATTGAGTTCAAGTCATTATTTAGGCTTAAATATTTTTTTTTTTTAAAAAGTGGTAAAAATATATGCAATCACTAAGGCAAGCAACCATTTTGTTGCTACTTGTCGATTCTCCGCTGATCTTTCGAGTCCAGGATAATTAATATCTGGATTAGTAATTTCTACAACAGAACGAAAAAATATGAATTACAACAAAAAAAAAAATAAATAAATATTAGAATAAAAATTTTTTTAAAATTTTTTTGTACATACCTTAAGGCAACTGCGAAAATTAAGGTAAAAACTACCATAAGAGCTGATGGCATTGGTATAACGCCCGATCCATACTGAGCTTGACCACAAGCAGGCGGACAAACAGGAATAATGGTTTCTGCACAAATACAGGAAAAAAGAAACTAAGACATGCTGTCTACAAAATTAAAAAAAAGGGGCGCAAACGCAACTAAAATCAATATTTTTAAACTAGCATATATAATGATTTGTAATTATTTCAATTTTTTGTTTTAAAAACAAAAATATTAATTACGAATCACATGCGATTTTATTTAATTTTTTTTTTTTTGCTAATTTACAAAAATTTAAATTCATTCACATTAATTAAAAAATTCTAAAATATAGTTACTTGGAAGAAATTAAATTTTGAAAATTAAAAAAAAAAATTGTAACTACATTTTTATAATCAATAGAAACGAATTATGTTCTACAAAAACAGATCTCTACATAATTGTAAACACTTTTAATTATTTTAAAATATCGTTATTTCATTTTCATTTCAATGATTTAATTTAGATAAATTTCAACTTACCAAAAAGTTCGACTTTAGTTTCGGAAGAACCTAATTTATTGGAAGCCTTACAGGTATAATAACCATATTGTTTTTTTTCAACAGTTATTACTCTGAGTGTTGTATCGGTATATTCATCGGCAGTAGCGAAATGTGAAATTTTATAATGTTGATTATTTGACAATTGAACATCATCTTTAATCCATGAAATTGCTGGCGGTGGATAAGCTTCAACATGACATTCTAAATCCATATCATATTGCAATGCTTGTCCAAGACGTGGTCTTGTCGCTGTGATAACTGGTGCAAATTCAACTTCAACATTTAAATTACGTTTCGATTCGGGTCGAACTCCATTTTCCGCAACACAATAATAAGTACCACGATCTTCTTTTCGAATTTGTGCTATTTTTAAAATGTTACCACTGTAATGAAATAAAATTAATTATCATTTTTTTTTTTTTATAAGAAAATTAGCAAAATTAAACGCGCGCAAGCACGCCAAATTGAGTATGTAATTGTTTGTTATAAAGAAATTAAAGATTAATATTATCAATAATAATTTAAATTTATTAGAAAATTATTTCATATTAAATGATAATAATGAAAATTATTATTATATGTTATTAAATTATATATAAAATTGAATTATTTTCCAAATTTTCAATTTAAAATTCAATTATTTTCCAAAATTTCGAGTCAAAATTAATTATTATCAAAATTTTCAATCAACTAAGATTAAATTATTTTCAAAATTTTCAATTTAAAATTCAATTATTTACCAAGTTTTCAATTTAAAATGAAATAAAATTCAATTATTTTTTAAAATTTTTATTCAAAATTAATTATCGAAATTTTCAATTAAAAATGAACTTAAATTAAATTATTATCGAAAATTTCAATTAAAATTCAATTACCCGAAATTTTAATCCAAAATCAACTTAAATTAAATTATTATCCAAAATTTCAATTAAAATTTTATTATTTTCCAAAATTTCGAGTCAAAATTAATTATTATCAAAATTTTCAATCAGCAAATCAACTAAAATTAATTATTTTCAAATTTTCAATCAACAATCAACAAAAATTAAATTATTTTCAAATTTTCAATTTAAAATTCAATTATTTACCAAGTTTTCAATTTAAAATAAAATAAAATTCAATTATTTTTTAAAATTTCTATTCAAAATTAATTAACGAAATTTTCAATTAAAAATGAACTTAAATTAAATTATTATCCAAAATTTCAATTAAAATTTTATTATTTTCCAAAATTTCGAGTCAAAATTAATTATTATCAAAATTTTCAATCAGCAATCAACTAAAATTAATTATTTTCAAATTTTCAATCAACAATCAACTAAAATTAAATTATTTTCAAATTTTCAATTTAAAATTCAATTATTTACCAAGTTTTCAATTTAAAATAAAATAAAATTCAATTATTTTTTAAAATTTCGATTCAAAATTAATTATCGAAACAATGCCAAAAAAACATTGAAAAATTTTAACCAACACAAAATAATGTCAAACAATACATTTAAAAAAAACAAAAGACCTATAACAAATACTAACTTCAGGTGTGGACAGAATGAACGAAAGATATTCACGATTATTATATGTAATATTTAAAAGAATTGTAGCGAAGCTAAAGTACGCAACGTTTATCAACAAAAACATTGTTTTTTTAAATTTAAATATTACGTCTAAATTACATACATGAGACGCCGGATATTATAACGATACATAAAATTTCTACAGCGGTATTCGTTGGCTCCTGGCACCTTAAAAATCAATTTAAAAAAAAAAATTTTTTCAAATTACTATCTTGTACGAAATTTCCTGGCTCATCTTTTTTCTTTTCATAAATTTTTTTTGTATTTGTAACAGTTTTTGAGAAAAGAGCAAAAAACTAAATTTTTCTTAAAATGACTTTCAATTAAAATTTTCATTTTAATTCGTTATAAAATGTAAAGTTCTGAATACTTTTATATATAGTTTAAACTATACTTTAAATGATCCTTAATAATAATTCATTTTTAATTTTAAAAAAATTATTAATTTTTTTGTTGCTCAGTGCTGCAAGGTTTTATATTTTTCAAAAGTTTCGTTTATCTAGGTAATTTTCTCTGAGGATAAACTTCCTCTGAATAAAATGTTTATTGATAATAAAAAAAAAATGTTTATTAAAATAAAACTTTACAGAAATCTTTATTGTGTATCAATAAACATTTTATTCAGAGTTAATTTGTCTTCAAGGAAAATTCCCTACATAAACGAAGCGTTTGAAAAATATAAAGCCCTATTTTAACACTAAGCAACAAAAAAATTAATAACTTTTTTTCTAATTAAAAAAAATGAAGAATTATTATTAAGGATCATTTAAAGTATAGTTTAAACTATATCTCATGTAAATTGTATATAAAAGTATTCAGAACTTTACATTTTATAACGAATTAAAATGAAAATTTTAATTAAAAGTGATTTTATGAAAAATTTAGGTTTTTTCTCAAAAACTGTTACAAATACAAAAAAATTTATGATGAGAAAAAAGATGCGCCAGGAAATTTCGTACAAGATAGTAATTTGAAAAAATTTATTTTTAAAAATTGATCTTTAACCAGGGGCCAACGAATACGGCTGTAGAAATTTTATGTGTCGTTATAATATCCGGCGGCTCATATTTAACAAAGGCGGAATATTTATTTGAAAAATGCTTTAAATATTCCGCCTACAATAAATATATTATGTAATTTAGGCTCAATATACAACTTTAAAAAAAAAATTTTCGTTGATAAACATTGTGTACTTCAGCTTCGTGAATTGAATTTTTGAATTTGGAATTTTAAAGATATTCCGAAATTTGGAAACACAATTATACAACTTTGGCAAAAATGAGAGAAAGAATTGTAAAAATTTGATACGTCATAATATTATAATTCAAAAAACACGTGAAATCTGAAAATATCAATTTCAAGTTAGGACAGAAGGACAGACCAAGCATTTTATTATTATATAATTTTTGAATTTAGATTTTTTTTAAAGATTTGATAATAGAAAAATAAGAAAATTTTAAATTACTGATAAATAGCTCCTCCAGTTGGTAATAGAACATTATTTTCCCTTCGCCAGGATATTTGTGGTGTTGGATAACCACCAGCGTAGCATTCCAATTGAACAGGTTGTTCCTCGCTGACAATTATCGATATTGTGGAATTATCACTGATAACTGGCGGTTGACGAACACGTAAATCAACATCCGCTGTTATAACATTATTAATTGTAATAATAATTTGACATTGATAGACTCCAGCATCCGTTTCTTGTATATCTTTAATCTGCAAAAAAAAAAACCAAATTATAATTTTTAATTTTTTTTCCAATTTTTTTATTGAAACTGATTATATTAACCTGTAGAACGTATGTAGATGAACTTTGATCGTATCTCAGAGCAAATCTACTGTCTTGTACAATTAAAGTCGCACCGGTTGATAATGGTAATGATGTACTATCATAACCTCGACCTTTTTTCATCCACAATACAGAAAAATCGCTTGCATACTGAACGGAACATTGCATTTCAACAGAACTTCCAATATCTTTTATTTGTTCTTGTGAAATATAAGAAATGCTCGGCGTTCTTTGGCATGTTACTGTAAAAAAAAATTTAATAATGAAAAAATAATTCCATAATACGATTTATTTAATTTTTAAATTCATTGTTAAAAATTGAATTCATCTGCATAAAAAAAAACCAAGCTTCAATAATTTAAGATGCTTTCTACATTGCATTCTATAAATAACTTTTCGTCCCTTTTTAAGATAATTATATTCGAAAAGTAAATAACAAAAATTTTAATAAATTAGATAATTGATATTAAATTAAAATTTACCTATTTGTAGTAACATAAATAGTGAAAGAGTCACGCTAAGTAGTAACGTCATCGTGACACACCCAAATGATGATCAAACAATGCCAAAAATAAAAAAACACACTTTAAACTTATATTTAAAACATAAGGCACTGACGATGAAAAATATACACTGAAATTTCGTAAAGAAACAAAATAGTTATTTGATAATTTTTTAAATGAATTTTTGTTAATTTTATTTGTTTTCAAATAACGCGAACCGTTTCACTTTTACAGCAGGTGTTTGGGCCAGATAAAATATGGCGAATGAATGACGCCAAGGCCAATCTTCAACCTTCCTAACCTAACCTTTCGTTTCTTGCTGCGACAAATGTAGATGGTATATATTTGCGATTTTCATTATCTTTGAATAGATAAAAAAAAATTTCTATTAAAAACAAATTCTTAATTCAGATAAAAATTTACAAAAAACTGATTTTGTCAAAAAAAACAAAAAAACGTTTTTCAGAGTAGATAGTTTCAAATTTTCGCGGTAAATTCAGTAACGTCAAAGCATTTTGATTCTGCGCATAATCAGCCAATAGCAGTTCACCGCCAAGTTTGAATTAATTTAAATTTAAATTCTTATGATGTATTTAAAAAAAATTGTCTGACACGCAAGCAAAGTTTTTATTGTACATAACACTAAAATAAATGTCATTCCATTAAATAAAGTGCATTAATAGTGAATAAATTTATTTGCTCTGCAACGATCGTTAAAACAGATAAAAAGTTGACTTTTTAATTATTTAAATAATTATTTGTTTTCTTTTTTCATTTGTAATATCTCTAAAGATTAAAATATTTCAAAAGTAGTTAAAATTTTTTTTAAATTGCGCCATTTTTAAAATTTCCAAAAATACAAAAAAATTAATTCTATTATGATATAAGATGAATTATAGTGTCTATAAATATATTTCATTATAGAAAAAAAATACACTTAAAGTCGTGAAATATTTTTCTAAAAATAAATATCACAATTGTTTATAAATATAAAATATTTATTGATTGACCGCAAAAGGGTCAATTACATTATTTCACGTTCTTTAATATAAATTTTACTATACTGCCATAGGATAACAAAAAAAGAGGTTCAAAAGTTATTACACAGAATGTCAGTATTTATAATGTCAATGTCATTTACGCTTAAATATAGTTCTTTTAAATATATTTTTTTTCTTTATAATATAAAAATGTTGACACTTTTTTCATAGTAATTTTCTCATACAAGTGTGTAGAACGGGTTACATACTAAACGGAGTTAAGGAAATAAAAATAAAAATTTGAAAATAGAAAATATTTTTAAAAAATTGTGGTTTTAATTTAAATTCATTATTATAATTATTATTTTTTTATATATTATGACTACTATTATTATTATTATTATTATTATTATTATTATTATTACTATTATTATTATTATTATTATTATTATATTAAAATATTCTTAAAAATAATATTTATTTTATTATTAAAAAAATTAAAAAATATTTATAAAAAATTTTTTTTTTAAATTTAATAAAATAAATAATAATAATAAAAAAAAAAATATTGCATTGTAAAATCATAAATGATTTTTATTATAAAAACTTTTCTTGTAGAAACATATTTATAAATGAAAGGTGTATTTAAAAAGTTGAGTAAATAAAAGTTCCCTGTATGATTAATTAAACAATAAATTCAAATAAAGATTAAAAATAAGTTTTGTAGTTTCTTGTTACTAATATATATATATATATATATATATATATATATACAATAATGAAAGAAGGGAACACTAATTATTTCTAAGCTATTAACGAGCAATTAATGTCAATTTGAATATTGTACCTGTATGTGTCTTTTTTTTTTTTTTTTTTCTTTTATATAACATATTAATAATTCACGTATAATACCATTTATATTTTCTATAACTGATGTTTCGATATTTACTTAATGGGATACATAAACAAAATATTATTATCACATTTTATATAAAGGTAATTATTCAATTTTTAATGAAATTAAAAAAAAAATTGTTTTATATTTTGGTTTTTTTTAAAATAAAAATTTAAAAATTCTAATAAAAAAAAAAATAATAAGAATAATGAAAAAAAAATTTATAAATTATTTATAAAATTTATAAAAATGAATTGTCAAGTATTAATAGAATTTAAAAAAAAAATTATTTTCGAATTCTTTCAACAAGACCTTGAAGAAACTGAATAAAATTGTACTTTTCTCTTTTTTTTGACAATAATAATAATAATAATAATAATAATAATAATAATAATAATAATAATAAAAAAAAAAAGTCAAAGCTAATGTCCATTTATTGTCTATAGAAGAAATGTGTTGTCCATTTAGTTACCATAGCAATTTGAAAGCCTCATTTTATCGTCTATCATTATATGTAGGTATTGTCCAGGCCAAGAACTAGGGATATTCTACAAAACACGATATTCACATCAGGAAGGATACCCCACGTGTCTTTATATTTGTGTAGAGAATAAATTTTTACATGCTCTCATGACTTACACAAATATATATATATAAAGGCGTGTGTTTGTACTATCCAAAGCTATTCAGTACATGTTATGATATTTCCAAAGACACACTAACAAATATGTCAATTTTGCTCCTAAAAAAAAATATAAAAAGAGTTTAGAAAATAGTTTAATTTTTCTCATTATTTTTTTTTTTTGGCATTTTTTTTTTATTTTTCATTTTTTTTGAATTTTTTTTTTTTTTCATCATGACTGAACAATTATTATTTATAATTTATAAAAAAATTCAACAACATGTGCTTTTTATTGCAACAATTAATCAATTATTTTGTGATTTTAATAATATAAATTGTTTTCAATTTATTTTTGAAAATTTAAATTTACAAAAATTATGAGTGCTCAAATATTTGTCTCTTCACGGTAAACTATTTTTTAAATTTAATTTAATTTTATTAAATTATTATATTAGTGAAAAATTTTTATTTTTTTGCAATACAAATACAATAGTGAAATTATTTTCTTTCACTATATATAATAAAAGTGAAAATTAATTTTTCATTCAAATTACAAATGATTGTTTTAAGAAATTAAAATTTGAAAATTATTTCTTTCAAACAAAATTGATGTCATTTTTTTCAAAAGAAAAATTCAATTTAATAAACGAAAAATAAAAACAAATTATAACTAATCCATGGAATATTAATTTTTATAAGAAAATTAAAATTCGAAATAGAAAATTTAAAAAAATTAAGCAAAATAATCAAAATAAATTATAAAATGTAGAAAATAAAAATCAGATTAAAATAAGTAAAAAAGAAATTATAAAATAAAAATCAGCGGAAAATTTTGAAAGAAAAATAATTTGCATCAAAAAAGTGAAAAAAGAAAAAAATCGAAAAGACCTTCAAATGAATTTTTGGTCCTTATATATTATTCTATATATTTGGCATTGATAAAGAAGAATTAAAAAGGAAAATTTCGATTATCTATGCGAATCTCCACAAAATGACAATGAAGATTATTCAAGGCTGTGGTAGGTTTTGGTGGGTCAGGGTGGTATAAGCAGCAAATACGTGGGCAGAGTTTCATTCATAATTAACGTTTAAAGTGACCTACTCGAAGCTATACTGCAAAAGTTTTGTTTGTGTGGTGAATTACAAGTGATCGATGTTCGTTAAAGAATCTCTTCTTTTTCGGACAAATAATCCAACGAAGAAAAAAAAAAGGTTGACGAAAATTTTGTAAAAAAAAAAATTGTTTTTCAATTAAACAAATCAGTAAAACTGGCATCAAAGGGGTTCCACGTTTTTCGTTATGGACGGTGACCGAAATCGTCCCGAGGAAGATTCGCAGGTATTTTCAATTATTTTCTTTTCCTTTTTCTCCTTTTTTTTTTTTTGTAAAATATTTTCAAAAATCGATTTTTTTTCAATTTTCTTTATAATTTTCAATAAAAACCAAAATTTTAAAAGCAAAACTAATTTAAAAAATTATTATATTTTTCTAATCAGTTTATAATTTTAGACAAATATTTTCAATTAATAATAAAAGAAATATTTGAATAAAAAGAAAAAATTCACCTTTTCACAAAACAATAATTTTGTATTTTATGTCACATGCCTGGTAAAAGCTTTTAACTCCGATAAAACTAAATTACTTTCTCGATAATGTTTCGTTATTTTCTCCATTAAATTCATGAAATTTTATATAATTCCGACGTTACATTTCCTATAATTTAGAATAAATAAAATAATGCCAATATCTAAAAATTTTTTTTTACATTTTTCTTTTCAAAAAAAAGAAAATATTAATCAATATTTAATTTTACTTAATTATTATCATAAATGTAAAATTTAGTTTTTTTTTCTTTATTTTTGTTTGCATATAGATATTGACTTATTTTTTTTCAATTGCTCAACAAATAATAATAAAAAAAAAAAGGAAAAGAAAAATAAATGAAATTGCATTCTAGAATTCAGATCATAAAGAAAGTCCAACTGAAGAAGAAACAACAAGTCAAGAAAATAGTCGACCTAATTCACAATACAGTGATATTGAAAGAAATCAAGCATCATCAGAATCATCATCGAGAAATACTTCAGTTCAAGACAATAGACGATTTCCAATAATTTCCGTCGCATTATCAAATAGGCCGTCAACACCTTACGAAAGTGAAAATCCAATAATTCGCGATGTCACGAAAATTATTCCGTACGAACCCGAAAAAAATGGTATTCAAAAATATGGCATCAACATCAATTGTCCACCCGGAAACGGAAGTCCAAAACATCAATCGAGAATCTCTAGGGCCAGTGTCTTTCCAATCGGAGGAAATCTCTCTGCCCGAGAAGCCTTCGGTGAGTTGAACTGCAAAAAAAAAAATATATATTTAAATTAATTTTTTAATTCCTTTTATTATTATTAATAATAATTAGTTTAATTTTAATATTTTTTAAAATTAAATTAATTTTTTAAAATATTTTCTATATTTCAAATAGGTATTTTTAAATATTAAAATATTTTTTTATCAATTCTTTTTTTTAGACATCGAATTCGTTCCGATTATAGTAGTAAAAATTTTTGAATATCCTGATAAATGATTTTGATTATATTTCTTAAATAAATTTGAATAGAAGAAAATTTTTTTTTTGAATTCTGAATAAATTCGTTTTGAATATTTTTTCCAAAATAAATATTCATAATTTTACTTTGTAAAGCTTTTCAAAAATGTGTAATTCTTATTTTTAAATTTTAGTTTATTAAAATTATTTTGATTTAAAACAAAATTATTTATAAATAACAATTTTTAAATATCACTTTTATTTTCCAAAAATAAACAAAAAAAAAGAAGAAATTATTTAATAATAATAAGTAAAATGAATATAAAATTTAAAAAAAAATTATATATACAAAAAAAGAAAGAAAAAATGTAAAAGAAAAAATTTTGTGTAATTAATGTTATTTATACACAATGGCCTAATTTGGTTTATAAAAAATAAATGATAAAGGGGGAATTTAGTACATATAAAAGAGGTGAACTATAAAAAGATTGTTTTCTAATCCATAACTAATATAAATATAGACAATGTATGTCTATGACAAGAGCATAGATAGAATCGACATAACGCACGATCAATGACGGTATGTAGAAAAGTAGATGAATGTCAGCATGTCACGTTTCCCTCACATTAATAATAAATGTGCCTGGGATTTTTCTAAATAAGGAAACTTTTTTTTTTAACAAACCGATTAATAATAAAAAAAATATTTATATTAAGGTCACTTGAATATTAATTATTAACAATTAAAAATTTTCAAAAAAATTCAAAATCTAAATTTAAAATAAAAAAAAAATGTTAAATCATACAATATTAAATAGAAATTTAAAAAAGTTATATATATATATGAATCAGGAAAAATTATTCTGCACGAATAGTTTGACCTTTCTACTTAAAAGATATGAATTAAAAATGAAGTGATATTATAACCGTGCATTTATTATTAATTAAAATAGGAAAATTTGTGCTGAAAATAAAAAAAAATTGATTAATCGATTAAAATATGAAGGTTGATTATTTTATCGAAAAAATATATTTATGGAGAGGAGAAATTACTTATTATTATTATTATTTTTTTTTTAACGTAAAATTTATATAATAAGATAATATAGTCAAAATCATTTGTCGCAGGGCAAACATTATATTTATTTACAGCGATAGATTTTGTTGGCAGGACCTACACTTACACCAATTAAAAATCGTCTATCGCCAGAATCACAAACACCATTTCCGGATTCAATTGATAATGATTATTCCAAAGATATTAATAAAGGAAATTCTACAGGATCCGCCGAATCGACAAATGACTGTGAAACACTATTTTTTAGGTAGTAAAAAAAATTTTAATAAAAAAAAAAAAAGGGAAAATTAATTTTTTTTAATTTAGGGATGGTAGACGAAGAATTGATATGGTTTTGGTGTATCAAGAGGAAAGTGCAGGTGTTATGACTGAAATAGAGGCACGTAAAATAGAGCAAAGAAAAATTTTTGAACAAAATTTATTAAAGGAAGGCCTACAATGCGAATTGGAACCAAAAGAATCGTCATTCGATGGGAAAACATATTTTCTCAAATTACACATTCCATGGAAAATTAAAATTCAATATGCCGAATTGATGAATCTTAAATTACCCACTAAGAGATTAATTACTATTTCCGTAAAGGCTTGGGTAAGTTAAAAAAAAAAAAAAGAAAAATTTATTTATTATATGGATTTTTTTAACTTCAGCCTATTTAAATTCCTCGAATATCTCAAGTTATTTTTCCTTTATAAAAAATAAAATCAATTTTATTAAAGTGAATAATATGTATCATATTGATAGAGAAATTTACATTGATAGAATCGTTATTTTTTTTTTTACAATAAAGATTCTCTTAAAAATTTAAATTGTTCAGAGAGTTTTCTATATATATATATATATATAGCCTGGCATATATTATTCATGCAGAAATCGATTACAATAATAATAGAAAGTATCATTTATTATTATTCCACACTTCACGATGTCCATATATATTTCTCGTAAAAAGGACCTTTAAAAAGCATATCCGATGTATGAAATTATTATTTTACGATTGCAATTTTTTTTTACTACATTATTTATTTTTATCAATCAAAATTAGAATGAGCACTCAAAATTATTTGATTTTTCACAACAAAAAAATATTTTGATTTTTAAAACGCAATTTTGAAATTGAATTTTGAAATTCATCAAAACCAGTTAATTTACCTAAAAAAAAAATTTAATTACTTAATTATTTGATAAACTAGAACCAATTACAAAAGAAAATAATTTTTACAATTAAGTTAATTAGTTGATAAATAATTTTATTTTTATTTTCATTAAAGGGCGATGAAAATGAAATTTTGAAAAAAAGTCCTTGGGAAAAATGGCGAAAATGGATACAGTGGATTAGAAAAATTCACATGTGGGATACACATAAATATCCCGAAGAGCCTAGTTTTTATGCAAGCACAGATAGTGGGGATGAAGAAAGGTAAAAAAAGCAATTTTTTTTTTTAATACAAAATTTAGTGTTTAATATGGAAAATTAATTTTTTTCCAGATTTGTTGTAAAAGATAGAGACACAGCTTATACACCAGCTCAAAGATCATTAATAGTTATGCAAATTTTACATCGAACGAAATACAATGAAATTAATGAAAAAGCAGGAATAAGACGATTAATAGCCGATGGGACTTATCTTGATTGTTTTACACTTCACGAGGGTCCCTACAATAAACCATTGGCGAATGGAGAAATTTTAGATAGATATTTACTTTATCTTATATGGGCCAGGCCATCTCAATGGTGAGTTAAAAAAATTAATTTATTTTCCTTCTGTTAATAATTCGAAAATAAATTAATAAATAAAAATAATTAATGAATAATAATTATTATTATTATTATTATAATTATAATAATAATAATAAATATTATAATTATAATAATAATTATTATTATTATAATTATAAATTTATATAGGTACAAGAAGCAGCCTTTGTGGCTAATTAGAAGATATTTTGGAGAAAAAGTTGCACTTTATTTTGCTTGGCTTGGATTTTATACAAAGGCATTATATCCCCCTGCAGTGGTTGGTCTCTTGTGTTTTTTTTACGGTTTGGCAAGTATGAATAGTGACGATAATCAGCCAAGCAGAGAAATTTGTAATCCATATAAAGAAGGTAATATATTTTATAATTGGAGAATTATAAAAAAAAAATTCAATACAAAAAAAAATTTTTCACTATTTTATTTATTAAATAATAATTTATAGAAATTTTTTTTAATAAAAAAACAATTATACCTCAAAAAAAAATTGCAATATAAAAAGAAAATTTATCTATAGTTAAATTTTTTATTTATTTATTAATTAATTAATAATTTAAAATAGAATTTTTTTTTTAATAAAAAAAAATGTAAAAAATTTTCCAGGGAACATTACACTGTGTCCACTTTGTGATAAGGCGTGCTCTTATCAAAAATTGAAAGAATCCTGCCTTTTTTCTAGACTGACATATTTATTCGATAATCCTGCAACTGTCTTTTTTGCCATTTTTATGTCCTTTTGGGGTAAGAAAAAAAAATTAAATTGAATGAAATTTAAAAAAATTTGCTCCCTTCTTTCTTTTTCGAATAAATTATTTTTATGATTTTGAATAGCAACAACATTTTTGGAAATGTGGAAACGTCGTCAAGCAATTTTAGCTTGGGAATGGGATTTACAAAATGCCGACGGTGATGAGGAACCAAGACCTGAATTTGAGGCATCTGTTAAAACTTATAGAATAAATCCTGTCACGAGAGAACGAGAACCATATATGCCAGCATGGTCACGTGCCTGGAGATATGCTGTCACAACTTCAATGGTGTTTTTTATGGTGAATTAAATATTTTTCTTTAACTGACAAAATTTTCTCAATTATTATTTTTATTATTATTATAATTAATTATCATTATTCTAGAGGAAAAAAATCAATTATAATATTAAATAAAAAACGAAAAAATTTTGTAATTCGTTTTTCTTTCTATTATTAATTTAATTTCTCTATTTGTTGAATAGGTTTGTGTGGTTCTTGCCGCAGTTTTAGGAACAATAATCTATAGAATTTCATTGGTACCAATTTTTTATCGTGGCGGTAATTCACTTGTGAAAAAGCATACGAAAATTTTCACCGCCACAACGGCTGCATTATTAAATTTAATAGTCATTATGATATTGACGAGAATTTATCAAAGAATGGCAAGATGGATGACTAATTTAGAAAATCCACGAACACAAACTGAATATGAGGATAGTTTTACATTTAAAATTTTTATGTTTGAATTCGTCAATTTTTACTCATCACTCATCTACATTGCATTCTTCAAGGTTTAACAAAAAAATTTTTTTATCATTAATTTGGAAAAAAAAAATATTTTCATATTAATTTGTTAATATTTTTGAAATGTAAAAAATTCATTTTATAAAAATGAGGGAATAATTGTTTTTTTTTTGTAGGGAAGATTTTACGAATATCCTGGTGATTCAAATGCAAGAAGATCGGAATTTAATCGAATACAAAATGATGTTTGTGATCCGGCTGGTTGTTTATCGGAACTTTGTATTCAACTAGCAATTATTATGATTGGCAAACAATTATTTAATAATTTTCTCGAAATTCTATCGCCAAAAATGTGGAATTGGTGGCGTAAACGAAATCACATAGCGGCAACAAAAGATCATGATAGGCTCGATACAAGTTGGGAGCAAAATTATCAACTTCAAGATCCCGGAAGAATGGGACTTTTTGAAGAATATTTGGAAATGAGTAAGTTTCCTTTTCAAAATTAAAAAATTTTAAAATAATTAAAATATTAAAAAGGAAAAATATTTATAATTACAGTAATTCAATATGGATTTGTGACTCTCTTTGTCGCTGCTTTTCCATTGGCACCAATTTTTGCTCTTTTAAATAATATCGGTGAAATTCGATTGGATGCGTATAAAATGATAAAGGAAGCACGTCGACCCTTGGCAGAAAGAGTTGAAGATATTGGCGCTTGGTTTGGAATTTTAAAAGGTGTCACCTACACGGCCGTCGTCAGTAATGTGAGTTTTCTAAAAGAGAATTACAAATTAATAATAGAAATTAATTACAAAAATTAATTAATTAAAAAAATTCTATATAATTAATTTCAAAAATTAAATTTTTTTTTCCATTTAATAATAATATTTTATTATGATAAATAGAATAAAAAGTAATTAAATAATAATTACCATTTTTTTTTGACAGGCATTTGTAATTGCATACACTTCGGATTTTATACCAAGATCCGTGTACGCTTATGTTTATTCGTCTACAAAAGACTTACAGGGCTATATAGATAGTTCATTATCTGAATTTAATACCTCCGATTATATTGAGGGAATGGGTAGCGATGGAAGTGAACCAATTCCTTCGACTTGTCAATACAGAGGATATAGAAATGGACCAAATGATCCAGAACCATATGGATTAAGTCCTCAATATTGGCACGTTTTTGCAGCACGTCTCGCATTTGTTGTTGTCTTTGAACATGTTGTGAGTTTCGTTTCTATAATTCCAAAAAAAAATTCAAAAAACAAAAAAATTAGTAACAAAATTAAAGAAATATTTTAAAAAAAAAAATAATTTTTAGGTATTTGCATCAACGGGAATAATGAGTTATGTGATACCTGCTGTACCAAAGGCAATGTCAACTCAATTGCAGAGGGAGAAACTTTTGGCGCAGGAGGCAAGATTTGAGAAGGGAATAAAGGGCAAGGAAGATGAGGAGGATCTTGTTTCAGTTTTACGCGAAGCTGGAATCTCGAGACCAGGTGCAAGACGTGGAAGTTGGGCGAGACGTTTCAGTAAATTGAGCGATGGTCTCGATGCTCATGTTGACGTTGCCAAAAATCATGTTCCAAGTGAAAATTCCACTGTTTGGGAAGTTACCTAATTCAGTAATTTTTACACAAAAAATTATATAAATATACAAAAATATTTTTATAATATTAATTACATTTTTCATATGTAATTGAAAAAAAAGTGTATTAATAATTAATTAATACAAAAATAATTATTAATAATTGCAAGTCAATAGAAAATTTAATTAAACTAATTTTGAAACAAAATTTATTTTATAAATTAAATTTCCATTTTCCTAATTCATGGAACAGAATTTTTATATCAGACAATAAATTATCGTAGTAAATCGATAATGAATGTCAATTATTAAGGGGGGGAAAAAAATGGAACTATTGTACATATTGTATATTTTATTAAAAAAAAAAAAAAAAAATAGCGTCTCATGAAATTAATTCACGTGACGTTAAGAATGATTGAAAAATAAACACATATATTTATTTTTTAGAAATGAAAAATTGATTATACAATTTTTTTTTAGAATGTAATTTCTAGAATTTAAAAAGTATGAGAGGTATAATAATTATATTTTTTAAGCAATTATTGAGAGACTCTCTAATTAGCAATATTTAAAATCCACTAGAATATTAATAAAAATATGTTAATAAATTATTTTATAAATTACTTTTAAAAAAAAAAAATCAATATTGTAATTGTGATGATGTTAAACGTTCCGTTATTTTTTAAATTATTAATTATCAATATTTATTTTTTTTAGGCTCTAAAAGTAAATTTAATTTTGAAACAAAAATTCTTGTATGATATTTGGTGTATAATTGAAAATTTATTTTTTAAATAATTGTATACTTTATAAGTTAATGACTTATATAATAAAGCTGTCTAAAAAATATAAATTTTCTTTTTTTAAAGAAAAAACAACAAAATTTACTACACAATATATTCTTTATTTTTACACTTTGTAATATTTCACTTTTGTTTGCTTTTAACATTATTACAATACCTATCGACAAGAATATATTTATATAATATACATTTACATATTTATTTCTTTTTTTTGCGCTATCGATACTCGATTTGATACTGCACTTTCTTCCATCTATATTATTATTAAAATTTTTTTTTTTGTTTTTTTCTTTTAAATTCTAAACGTCTAATTACATTCACTTATCCACGTTCGAAGTGTATCACAGTTGTGTTCAGGGATAGATAAAAGGGACAAAGGAGAAAAAAAAATGGGACGATCGCGATTTGTCGACAGTAAAAATCTCTTCAAGAGTTTTTTTTCTTAATGCAAAAATAAACAGCTAAATTGGTTCTAATAAAAAATTTTCTTTTCGACAAGTAATTGTGATGAAATGTATTCTTTCATTTCGAGTTTTTCATTATAAATTCTAATAACACAGTATCGAGAAAAAGAAGTCATTCTCTCTTTCTCTCTCAAAAAAAAAAAATTAAATTAAAAAAAGCAAATGTATTTTTAAAAAAGCTGAGCATTTATAAAAATTGATTCTATTATAGTACACTTAAAAGTCAAATAGAAAAAAAAAACACCTGAGACTTAAAAAACAATGAAAGACTTCAGGAATTTACTAATTTCAAATTTTTCATTCAAAAATTTTATTTTCTTTCTCAAAACTAAATTTTACTTGAAAAGAAATTTTTATCTTTCTATAAATAAAAATCACTTTTCTTTTAAGAAGGAAAATAATTTTTTCTGAATAAAAAAGAAACAAGATTATGTGTGCTTCAAATATATAGTTATTAAAAAAATCAAAATTATTTAATTCATCTCTCTATATATAAAATAAGTTCGAGTCTATTTCGAAATATCTTTGCAAGAATTCTCAAACGAGAAGCACAATGACTCGTATTAAAACGAATCGAAAAAAAACTTCTCTCTACTTACTTCTCTATCGGTTATGTGCATTTATCTATTTTTATTGTAAAAAAAATATCTAAAAATATATATATATATATATATTGTTTATCTTACAACAGTCTGTACATTTCAAAAAAATAAACTTTCACTAAAAATAGTTTCTTGTGCCATGTTTTCAGAATGTGTGTATATTGGCGAATAGGAAATTTAATGAACATCATTTCATCACATTTTAACATCTATGTCAAAAAAAAAAAATTAATTTTTTTTTTTCCTTTTCTTTAAAAAACCAATTTTGCTGAAAATTAATTCGTTAGACAATAAAAAAAAGAAAGAAAGAAAATACTCTGAAGATTATTATACTATATAGAGCTAAGTCGAAGTTCATCGTGGTCCAAATTTTTTGTTTTGTGCGTCTTATTACTGGTCCTTTGCCAAAAAAAAATTTTTTTTTCTTTTTAAACATTACTATTTACAAACATCAAAGCCCTCATTTAGACGATCGCCACGACTTCGACAATTATTTTCATTAATCTACAAATCAATCCCGTGAAAATCTTTTTTAATTCTAAGGATAAGAAAAGGGTATTTTTTTTTTAAATGATGACTCTAACTAGGTCCGGGGGGAGCGCTGAAATTAAACATAGTTGTAGGAGGACGTCCCGGAAGAGGTTTCGGTGGTAATCTCGGAGTTACTGATCCTAAAAGAAAATAAACTCCTCAGTAATTTTTTATATTAGTTTTCGTCTAAAAAGAAAATAAGTCATATTTTCGAAAAAAAATCGTATAAATCCGAGGCCTGCCATTAAAATAATTGTTTTTAAAAAATAAAATTATTTGATATTGACTGTGAGGTGGAGATTTAATTATAATTTTCCACACATAATTGTAAATAATAAAATTCTCAGGCCTCGGATCGATTTAAAGGCACAAAAAAAGTCGTTTTAGTCGATTTATGTTCCAAAAAAAGTCGAAAAAGTCGATTTCTTTTTTTTTTAACAAAAAAAGTTTTACAGATTTTCAAATAAAAATTTTTTTTTTTTAAATAATAATAATTTTAGAAGAGTTATAAAGTTGAAATTTTTAGAAATAATTGAATTTCAAAAGATTTTGTTAATTTTCAGACAATAATTAAATTTTACAGAATTAAAAATAATTTATTAAATAATTTCAGATAACATTTTTTAAAAAAGTAATTGAATTTTCAATGATTTATAATTGAGATTTTTGAAATTAATTGAACTTCAAGTGATTTTTAATTAAAAATTGGTTTCAGATAATTGAATTTTCGAATAATATTATGAAAATAGTTAAAGATAATTGAATTTCATGAAAGAGTTATAATTGAAATTATTAAATTTCAAACAAATTTAAGATGGTAAATTTTAAAAGTTTTTAAATTGAATTTTTTGAAAATAATTGAATTTCAATTGAAATTTTGGATAATAATTTAATTTTAGTTGATTTTAGATTAAAAATATTGATAATAAATAATTTTGAGAATAATTGAATTTTAGTTGATTTTGAATTGAAAATTTTGAAAATAATTGAATTTTATTTGATTTTGAATGGAAATTTTGGAAAAATTTTTGAATTTTAAAACATTTTGAATTGAAAATTTCGTAAATAATTGATTTTGAATTGAAATTTTGGAAAATAATTGAATTTTAATAGATTTCTAATTGAAATTTTTGAAAATAATTGAAATTTTGGATAGTAATTTAATTTTAGTTGTTTTTAGATTAAAAATATTGATAATAAATAATTTTGAGAATAATTGAATTTTAGTTGATTTTAGATTGAAAATTTTGAAAATAATTGAATTTTATTTAATTTTGAATGGAAATTTTGGAAAATTTTTTGAATTTTAAAAGATTTTGAATTGAAAATTTCGTAAATAATTGATTTTGAATTGAAATTTTGGAAAATAATTGGAATTTTAAAAGATTTTTAATTGAAAATTTTGTAAATAATTGAATTTCAATTGAAATTTTGGAAAATAATTTAATTTCAAAAGATTTTGTTAATTTTCAGACAATAATTATTATAATAAGAGAAATTTCTAATAATTTCTGTTGATGAAGAATTTATTAGAATTTTTTGGTAATTTTATTTTGTTAATTTTTTTTAAATTATATACAATGATTAAATTTAATAAAAATTTTAATTGAAAAATAGTTTAAAATAATTGAATTTGTGATAAATTCGATTAAAATTATTAAAAATAATTAATTTAGTGAAGAGTTTTAGTTAAAAATTTGTTGTTAAATAATTGAAAATAAAGAAGATCTGAAGAAGATCTGCATTTTATACTAAAAAAATTGTAATTTATTCAAAAAAAAATTTTTTAAATGTAAAAAAAAGTCGAAAAAGTCGCATTTTATTAAAATAAGTCGAAAAAAGTCGTATTTTTGGAAAAAAGTCGGAAATAGTCGAAATAGTCGTATAATCCGAGGCCTAAATTCTGATTAATATGGTAAAATGAATTTTTTTTTTTCACTTACCATTGGGTTGATTGGGAGGAAGTTTTGTAGGACTGGGTCCATTGACAGACATATATCTCCTTGCGTGAGTGGCAGCCGATGTGGAGCTTTCTAAATTTGAATTTCGCCTCATTAATAATGCCGAGCTACTTGAATTTAATGTAGCTGGTAATCGTGGTGGCAATGTAGCTGGTGGCAAATCTCTACGAGGCGGTAATGGAGGTGGAGATGTGCCATCGCGAGGCGGCAATAATGGAGCATTTGGCGCTTGTCTCGCCTTGAAATAATTTAAAAAAAAAAAAATTAGTTTTTATATTAGAAATTTGTTAAAATATGTTTTTATTTACCTGATGTGGTGACTCACTAATGGAACTTTCTCTTCTTCGATGAGATCGTGGCGGTAGCGGTGGTGGCGGTTGGCTAAGATTCACATGACTCGGAGATGGTGGAGGTGGCATTGGTGCACCAGGACTGCCGCCCGATGTTGTGAAACCCGACAACGAACTCATTGCACCAATTGAACTCTGTGTAAAACCAAAATGCGTACTTTGCGATGGATAATGAGGTGGTGGCATATGTCCAGGTGATCCAAATTGTGGACTACTTCCTGGTGAACTAATCGAGAGACCCGACATACTTAGAGGACCCGGTGAACCCGGTGGTTGACCTAAATTTGAAAATTTTGACAAAATTATTTCTAAATACCCTCATTTTATTTTTTTCATAAAAATTTTTATTACCTCCTAACATAACAGGTGCAAAAACGCAATGATCACCAGTGTGAGGCATCTGTGAATTATGAGGAGGAGTTTCCGGAAGTTCCAAAGGTGGTGCACTTTCTGCCGGTGGATCATGTAATCTTACACTAGAAGCCATGGCTTGTAATGGCGCTGGTAATTTACCGCTAAGACTTCTCGCCTTAATACCAGGTGATTTTAAATTTAAATTTGGCCATTTGCGATCCTGCAAAAAAAAAGAAAAATTACATTAAAAATAGAAAATTATAATTTTTCTCTAATTACTTACAACTTTTGGCAATTGTTTACAACCCCTTGGTTCAATTTCCATACTTTTTTCATACAAATAATTACTAATATCCGCGTCCTTCATATTTGGATCAAACGGAGAAAGATTTTCAATAAAATGCCTTATTCTCGGCTCTACCGAAAGACAATAAGGCTGATTTTGGTACTGCTGAATTTCGCCAGTAATTTCAGCGACTTTTCGTCGTTTACTAAAATTTATAAGCTCCGGACTTCCTGGCAAGTAATCCGGATTTCCTTCTTCGATGTGCAATATATTGGTCAGGTACATGCCTAAAAAAAAATTACAAATTAATTTTTTTAAAAAATCTTAATTTTCTAATAAAAAAAAAAAAAAAACAACTTACCGAAGAACGGTACACATGGTGGATTAATAGAGCGTAATTTTTCCTGATATTTACGAAAATGATCATTATTTAATTCACGAGCCTCATCGAGTGCAGTTTTCAATTGTTTTGGAACTTGTTGAAAAGTAAAATTTAATCTATAAACGGAAGCAGATCCCATGGCACTGACAATGGCAAGTACACCATTGAAATTATTGAGATCCTGTAGCACCATCATTATTTCAATTGCTCGCGAAACAATAGATACTCTTTCTTCCAAATTTACAGCTTCAACTATTGTCTTTTCTAGCCATCTTGTAAACTAAAATTTCAATTTACAAACTTTTTTTTAAAAAAAAATAATAATTAACAATAAAAAGGAATTATTTAATTTAAAAAATTAAATTAAATTTATTCAAATCAAAACTCACGTTTGTCGTGTGTTTAATCATTTTTAAAAGATTTGGCGATGTCTTTTCTTTATCTCTTTTAGTCCACACTGATCCAACTAATTCAGAAGGCTTCACCGTTCTATACAATTCGAACTCTAATAATGTCAATTGTCTTGCTAATTCAATAGGATGCAACTATAATTAGAAACAATCAATTAATAATAATAAATTGAATTTAAAAAAAAAAAATTATTTACCGTTAGAATGCCCCATTCTTCTTCAGGAACTTTTAAATGCCATTCAATTGGAGGTGGTGAACGCTCAAAACTAAATGTAATCGGTCTTTGTTCCGAGGGCTCACATTTTCTCAATACAATCTTCATCACTGAATCTACCCATTTTCTCATCGATTTTCCACTAACAGTTTCCAAAAATATTTTTAATTTCTCTAACAACGATGGATCACGTTGAAAATCGTAAAAATGATGATCCACCTAATTTTCAAAAATTAAATTATCTCTTATTGTCTGGAAAGTTTAGAATTTTTTTTTCTTCCAAAATTCAAGGTTTTTAAATTAAATTTGTTCATGAATCGCGCTCGACATTTCTAAATAAACAAAAAAATTTCATTACTCACCCAATGTCGCAAAACATTTAAAACTCGAAATTGCACAGGTTGACAGAATTCTTTTCTGTACCTCTTCCAGTCTTCTCTTGCTATTGTTTTACAACCCGTTGGCTTCTCTTCTTCCTCGTACACCAACGATGGATCAGGTATATCAAATCGTTTTATTAACAACGTTAACAATTCTTGTGGAGAGCAAAAACTCCTAAAAAAAAAATAAAAATTATATTTGAATATTCAAAAATTAATTAAATTAATGATTATTATACCTATAAGTTGTAAGGAATGTTCTGACAAAAGCTGGATCGGCATAAATATGATAAGTCAATCTCTCAACAAGTTTAACAAGCGTTGCGCCCTTAATAAGTGGCACACCACCATTTTCCCTTGCTTCTAAAACAATATTTTCCGGACAATCTTGTTCGGCAAATTCATATAAATGCGGCGAGGGTAATTTAAGTGGATGCTTTCTCTCCTCGTCTAAGAGAATGCTGTCCAATGTTCGCTCCAACATACTTTTTGTATTGAGCATCACAAGATCTGCCATCCAACTGTTTTTATCCTCAACCGATTTGGCAACGAGAATTACATTTGGATGGTCCCTTGGTTTTATTTCAAAGGCATTTTTCAATTCTGCATAAGAGAAAAAGCACATTTTTTTTTTTTAAGTTCAATTCAAAAGAAAATTATATTCTATATTTGTAATTAAAAATTCACCTTCAGTATCTTCTCGATCGATAATATCCACCTTTCGAATGAAGAAGCGTTCTTTTAAACGCAATTCTCCCTGATGAGCAGGATGACTACTTCCTACATTAACTCCCGAGACACTGACACTGACTCTTTTGCTTCCACTTGGTTTACAGAGGACAAGTAAACCATCGAATAAAAGGGCACGTCTTTCCGTTAATCTTCGACCATTATTTCCTACTTTTCCCAACATGTCCTCTATTTAATAAAAAATAAATAAAAACATTCCCTTTAATTAAAAATTCTCGAAATATAATTTAAATTTTTATAATTCAAATAGCTAATTAAAAATCAATTTTCAATAAATAAAAAAAAAATTTAGCTTTTTGCGATAAAAATGATTAAATTACCTCTGATAAATTCATTGCAACACTGGCCAACGTCTCTTTGGTCCCATCCATCGACAGTTTTCTGAAGTTCACTCGTTTTTTCAAGTGCAGCTTGTCTACGTGCTCGACTTTGCATTCGTAAACCGCTATCTTTAATTGGAAGACTCGCAACAGTTTTGGTTAATTCCGTTTTCAATGGACTGAGAACACCCTGAACTTGTTCCAGAGTCTCTCCATCTTCGGAATTTGGCGTACGTTCAAGTAATACCTGTAAAAAAAAAGAAAATTCACTAATTTAATAATTAATTAAAAATTAATTAAGTACATAATTAAGAAAATATTTTTTCAAGAAAATTATTCAAAAAAAAAAAAAATTCTCTCTTTCCTACCTTTATGTAATCGAAATATAAAAAGCAGTGCCATACTGGTTGCATTAAAAGTTTTGGCAAATAGTACTTGACAGCTTCTTTAAAACCGTGTCCAGCGGTTCGTAGACCATCTTTTGCCTCTGGCCTCGATAATAATCTCGTTAAAATTTCTCGACTAGCTGAACTATTCATTTCCCTAGCGTATCTGTAATTTAAATATTTTTTGTTACACTTGAATTTTAATAAATTTTTTTTTTCAAAATTAATAAAAATCATTATTACGTCTTATAAACTTCAAATTCTGCCGCTTCTGCTAATTCCTCAAAGCATGAACCTACAGTTGGGGTCTGTTTTTCTTCCGTGATCTCCATAATATCCTCCAAGCTTCCAAGTAACGTTACAGTCATTTCATAAATATCCATAATATTGCTAAATAGTATTTCGATTTCACTTCTGTCACGTGTGAATCTTACTATTTCTTCTCGAAACACCTTATAAGTGGAAAAGATTTTGATTTTTTAAATTCAAAAATATTTTTTACAAAAAAGTTACTCAATAGAATAAAATAAGAAATTATGGGAAAATATTAATTTTTGAAATAAATACCTTAATGATCATATGAAGATCACGTAGATAATGACGTTCGTCATGTATTAAATCTCTAACGGACTCTTCGTACGTCTGAGACACGACGGCCCCAGCCCCTAAACTGCTTTGAGGACCTTCCGTGTAATCATCTTGGTAAAACATGTCCATTAGTACCTATCAATAAAAAAGAAAAAATACATTAATTTTCTTTTTTAAAATTATCACTATCTTAAATATTAATAATAATAATAAAAAAAAAACACTTTCAAAATAGCAAGCAAATTACTCTCTAGAATCTACACTTTCTCTTTATAAACTACAAAAACAAAAGAATAAAAATAGACACCAAAAAACAATTAATTAAAAAAGATTTTTGCGAATATTTAACAAAATTAAGTGTTAAAATTTAATACTAAATTACTCATAGAAAAAAAAAGAAGAATAAAATGAAAATAAATATTAAATATTTGTAATGACATTTAATTTACAAAAAAAAATTTAATTAATTCAAATTGAAATTTAATTTTCGCGAAACTAAAACAAATGTAAATTTTTTCAAATAGAATTTTAAAAACTTTAAAAGTTTTACAAAAACATAATTTAATCGTGTAAATTATAAATAATATTATTAATAATTAAAAAATTATAAATACCTAAATAACTAAAAATAAATTAACGAACATTTCGAAATAAAAGTATTCGATCTTAGAAGAAAATAATAAAACAACTTTTTTGTAAAATAAAAACTTTTTTTTCTCTAAATAAAAATTTGTAAAAACAATTTGTGAAGAGAGAAAAAAAAACTGGCAGAAGTCAGTGATGCTATAAGATATACCTAAGGTGCATTTTTCTGAAAAGCAAAGAATTGTACTTTTTTTTTTTATTATATTTCATTGCGTGCGTGAATATCGACGCCTAATTCATGCCTCTCTAAAAGTATATTATTATTGGAGAAAATTATTATTTATAAATTATAAAATTAGATATAAGAAATAAATTGATAAAGAAAAATTATGGAAGAAATAATAAACATTCGGTAGAGAATTTTAAAATTAGTTTCTCCAATTTTCAAAGAAAAAAAAAAAGAAACTGAAAACGATTAAAAATAAATTAATAACGTTTCCCAATGAATTTTCTTTAGCGATAAAAAAATTTAAATTATAATTAATTATAAAAAAAAATCGAAATGATTTTACAACTAAAGAATTTGATTAAAAATAATTTTTTTGGGGAAACGAATTATTTAAGAGAAACTTGGGGAATTTGAGAGTTTTTCCTCAAGAAGGAAAATGAAAAGAAAAATACAACCGATATAACAGGGAAAAAAAAGCGAAAACAGGAAAAAAAAACGTCTTGTGTGACTCTTGCAAAAGAAACGTATATAATGAATTTTTTTTTTTTTTTGTGAGGTTTTATTAATCTTTTTCTGGGTCTTCGCATGTACGTACCACCTAGAACGGCATGAGCGAAGAACGAACATGGTTGGTGTTGTTAAATGTTTAGTGGAAAGCATGTAACCAAGCAGAGAACATATGCAGCCACAATTAGCCTGTGACTAGTCTAGCGTAGCTAATCGGCATATTCTGAAATTTACCAATGCACCCGTTGCTAGCAATAGAAGTTTATTCCAAATAAACCAGAGATAAAAAAAAATTGATTTTTTTTTTGTTATTAGCCTAGGGAAATTTTTCTACTCATCTATTTAAAAGGAAAATTATTTTTCGTATGATTTTCTACTCTTGTCTATAACGAACTAAAATTTCTATCTTTCTATTTTTGAATTTTTTTTTCAATCCTTTATATTTACTTAATCTAGAATTATTTTTGTTTCTATTTCTATTTAGTAAATAATTTTTTAAAGCACCTTTACGAAATTCAACGGATTCCTGAAACACCATTTTTCTAATCTGCGATGAGAATTAAAGAAATTAGCTACTAGTACTAGCAAGGTACTTTTTCTTTTATTTATTTATTTTTTTTCGGGACTAAGCAAGGACTGTTTTTCTGGACCAATATTCTAAATAAGATGCTTTTCGAAACTACACTATCATATCTTACAAGTTTTGCAATTAAGTTTAATTCGAAATTTGCTTTTTTTCAATTAAAAAAAAAATTGTTTTCTATTTTATATTTAAATTATCAAATTCATTATTATTGAATATAAAAATAAATAATGAAAAAAAAAACAATGGACGCATTTTTCGAATTATCCTTGAAGCAAGACTGCACATAACGAAGGATACTGTGTAAATCGATTGATATGTGCTTAACAAAGACACGATTCAAGCTGAAAATTTCGGAAAAATCATTTACCATATCTGCATACATCGCAACTCTTATGTCCTCGCAGGAAATCTCAACGTGGCGAATATTCTTGACATAATTACCAGCCAACTGAAAAGAACAGTTTTTTTAAATTTCCATTTTGTAAAAATAAATTGACTATATTATTTATAATTATAATCTCGATAGAAAAATTTCATCTTGAATTAGTTAATTTAAAAAAATAGTTATAAAATTATTTTTTTATATTAAATTATATATTACCTTTAAAATATCAGCAGAAATATATTCAAGTACCCCGACGACAAAAAGACTGACTTGAGAATCAATTTTGTGCTGTAATACTTCCTGTAAAAAAAGAAAAAAATATTAATAAAAATTAGAGTTGAATTCTTTAAATTAAAAAATTTTTGATCGAATTAATAAAATTCACAGGTTTTCATTAGGACATTTACACTATCAGAAGAAAAATGAAAATAAATTCTCATTTTTTTTTAAATTTGCAAAAATTTAATTGAAACGATATAAATAATTAAAATTAATATTTTCAAAAAAAAATTGAATAATAATTAAATTTCATAAAACAGTTTGAATTTCAATGTAAAAAATAAATAAATAAATAAATAAATTTACAAAAACATTTAAAAAAAAAAGTTGGCTTACTTTTTGCAAAAGTTGATGAATTTTATCCACAGGAAGAACTAGTGGCGATTTTTTCTTTCCTTTTTCAAGAGCATCTCTTGCATCTCGTAGTGCCCACCTGTCAATTGGAGTAGGAAATGTACGTCTTACTCTTTCCTCTACGTCTTGAGGTGTATGAGGAGGTGGATGTCCACAGAGCATGCCCAACATTCTCAAAATCAGACTCTCAACATAATCTAAAGCGTCCTGACGAGCTTCTAGACTGGGATGAACTTGCTCCAATACCTAATGATAAAAAAGTTAATTATTAAAAAATAAAATCCCGTTAAGAAATAAAAAAAAAACAACATCACAAAAAGTCGGCTTTATCTCAAATCATTCCAAAAAATAATTATTTATAATTTTACCAATTTCATTTGTGGTTATAAATCTAAATATTCGTAATAAAAAACAGATTTTCAAGAACTGGTCATAAAAAATTCACGAAACAATTATTTCGAAAAGGTTATGTTCCCTCTTTTACTATATATGCAAGAAGTGTCAAAATATACATAATCTTTGACAGGAAAATAAATTTCCAATACAGTTTTTCATTAGTGAAGAAAATTACAAAAAATGTAAATCACAAACTATAACAAGTTATTAAAGGAAAACCCCATTTATTGGTTCTAAGAGGCAACAATAAAAAAAAAAATCAATAATTGGTTTTGGCTACCTTGTCCCCCTTTAGACTCAACTTTGACATATCCCAATAAAACTCAATACTTGTCAAACTGAATTTTCTAATAACACATACACACAAGTAGAATATATATATATGTATATAAAATCCCAAGTGAAGGTCCATGCAGCATAGGGAGGATGAATATTGGTATGAGTGTTAGTTGTTTTTACACACCTTGCGCAGGGAGTTGACAAACACTCCCTTCCACTTGGCAGCGTTTTCTTCTTTCTCAAAATCATAGCCAGACGGCTCGCCGACCACGGACGCCGGCGACGAGAACATTTCACCAAATACAAAAGAAAAGAAAATAAAGAAAAAAGAAAAATCATAGACACGGATATAGACACAAACACTAAGCAAATAATGATGATTTGCACTGGGGAATATTTGATGATGACACACACACACAAACACACCACATGCACAACGACAAGTGTTCTTTTTTTTATTTCTCTATGTTATTAATGAGGCTCCATTGAGTCCTCGTGAAAACATCACGATTAAATTGTGCACACACAAAAACAAATTTACGTATGTCCATTTGATTCCGTCGTTTTTTTTTTTTGTATTAAAGCGTAGACATAGTACACAACATTGGAATGCGACAGTTAAACGTCGTGAAAAAATTTGTGTTTTTTTTCATGATCCGGGAACAATTGCCCAACGCCTCGGATATATTCCTGAGTCGAGGGCATCCGATCTCAGGATCACACACATTTTACACGCCCTTTTTATCGAATTTTTCATTTATCAAGAACTCCGCGGACATCACTACCACCGCCATTTTGCAATTTTATGCACGACATCTGGTGGCTGATTTTTGCACTATCAGTAAAGAACTTCAGGTACGTGATATGTGTTTCAGAAACCCGGTATTTTTATTTTTATAAATAATTATTATTTTACTTATTCTTTTTCTTGTAAAAAAGATTTTTTTATAATTGATAAATTTACAAACAACTGACGATATATTAAAAATATTTTAATAATGATTAATTAGTAAAAAATAACATGTGTAGATGAGTCAGGGATGTAACAAGAAACAAAGAACCCATTTATTAGAAATATTTAAAGAAAATTACACAAGTACACGACAAAAAGTACTTCTACAGGGGCTCTTTTTTTTTAAACAATTTATAAAATAAATAATATAAACAAATACTACTATTATATTGTTTATATTATAATTCATAATATAAAAATATATTTTGCTAAAAACTGATGATAGGAATAAAATTAAAAATCAATTTTAGAGGATTCTATTTTTTTTTTTATTGCATCCGAATTTGCACACACATTCGTGATCATATTTAAAATAAATACTTTTACATATAATTTTACATGATAATACGATAGATGAAGACAATAAATAAATGCATGAATAAATAAATAATTAAATTAGATTACATTGAACAGTTAAAATGAACATTTCTCACACGAAAAATTTTTTAAGGAACACATTTCACATTTTAATAATCATGACGCATTTCAAGTTCCCTTTCATTTGATTTATCTTAACAATTATTCAATACTTAATTGGTTTTTTTTTTTGTTACCTAATTTCAGTTGTACAATTTAAAATATTTTCTTAAATTTACAAAATTATACCCTAAAAAAAATATTAATGACAATTATCTTCTCCTAGTTCTGAAAAAATTATTTGTTTTGAAATAATAAATTTCAAACAAAATAAAATTTTCTGGTTTAAACTACAAAATAACGAAAAAAGATAACATTGAATTGTTAAATTAAATACTGAATTATTTTTTTTAAAAACTTTAATAATTAATTAAAATTGTAATTAAATTAATGCAGTAATCATTTTCAAAAGAATTGAATAGAATAAATAAATGTAAAGAAATTAATGAAGTTAGGATTAATTAATAAATTAATGTCATTAAATAAATGATTACGTAATTAATAAAATTGTTTAATTAATAGTATTTAATAATTAAGAAATTTAATTATTAAAAACTATTTTGCAATAATGCCATTTCAATGATATCTTTTTTGTATAAATAATAAATAACTAAATTAGAAAAAAAAATTCGCTATTACAATTAATTATTATTTGCGATGAATTTAAACATTCGAATTTCAACGCACTTAAAAAAAATTTACAAGACTTTGTTCTCTTTTACATAATACCGAAAAAAAGTATACATTTGTGCAAATTTCAATATAATTTAATTATGTATGAAAATTTTTTTTTTATCAGACCATTATCAGAAATTAACTTATTTTTCTGATATCTACACATTTTGAAAAAAAAAAAAAAATTCAAATTAGGAAAAATTATTTGCTATCTCAAAAAAAAAAAAAAAGATTAGCACCGTCAAATTTAGATCTTTTTTCGAGATTGCAAATTGACTACTTATAAATAATAAATAAATATACAAAATTGCTAATTAAATAATAATAATATAAATAACTAAAAGCAGCAATGCGTCTACATCTTGTCCGGAAATACTGACTAATTATTATGCATCAGAGATAAATATTATTCTTTTTCTCAATTTTTCAATTAATGAAAAATTTATTTATTTCTCGAATTTCAATTCATCAAAAAATAATATGTAATTGAAATTTTTTTGTATTTTATCCAATTTCTTCAACTTTTGATGAATTTCTTTCTTGAATTTCCGTTCCAGATTGTAATATTATTTTTTTCTCCTAATTATTATAGAATCTTCTACTATAATAAAAATGTGAAATTAAACTTTCAGTGTAGAGTTCAAGTTCGGACGGCAGACAATCCGCTAATACTGTTCGGGTGGTGAGAATATTTTGAGAACCTCTCACGATTTATTATTTTTTTTTTTTAAAACCATTTTGTCTTTTATTGACGATTTATTTTACTCTCATTTTTTCTCTTTTTTCTAATTAAAAAAGAGTGGAGGGTCGTCCGTATCATCGCCTAGCTGATTATCCACGTCTCTCTGGAACTAATAAAATTAAATAAATTATTAAATTATGTTTTACAATAATTAACGTTAATAATAATTTAAAAGAGTATTTTAATTTATTTTTCTTTTTTAAATAAAATTTTGCAAAATTTTTGCAATAAACAAACTTTTTTGTATAAAAAATGACGAAAGCCGTTTGCATGAATGAAATCGAGTTGTAATTTTTTAATCTGTATGATGCAATCGTTTACTCTAAGTGTAATTGCATCAGGAAAAACGTGCTACAATTATATAGCAAATCAAAACACTTCCTCTGAATTATAAATATTGAAATATTAATTTTTATACAAAAAAAAGGAAGTTAATTATTGACATGAGTCAGTGTTCATTAGAACACGAACTTTGACTCCTTTAAAAACAAAATATTCGTTTCTATTTCATTATTATTTAATTTAATTTATGTTTATCCTTTTTTTTTAATTTAAAAATTTTTCAAATATAATTTCAAAACTTACCCAAGATGCAGGAAATATTATGTCCTTGCTGTCATCGTCATTTAATTCAGATTCCGAAATAGTTTTCCAAAATCGTTGAAATCTCTGAAAATCATTTCCAGCATTTGATCGTCGTTTGCGACCACTGAAAACAAAAAGGAAAACTAAAAATAATATTTTTTTTGAAAATTTTGCAAATATTTACTAAATCTAAATTTATTATTATTAATTAATTTTTTTGATATTAAAAGGAATTTCGAAAAGTTTTTTTATATTTCTTAAAAAAATAAGTATTTTCAATATAATTTCATTATAATATTAATATTAAAAGTCGCCCACGTGAAAGCAAAGTTCGATTTTCTATTATAAAAAGTGATTCACTTTTTTGCGTTTAGAAAGGCAAAGGACTAAATTTGGACACTAGATAAAATACTATCACTGTATTTTAAGAAACTTAATTATTTTTAAAAGACACGATGTTTATTTATACATTTACGTGTTTAGAAGAAAACATTAAGAGATTTATTTTGAGATAAAAAAACGATGACGATGATATAGAAAAATTCTTCCTTTTTTTTATTATTATTTATTAAAAAATAATCAAATTTTTTCAAATTTATTAATTTTTCCTGAATCAAATTTCAAATTTTTACAATCAAAATTAATTTCTTCATTTGATTTCATTATTAAAAATTTTCAAAAGTAAAAATTTATATATTTATTTATTGGATAATAAATAAATTCAAAAATCTTTATATGAAATAGTCGGGGTCAGTTCCCTTGGCGAGCATAAGGAATGCGGAAAATAAAAATTTTTTCACGTAAAGATGTTCAATGAAATCCGAGCAAAGAAATTTAATTAGCTGATGAGAGGAGGAAAAAAAAAACAGGAGTCACTGAATTTTAAACATCTCTTTGAATCATTTCATTGATCGACTATATAGTCGTGACCGCGTTTTGTTTCTTTGCCTTGTATGATGTAAGGTCAGTTTCGCATAAATCTCTTCGAAGGAAATGCCATTCTTGAATCCTCAAGATAACCATTTATCAAACTTTAAATCAATCACTCCAAAACTTCTTTCTTTATAATATCTTTTCCCATCGTTTAGTTAAATTAAAAAAAAAAAAAATCTAGCACACTTCCGAGATGAAAATCAATTTTATATTTTAATTCAATAAAAATTTGAATATTTAAATATAAATAAATAAATTGAAAAAAAAAAATGATTTTCACTGAAATGCATTTTCGTTTTTTTTTTTTTTTTTAAAAAATGAGTTTCCTTTATAGACGTGGGAAGTCAAAGTTTTCAACTTCTCGTCTCATATAATACAAGATTGGTATATGCTTTCTTGGATGAGTTTTCTAATTTTCGAAAAACTCTATTTTCCTCGCAAAATTTAGTTTTGCGAAAGCCTCTTTAAGTCTATCGAAAAAAATAAAAATTATTTTTTTATTCTGTTTAAATTAATTAATAATTATATTTAAAAATATTATTATTTATATTTATTTTCAAAAATACAATTATTTATATTTATATTTAAAAAATAGGATTATTTATTTTTATATTGAAAAATATAATTATTTATATTTGAAAAAAAAATATTGAAAAATATAATTATTTATATTTGAAAAAAAAATTGAAAAAAATTTATTTCGAGATCAAAAATTATTATAGAAATTAGGATCAAATTGTCATGGATATATATAGTGATTTGATAAGGAAAAACTATTTTTTGCAGTTGTATCAGTGTATAAATGCGCTTCATTACTTCTCTAACTCTAATACATACAAATAAGGAATTCCCCGAGTGCATTCATTGCGCATCTCTTCAAGTATCGTAAACAAATTTCCGGTACAGTAACGCGACACATTGAATAGAATAGAAATTTATTCCCGACTATATATATATATGTATATTCTCGAGGACTGATAAACTGGTTAGGGACTCTCGCTATTGCAACTTTTCCGTTGCATTACTCCTGTTTTTATTTCTCCTTGACAAAATGCATTTCAATTGTCTGCACATACACAATATTTTTTCCTAAAAAAGAAAAAAAAAAAAAAAAAAACTTCTTATATATAAAAGGTTTCCGCCTTCGTGAAAAAGACAAAACTTTTCCAATTTTCGTAATTTAAGATCAACTCGCATTCAAAGTTCTTCCGTTAAATAAAATATTTAAAAACAATCGCGATATATTATTTCACTTATTATAAATTAAATACAAATAAATTGTTTAATTATTAACTATCAGAATTATCAATATTTTTTTTATTTTATTATAATAATTATTTTATTAAACTATTATAATTATTTTTATTATTTTATTTTTAATACAGATTCTAAATTTATTTTTTTTTTTATTTCCAAGCACGTATATATGTAAATTATCGATGCAGTATATAGTTGTGTTTGAGGTTCGACAAAACATATATTCACAAACTTTTATAAACTCTATAAAAAATAAATTGGAGAAAAAAATGCTTCAATTAATTTTATTTATTTTTGGTGAAAAAAAAAAATACACAAATTTATGAATTTCTACTGGTTTTGTATATTTTCAATTTTTCAAAAGTAGAACATTCATTGTTTCATGTTTCAAATTTTATAATAAAGAAAAAAAATTTTTTTTATTTCAAAAAGAATTAATTAATTTTTTGTATCACAAATTATTAATTTTACTATAGATTTCATAAAATTAAGTAAATTAAATTAAGTAGTATTTACTTTACTAAATCAAAATAAATATGATAAAGTGAATGATAAATATTTTTACGATAAACAAAACAATATTAGGTTTAATTGATAATTAAAGACAATTAAAAATCATATTATTCAAATTGAAAATTTACATCTAGCTAATATAAAAAAAAAAACCCTTTTGGCAATATTTTTTCATTTAATAAAATTATTCTCAAACTTTGCAATTGTAATAGATGACTCATATTAAATCGAGGCACGAGCGCAAAAGTTTCATGAAAAGAAAATTTTCTTTTATCACAAAAATATTGTATTCAATTTTAATTATTCAATATTTATTAATTTACATATTTCTGATAATTAAATTAAATTTCTTGAATACTTTTTTTTTTAATGATATTTTTCAATTTCTGCAATGACATTATTAAAAAAGAAAAAAGAAAAATTGTCCATATAATTCAAATTGTTTATTCATGACAATTTTAGAAAGTTAAAGATTAATTAAAAGTTAATTTACGGTATAAATGAATTTCTCTAGTTGCAATTTATTATCTCCTTTTTATTCTTATTTTTTTTTTGTTTATTTTGTTTATTACTATTGTCATTCTTCTATTTATAATAATAAAAATAATAATTATTATTATTAGGAAATTTTATTAATGACTAATTATTGTAATAAACAAATAAATAGAATTACAAATTATTTAATTAAACCGATTTGACAAAAGTTATATAATTAATTAGTTTATCGCTTGGAGCATTTAATAAATGACTCGTTCGAAGGATTATGATTGTAATCAATTATTAATTGTCTTTCAATCTTTGTTGTAACATGAAAACCATTTTCTCCATTTTGCATTTTCAAAAGCTTTAATTTTCTGCATGATTAAAATTTTGTCGATTTATTTATTTTTTTTTTCAATATAGGTTTATAATTCAACTGTTATAAATTGCAACAGCTATCAAAAAAAAAAAAAAAAAAAAAAAAAAATTGTATACACATATATTTTGCATCAAAAGATTCCAATCGGAATTGAATTTTTATGTTTACATGGCTCAAACAGGATGGAAATTTTTTTCTCGACATATTAACGATACAAAAAAGAAAACCTATTGTCATAAATTGAAATTATATGTAAATTTACAAAAAAAGGATTGAAAGAAAATTTTCACTATTTTGGATAATTAAAAAAAAAAATAATAATATTGAACTAAAAAAAAAATTTAAATGGTATATCGAGGAATGTCAATAAACTTGGAAAATACACAAGAGTCAAATAATAATTAATAATATAATTACCCGATTGATTAAACAAATTAAATTATTAATTTCAATGATAAGTTAATAATATTTTATTAACATGACACTAAGTAATTGATAATAGATTTTATCTTTTTATTAAAAAAAAAAGGGGGGATTAGGTAGGCGTGACAAATAGAATATTATTATAACAATATTTATATTAATCATTTAAAAGGAGAAAAAAATTTTTCTTCACTCCCACCTAATACAATTTTTTTTTTTTTGTTTGATTCAATTATAAAAAAAAGGTTTAAAAATCTATCAAATATTTGTAATAGATTAAAAAAAAATTATTAAAATATTTTTATCGAAATTTATCTTAAAATTTACTTTTTAAAATTTATTTTATTTATTTATTTATTGGAGTTTATTTATTGAATTATTTGACATTTAGAACAATATCAAATAAAGAAAAATATTTAAAAAATATAAATTTCGGAAAAAAGAAAAATAAAAAATTTTTTTAATCGCTTTTCAACAAAGTATGAAATTTGGTTTGGAGATAGTGAATAAATTATTCGGATGTGAATCATTGAGTAATTTCTGAAACATTCTGTATAAACTTGTATACAATCACCCTATATGATTTTCATTCCGATGAGCTGAGTGTATTAGCTAAAATTTTCTCAAACGCAACCAGTATACACCCACTACTCTCTCTTTTTTTTTCTCAAGAAATAAAAAATTGCCGAAAAAAGTATAGATAATAAAGAAATCTCAGTATAACTGCGCTGCAGAGATATTCTCTTCTATAAAAACAAAAAAAAAAAAACTTTTACGTGCTCGCGCGGATATGAAGCTTTGCATTTTTCAGAAGTCATTTTTTCTCTAACCAAACTGATCCGACAATTTTTATTTTTATTAAATATTAAATATCGAATATTTCCGATGCAAGCTTTTATCAGAATATAAAAATAAATATTCAAAAATTATTTATTTCCAAAATCACAATCACTGGATCAAATTTGATTAATTTAATTAATTAAATTAGAGGATAAAGAACTTTTTTAGGAGGAAAAAAAAAAATTTTTTAACTTTTCGAAATTCGTGTCTTTTGATCACAGGTATTAAAAAATTATTCTTTTTTAAATAGTAAAAAAGATTGCTTTAAATTTTTATTTGAATAATAAATAAAACTATTGCAGAAATAAAAAAAAATTAGAAAAATACAAAAAAGGATTGAACTTACAGTTTTGCAGGATCAACGCGACCAAATCCCACAGGAACTGTGACTAATTTTCCCTTTAGTCTTGACAATGCCATCAGTGTCTCAAGTTCCGCCAGTCTTTGATCAGAAACTCGTTTTTGTCGACTGAAAAAAAAATTTAGAAATTACAAAAAAGAAAATTTATTTTTATTATGAATTTAAAAAAAAATTCCTGACCTTTCTTTTAATTTTAATTATTTTATGTACATATCTGTAATTATTTATTTTCTTTTTTATTTAATTTTGTAAAAAAAAAAATTGCAATTCTTGGAATTTCATATTATATAGACTTAAATTTGCACACTTGTTGCATCATTCAGTGCAAAACTGCCATCATTTTGCGTCAGTATAGATCAACGTCTCGACTGATGCACAAAATTCACTTACATGTCAGGGAACTCACGTTACGTTTTTTTTTCTCACATTCTTTGTCTCGGAAGACAATTCTAGAGTGGCTACAATTTTTTTTTTTCTATTTTTAACATTATTTATTAATTATTAAAAAAAGATAGAAAATCATTTCTAAATTCATTAATAGTAATTTGTCAAATTTAAGCAAAATAAATAATAAAATAATAATTATATTTTATAATAAATAAATTATTAATTAATTATTAAATTTTTAAAAATATTATAAAAATTAAATTTAAAAATTAAATTATTTAAAATTATAAATATCAATAATAATAATTAAACGTAATTTAGGTAAAATGACTTATGTAGTCAAATATAAATTAAAATAAAATTTTCCATAGGATTTACATCGTAGAATGTGTAAAATTAGATTAAATCAATTGAATCAATAAATGAGAAATTAATCAGAAATCCTTTTCAATGATTATATAAAATTCAGCAGTCTAATAATTATTTTTATATGAACGTGAAATATTATGTAAGAGTTAGTCGATTTATGTATTATATATAGACGAAAGAAGAAAAATTTGCTACTTAAATTGTATATGATACAATAGCCATAGATGACACTTGGGAAATTCTAGTGAACATTACCATACGATAATGTAACTACTTTTTATTTTATCTCATAAATTTTTCAAAATATACAATTTTAAAATATAGTGGGAGTTAAAAATTAAAATATAATTTTGAAAAAAAAAATCCCAATCTCCTATTTATCATTCCGAAATGAAATTTTCAAACGCGCGAATTATAATAAATATATATGGAAATTTTTTGGGGAAAAAAAATTCTAATTTGTACAATATAATAAATTATATATAGATAAATTTAATTTACAGTTAAATTAAATTAATTTAGAATAAAAAAAAATACGAAATCGTATATCGTTAAAATTTTGTAAACTACAAAAAAAAAATGAGATATGTGGAAAAAAATATTTAATCCCTCCCTCAACTACCCTTCAACTAAATTAACATAATATAACATGAAATAATCGACACAATCTTCTTTATATACCAATATCGAGTTTCTTTTACTCTAGATAATTTCTCACGATAAGAATTTTTCTCTCTTGAAAAAAAAAAAAAAGAAAACAGTGGTGGAGGATACAAAATAGGTATTTTACAGAATATCGATATTTTTATCTGATACTTCAACCCAATTGTATGACCCTCTAATCAAATAAAAGACATCTGCCACGCGTTAATTATTATCATTTTATCATAACGTGTTTCTGATTTTTTTTTTTTTTCATTTTTTTATTATTTAGAAAAAGGAAAAATTCCAGTTTTTCTTACGTCATATGAGCTATTTACAAAAAAACGACAGCAGTTTTGAAAAAAAAAAAAAAATTTAGAAAATTATTTTGCTATTTTTGAAAAATAGTTTTTCAAAAATTGTCAATTAGACAATTCTGTTTCTAATTTCGAAAAAGAATCAAGATTTTCAATAAAAGAAAATAGTTTTGTATAAATAAAAAGAAAATTAAAAAGAAATATATATATGTTAGGAAAAAACTTTTTAAGATAAATATCAATAGCCAATGTATGAGAAAACAGAATTATATTATATATATATTTGCACAGAAATTTCTTTGCAAGTCGTATAAGAATTCTTCGATCAAGTTTCCACTAGAAACGAGATACTTCAATTTCGAAAGGGTTAAACATTCGATAGTAAGGCTTGTTTAATGCACAATAGAATCGTTTACTAGAAAAATAAAATTTCTCTCTCTTTCCTTTCGATAAAAAAAATATTTTTTTTATCTTAATAAAAAAGCAAATATTCTTTTTTTTTCAAAAAAATACTCTTTTTTCCAAACAATTTTCTTAAATTTAAATACAAATTATATATACTTAATCAATTTTTTTTTGTATATATATATAAAAAAAAATATAATATTACAAAAATGTGAACTGAGTTGTAAAATTTTATTGTTGTAAATAATAAAGAAAAGTACTATACATAGAAAAATATTGTAAAGATCTTTTTTTATAAGCAATACAATAAAAATATATTATTATTATTATTATTATTATTATTCAAAGAATGTTAAAAAAAAGTCCCATCAAAAGGGAAATTGAAATATTTTTACTCAATAATGAAATTCTCAATTATTTCTTTATTTTATCTTAATCTGTAAAAATTGTGACTAAATAATAATTGTTGTCCGAGGTTGGGGACAATTGATATAAATTATCGAAATAAAAATTGTTTTCGAATTGATGAAAATTTTCAAATACAAAAGTATATTAATGAAAAAAAAAGAGAAATGAAAGAAAGCGATAAATTATCTCTATATATAGTTAATTATGCACGCGTAATTAATTACGAACACATAATTATTGCACGCATTAAATCGTATTTTCAAATGATACATCAAACAATGAACTCTTTTTTTTCGACATAATAATCAATTAATCAAACAACTCGCATGATTTGTATGTGAAATCAAATAACTGATGAATGTTGAAAATTGATTATTGGTGTATTATATATATATAGAGAAGCACGAATTTTGTTGCAATTAAAAAAAATATTGATAAAATTTTGTTTTTTTTTCATAATTCGCAAATTGAAATTTAAAAAATTAATTTATTTAAAATATTAATATTCAAAATTGTTAATATTGAATTGTTAAACTTTAATTAAACAATCGAAATAAAAAGAAGATGAGTATATAATTTTATTGACCAAGGTTGGGAATAAGAGATAATTTATCACACAGAAGTGTCATAATTATCTTATTAATCATAAGAAAAAAAAAAAGATAGCATATTATATTAAATTATAAAAAGTAGTGTTCTGTTATAGAAATTTATTTGTAAAAAATAATGAATTCAAAATAAATTCTGTAGCAAAATTGTAAATTTAAAAAAAAAAAATTTGTAAAATAAATTATTAGAATACTGTTAAAAAAATTTTTTTCAATAAATTTTTTAACCTATATTATTATTAAATATACATAATCTAATATCAAATGATGATGTCTTAAAATATACATGACGAGTGCATTTGACTGTAAACAATTGTTAAAAAATTAACACTTAATTATCAAGACTTCGAAGAAATGATTTTTATCTAAAAACCTGATGAATATGCAAATCATATATTTATTTCAAATAATAATTTCAGTTTCATAAACATATAAATTTACTTCCCAATCAAATTTTTTGTCTAATTTTTTTTTTTAAATTTGCAAAAATTTTTGAAATATTAAAAAAAAAAAATTTTTTCCCCTAAAAAAAAAGAAAAATAAAATAGTAAAGTAAATTGTACCTAAGGAAACCGGATGGCCGAGCGTGTGCTATTTCCGGTACCAGTACAAGAAGAAGAAGCAGTAAACCTGCAGTCACTGTTGCCAATGATTGGTTCTTCATTTTGAATTTTTTTTTATACACAAAAAAAAATACTATATATGACCACTTGAACCACTTTTTCTCCTCAAGTTTCTTTTTTTTCGAAAATTCAAACTCCGCACCCAAAAACACTATTTTTTTTTTCTATTAAATAATAGTATCACTTAAATATTTATTTATTTATTATTATTATTTTTTTTTTAATGATCCTTTTCGTTTTGTGTCTTCAAGAATTGTAACGAGTTGCTTGGTGATTTTCAGCATATATACTCAGTTGCGCGATGGCTCCTCCCCACTCGCGAATCCTCCCTCACTTTATAATCTGGCGCTTGTTCTCCAGTTCTCTCCTCTATACAACGTTTCCCAAAGTCCTCCCCCCTCTTTTTTCCCTTAAAAACCCCTCCCCCACATACATATCGTTAATAAAAGGGGTCATCCATTTTTTTTTTAAAAGGTGGAGATGAAAAGGGGCCTCAGTTTTTCCCCGCGAAAAATTAACTGATCACCTTCTTCTTCAATGATATATATATGTATAGGTATACAATAATCATCAACAGAAAGCGTGAACAGAATTTTTTTTTTCCATTGACATTTTATAATTTCATCATTAATTTTTTTTTTCATTTTGATTTATTGATTTTCACTAATTTTTACTAATTGTTAATAATATTATATTCATGTTAATTAATTTCCAATTATTTACTAATTACAAAATAATTACGAATTAATAATTAATTTGCTGAGTATTTATTTTATTAATTAGTAATTTTAATAATTTTACTAATTAATAAATTCGCTACTAACTTTTTACTAATTATGATAAATAAATAATTATTATATAATTTATTATTTATTCTATTTATAAATATGAAATAATAATAAATTATAATTTATAATTTTATAAATAATTAAATTTAATTAAAAATAATAGACTCACAATTTTATTTAAAACGAAACGCAAATAATTCATGAGAGAAAAAAAAAATATAAATAAAAACCACCGAAATTGTAGAAAGTCTGATGTTACAAATAATGTCTAAACAAGATTATAACGCAAAGAAATTTGTTTCAATGCCGGAAGAAAATGAGGGGAAAAATTTTCTGTTTCATTCAATTATAAAAAAAAGGGTTCAACAAAAAATATATTAAAGCGTACATATGCGGATAACGTGTGCGTGACGTTGACCACGTTTTGTCCTTTAGAATAATAAATTTTCTCTCCTGATGGTCATTCTCACGTCTATATAAACGAAAGAAAGATACATACAATTTCTTTAAAAATTTACGAAAAGGTGAAGAAAAAAAAAAATGATTTTCCAAATTTTTTTCTCTCATTAATAAAAAAGCATTAAAAAAAGGAAAAAATTATATTTTTCTCCGCTTATAATAAAAATTGTTATTAGATTTTTTTTCCATTCTCCCCTTTTTTCATTTTAATTACAAAAAAAAAGATATTGCAACTGCAACTCTCGAAAATTTCTATAAATATATATAAAATATAGAAAAAATAGAAAAAAAATAGTTATAAAGTTTCAAAAACTTTTGAAAAAATCTCAATTTTTGTTTTTAAAAATAATACACTAAAAATTAAGACATTATTTTTTTTTACAATTTTTTTTTTTTTTAACACTATATTATTCCAAAATATTAAAAATATTCTAAAACATCGAGTATTTTTATTCAATATTTTTCTTTCCAAGAATGAGCTATTTTTTTCGCACTCATGTTTTTTTGAAAAAAAACCATTGTCGAAGAGAATTCTCGCTAAATTAACGATTTTTTATTTAAAAAAAAAAAAAAAAACAAGTGTAAAAATTTATTTATCACGCGATAAAATAATTTTCGAAAAAAATATATTGCCTATAGAGTATTGTATAACTATATAATGGCTGTTCAGAAAATGTTTTATTATTTTACCCAAAAATAAAATTGCTTGAAAAAAATAAAGAATTTTTAATTAATGGAATTGCGAAAATATATATTTTAAGACTTATCTAACTTTTTCAAGGTCAAAAAAATCTAAAAATAAGAAATAACAAATGTTGCAACTAAATTCTATATAATAAAAAAGTTTCTAATTTTGAAATCTAATTTAAAAAAGAAAATTTTTTTAAAAAATATTTTGGAATTTTCTTTTCTGGAATATTGGAAAATTCTACATATTTGGAAATTTTATTAATGAATATTAAAAGACTCGTTTTGGAATTTTTGCAAGAATATTAGACTAATTTCTTTTTATTTGTGATAATTTTATTTATAGTTTGCAATTATATAGTTGCAATAGTTTAATTTTTGCAATAAAAAGAAATTCCTAAATCGTTTTTCTCTATATTTAAAAAAAAAATTGTAAAATAATATTAAAAAAAATTTATAAAATTGTATTGTAAAAATTTAACAAGAATTTTTTTTTTTTATTGAAAGCAAGAAACAAACTGTTTTCCACACCCTAAAAACTCCTTCATAAGAGATGAACTTCTTCAATAATAAAGAAATTCACCTTTATTAAAGCTTACAAACCCTCTACTATATAAAAATTAAGTATTTACATATATACATCATAAATTCGAAAGAAATGTTGTTTTAATGTTTTATTTCCAACTCGTAATATCTTTTCTTTTTCTCAGTGTATATAAAATAAAACGAAAAAAGTTAAGAGAGAGACAAGAAGTTTCTTTACACAAACTTCAGGAAGAAAAATAATATAAAGACAAAAAAATTCGTAACATTTTCAAAAATTTGTAAATTTCTTTAATACTTCCAGATAAGTAAATTCTCCTTCCAATTTTTATTTCTAAACCAGAATTTTTTTCTATAAAAATAAAATTATTTTATCATTATGAAAAAACAAAAAAAATTCCAAATATTCTGTGAATTGTTGAATTTTTTCCATCTCAAAAATTTAATTAAAAAAGTAATTAAAATATCTGTGAATCATTTCCCAATGAACTATCAAAAACGCTGTATAAAATTCAACCCTTTCTGTACATATATATATCTTTTAAAGGTATCGCGCTGTCTAGACGACTTTCGTGGAAAACGAATCCTTATTATAAAATTGTTAAAACCTTTTTGTAAAACAAAAAAAAAAAAAAAGAAAAAATTTATCCCACAGGTATATGTATTAGAAAGTCATTAAAATTTTATTTATTAGATGCAAAGAAAAAAGTAAGACACTTCAAAGAACAAAATAAAATTCGTCGAATAAGAGAGGTCCTTGAATAATGTAATACCCCCTTTAGGGTGAATATTTGGATGTTCAAAATGTAAGCCGGAAATGCCAAAAGTAGTTTCGAAATTGGGGGGGCATGATGTCATTCTCTTGGGTGTAGTTCTTATTGCCAAAAAGGATATATTAGTTTAAAGTCATTGAAACATCAATGAGAAATCAAAGATTTACCGCAACTTTCATTTTTATTTTCTATATAAAATCATTCTGACATAATATTAAAAAAAAAAGGTATAAACCATTTTTCATTTTTGCCACAAAAAAATAGTTTTTTTTTTATTTCTTTACTATTTAATAAAATAATACAATAAAATATATAATAATTATTATTATTAATATTTAATAGTAATAATAATTATTATTATTAATATTTAATAATAATAACAATTATTATTATTATTAATTTATATTTTGAAAAAATAATATTGCAAAAATATAACTATTGAAAAAAAAATCCTCTTAGCTTTTGATCAATTACAACTATAAATAAATAAAGGCGAATAAAATATTTTCTTTCACTGAATAAAAACATGTCGAAATTTTAAAAAACATTCTCTAGTCTCAGAAAAAAATTTATTAGACCCCCAAAGTAAATAATCGTCAAGATCAACTTTAAATAAAATGAAATTTATTTATAAAACTATATATATTTGACTAAACACAAGTTTTCTATTAATCCAAGTTAAATAATAGAGAAATTTGTTATGAATTATATAATTCACTACATCTTTTTTTATTTTATATATATAATTCTTGAATTAATTAATAAATATGTTTTAAATACTTATTGAAAATAAATTTTTTTCCAAACAGATTTTTTGAGGATTAAAAATGTTTTTTTTTTTTAATTTTTAAAAAATTTATAAGTTAACTTTTTTTTCTCCTATACATTTTTGCACATACTGCAAATTTTACATCTTATTTATATGTAAAATTTTTTATAATGGTTAAGTATATAAAAGAAGCAACTTTATAATAGGAAACGGTATAAAAGATGCATCTGAAATCACCCTCACGAGCGAGAAAAGTCATTTCATCAATGAATAAAAAGAGTAAAATTATTCCAAGTTCTTTTATAACACTTTTTTTTTTTGGAGAATTACGAAAATCTTATTAAAAACCTCTCTCGTATATAAAAGATGAAAATATAATTTTTTTTTATATATTATGTATGCAAAACACAGTTTTATCAAATAATTTATTTTTAAATTTTCTATTCTTTACTCCCACCATGCAATTTTTTTTCAAAAAAAGATTTAAAAACTTTTTACATTTTTTACAATATATATAATTTAGAAATTTATAATAAATAATTTATGATTAAAAAAGAATTTTTTCAATATTTTTAAATAAAAAACGATTTGGCAAAAGGAATTTTCCTGTCATTAAAAATTTTATTTTCATTCCACTTCAACTATCTTTAATATATATTTTTAACGTATACAATGTAAATATTGATTTGTATGATGTAAAAATCAATTTACCGCGATCACATTCGCTTGTTAAAAAAAAAAAAATTAAAAATACTTCGCTATTTATTGAACAAATCTAGTAGATCATCTAAATTATTTTGCTCAATATGGGATTAATGCCGAAATTTTTTTTTTTTTTAATTTTCGATAACAGAGACTAATCGACTTTATATTGCGTCTTACGAAGTTATTAATAAAATAATAAAAGATTATTTTTTTCAAATTTTCAATTAATGGGATACAAATAATCGTCTTGAGTACATTGATATTTTTACTAATCATATAGATATATTATTCTATTTATAAGTGCAAGAAATTTTTGATATAATATCAAAACTGAAAATTTTCAATAATTGACAGCAAAAAAGAAAAAAAAAATGTCAAAAGACATTGAGGAAATGTAACACAGATAAATTCACCTGTTGCTCTTTGAGCTTTTCTATATAAGAGATGAGTCAGAGAGGAGTAGGACACTAATGAACGGAATTCCTAAAGGGTCTTTGTACTCTCGCATCGAGATGAAGTTTTGCGTACATGTAACTGCTAAAATTAGCCTCTCTTTTACAAATAAAACAAAAATTTTTATGTCAAAAAAAAATTA